GATACAGCGACCAAGACGCTTTATCTGCTTTCTTCGCTTGCAGCCGCACCTTGGCGATGGTCTTCTTGCAGTGCTCACAACAGATGCACCAGTAATGATCGTGGCGAACACGTCCTAGTTCAGTGCGATCGTTGCGGTCTGCGCCTGCCACTGCGCCAGCTGCGTTGGTTCCCTGGCGACTATCGACCCCGATGCTCATCAAGCCGGGCAAGGACTCCACGCCGCCTCCTGCGTGGAACCTTTGGTAACGCTTGGCCGCCTCGTCATGATCTAGCAAGAGGATCTCGCGCAGTAACTTGCGCATCTCGTCCTGTCGTGGTATGTTTGGGACTCTTGTCTGCAGATAGTAGCCAAGGGCCTTCGGGAGCATAGGCGCTGGAAGCAATTCGACATGCTGCGATAGCAACTCCGGAAAGCTAATCCACGTGGCGTTGTAGATCGCGACTCCCAGCAGACCACCGTTAAAAGTAAGCTCATAATTCACGAGCACACTGCAATCCGAACGGTATCCAACGCGTGGCTTGTGTTCTCGAGGATCTACTTCGAGATGGTCTGCGTCGTCGGTCAGACGCATGCCTTTTCCCATATAGCGACCGCGACGGCACTCTAGTCCTAGGGTGTAGCTGTTCTTCTCATCATCTCGGAGCACGATGAAGCCATGCTTGTCGATGAACCTGCGAACGACAGCAGCATCGTCGACAGCCGTTCCTAGATCCGACGCCACAAGTTGGAGCTCCGTTGATCGTCCGCTACTGTCGTCTAGCCAACAGGCGACGTCCCAAGATGGATGCCAGTAGGTCTGCGCGTGCGATGCTATTGGAGGACTGTTCTTCATGACTCGTTCTGTGACCTTCCTATGCAGCTCCCGCTCGGCGCGGTTAAGAGGATGCTTCTGCGCGACCGTCTCTAAAGATGCAACCTCGTTCGTCATTTCTTGCCCACGAATTCCATTCGTGGTTAGAAAATCCTCTAAGCCTGCACTGGTTGCGCCTACTGTTCGCACATAGTCCCTGAACTTCTCGACGCTGCAAACGCGAGCACGAGCTCCTACAGGGTACGAACTAGGAAGTTGCTCAAGCAAGGTTGTTTTCTGCCACAGTAATCGCCTCCAAGAAAGACGAGACTGCCCTTCTGTTGCTTTTGTTTTGGCCTCTCCGGCGGTGACATAACGCCAGAAAGATTCCCCTTCAGAATCAGAAGTTGCGCCCGACAGAATTAAGAACTGGATGAAAGAGCATGCCTCGCTATCTTCATTGCCTTGGAACATCGTGTTGAAGACTGTCCCGATGATTGTTGTGCTGCCTGTGATGTCGCTGATGTTGATGTTGCGCGTCGCCAGAGCTACCGTTTTCCGATAAAAAACGCTGATCCACAAGCTGCACGCCGGGTCGTACTTCGCGTAGAGGTAGTATCTCATCGTTAGCCGCATGAACTCTAGACTTTCGAGCGCCTGCTTCACGTTCCACATGAGGTTCAAGGAGTGCTTGACGAAAGTCAAGAGACACTGCGGTAAGAATTTGGTAGCGTGCAGCTGGAAGAGCTTAACTCCACCATCTGTTCGGATCTCTGGAAACAACCGCTTGAATTCCTGCTCGTGTACGCCCATGCCGTCCTCGGTGAACTGCTTTCCATACGTGTGCTTCAAGTGTATGCAATGGAAAACATACGGAGCGCGATGGAGCTGCGTGTGGTGCGAGCACTCTGCCTCAGAGATACGCAGTAGAGCCCTCCGCAATGCCTGGAGCTTCTCCATGTCACCCTTCAGACTGTGTTCTTCATCTTCGACAACAGCCTTCACGGGGGTGCTGACAGCTCCTAGATCTGGCTCCACCTGGTTTGCGATCGGCAGCGCTGATGTACTTCCTACAGCAGGTGGACTCAACAAAATGCCAGGTGTGCCAGGAACATCCTCTAACAAGCCTCGCTCTGGCGATGCAGCTCCTCGACCTGCGTTTCGCATTGGCGATGAGATGGAGTCAGTGGTGTTTGGTACGGCAAGCGCATCTCGACTACTTGCTTGCGCGGCCAGCCGTGCGAGAGCATCATCACCATCGTCAGCATCTACAAGCTCAGGGAAGAAGTCATCTAGTTCTGGCATTTCAGCACCACCTGCCAGCGCCTCGTTGTATGTGCTGCCAGCACCTTCTTCCTGAAGAAGGACGTCCGAGGCCTCTTGCGGATGAACTTCCCGCACGCCCAAACCTCGATCACCTTCAGATGTCAGCTCCTCTACTACTGCAATTGCGACGCCTCCATATTTCGCAAACCATTGAGCAACGTAGACAACTCGAAACCACCGTGCCCGAACGTACGACACAAAAGCGGTCTCTGTGGATGGTGGTTATGTTAGGTTCTTGCGGAAGGAGCAGCATGAGGATAGAACCGGTTGCGAAGTGAAGAGGTTCTACGATGCCAAGCGTCCACATCTCGGGCGCAGCTGTACAAACAGAAAGAAGCAAACCATAGGCGGCTCGATGGAAGCGAAGAAACGAGACCAATTCAATCCAGCGGCTGAGTGAGACGTTAGACAACGCAGTCGATTCGACCGTGAATTATGTCGTCGCTTTCTGAGTATGAGTAGTCGAGTACCCTTATGGGGATTCGTGTTTAGATAACGCGAATCCCCATAGTATGCTTCACCATGCAAGGAAAGTTTTCGCAAGACCTCAATTTCTAGAGGGGGAGAGGTCTCGAAGCGAGATCTATGAGTAGTCTGAGAGAAGCCCAGACTACTCATCAGAAAACACTACTCACGGATGATCTTTGCAGCAAACTTCTGCATCGAAGAACCGGCGAACCGAAGCGAAGGTCTCAGAAGACCTTCATTTCCAGCTCAGGAGCACAAAGCCAGGCGCGCCAGCCATCTGCTCTACGACACGGAGATGCATTTTCATGGCAGGACGAGGCTAGCTGAAAACAAACACGACAGCAAACGAAGTAGAGACGTGGACCCAATGGCTGCAGGATGGACACCATGTCGGGGAAGCCGAGAATGAGACTGCAACTTGACGTCGAAGCATCGCTATGCACTATCAAAGGCAGTACCGTGCTCGAGCGCTTCTGCAACGGATAGGCCGGCTTCTCGCATAATTCGAGCATCGTGAGCAGTCTTGTGCCCATGGTGTTTTACTTTCTGGAGAAGATTCGCACGGGCTCGGCTGAGCGCTCCTCGAAGTGATTTCTTGCTTATTCTCCCACCAGTGGCTGTTCGCAAGGTCGTGGCAAGTTCAGCAAAAAGCTGGCTCTTGTTGCTATTATTGGAGAGCCTACGATGTAGGCCAAACCGAGGCAGTACGGGAAGAAACTCCGCTAGAGCAAGATAGCGCCGCTGCTCACAGTCTTCTTGATCGCCATCGAGAACGATGGTGATCCGTTCGTCATGGTCGTTGTGATTGGCCGCGACACTCTCCAAGAACCCATCTCCACCGATGTTCGCCATCAAGCGAAGCATCGAGTCAACCCGACGCGCAGCTGCGGCGTACTGCTTTGACTTGCCAGGTGGAACAACTGGAGCATTCTGCAAAGCAACTGGCGCGAGATAGACCCTCACTCCTCCACCGGAGTCCTTGCATGGAATATAGACCTGTTGTTGTTGCAAGGGAAAATCATCAACGAAGATGCGGAGCAGGGCGAAATAGATTCGAGCAGAACAACGAGGAAGTGCCTCAAGTGCTGCGAATGATAGGTGACTCAGCAGCTTCACATCTAAACACAATATAAGTAAACATCTCCAAGCACCTGCGTAGCCTCCTTCTTCTGTTTGCCTTTGACTGAGCCATCCGACTGCAGGTTCAAGATGTTCGTCCAACGAAGACCTTGCACACCACCAGCGCGAAAAGGAAGACGCGTCTGCCCTCGAAATTTATCCAATGCAAAAGCGATGTCTTGATGCGTCTTGATGGTCTCCTTCTGATAATGGAGGAGGGGGGAAAGATGCAAATGAGGATCGAGCAAAAATGTCCAGACATGTGGATGCAGTTTCCTTTTCTTCTACGTGGTCCAAGTTGTTCACACTACATAAACAGAGAACCTTTTGGAAGTAGTTCGTCTTCTCCTTCATACCGCAATACTTCACCTCGAACGCATCGGCCAGGGGCTGAACATCATCGCCATGGATCCGGAAGCCCGACATTTTGATTTCTGCCAAGTGCCAATCTCGTAGCCAGTGGAGCGCTGGACTTCGGTCTAGAACCCGAAACATCGCAATCTGCATGGGGGAAAGGGGCTATTAAGAAAAAACATGCAAGGAGAAGCACATGAAGAAGACGAAGCGACTTGAACGAAGGTAAAGACTCCAAGTAGGAAATGCACTAGAACTCGACTACAGCGGAAATCTTACTACTCACATAGCACCATAAGATACGGGGTTACCGCCTCGAGGCCCAGCATATCGCTGGCGGTAGCATCGTCGAAACTGACGCTGCGTTTGTTCTCGAGCTCCGGGAACATATTGGCGACCCGGTCTCGTTGGTCTATCCACTTCTCATGGTAGTCCCGTTTCCAGTTCTTCGCGATACTCAGAGGAAGGAACATCCTCACTCGAAGGACTCCAGCCTGCACGGGGGCACGCGGACGAGTGTCCGGCAGTGCGGGATTCCAGCCATTGTTCTTTTGAGGGGGCATCTTCTTATGATCAGCGTAATGATTTTCCTATATTCATCGCCGTTTCTTATCTTCTTCATGGCGTTCGCAATAGCAAACTACACAAGCAACTTTTATATTTTTCGACTCACTTCCCTTTTTTTCTCTTCGCTCTCTAACTCAGACGCTCGCCACTCAAACGAATGCGCGATACGAAGACTTTGGGGACACTGCACGACGCGACTGCCGTCTACGCGTCCCACGAAATCACGAAACAGCCATACAGATGCAGAACGCGTCTGCTTTCATTCGGCAACGAGCGAAGGCCCCATATGTCGAAGCCCATGGAGACTACTGCTTTCAAGTGGTTGGCAACTGTGAAATCTTATGACTGGTTTCTGTTGAACTTCAACGTAAGGCGTGAAGTAGTCAAGGGCCTGGCTATCACGGTATCCGGTCGATGACCGATCAAAATAATAAGTGTTTGCAGTGCTGCTGGGATCGTGTAGCTCTATAGTCTGAATTAGATGCGTCATCTTCTTGTTCATAAGTCTTGACGTAAAACTGACCAAATAAATCACATAGGTAGTCTGTAGCGCTCTTTTCAATTCGCAGCGCTGTAGTGTGTTTTTCGTACTTGAAGACCGTCTGTTTTTTTAATGAAGAAAGTAAAGCCTTGAAATTGAACAACATTAAGGTAGAAAATTATTCAGGGACGAGAGATCTTGGTAGCTGGAAGTATTTCGATAATATTGCCACACGCATCGTTTTTCGTATTCTTTCACTCACAAGCAGCAAGTTGCCAAACTCTAACGATCAAAAATGGTAGGAAGCCTAGCTGCACTCCTCACGCCGCAAAGCAGCAAGTACGACAAACCTCGAGTGGACCGATGGCCCCTTTTCTCACAAAGAAGGCGCTGATGATGCAACTCCATCTACGGGTCCGGCTGGCCAGCAGGTAGCTCCTGTTCTTCACCACCGTGCAGGAGGCGAGACACGTCTCCCTCCACCTCAGCGGTGACATCTTCAGCTGCAGCAGCCTTCTTGGGTTTGGCGTTCTTCTTCTTACCAGCAGCGGCTTTCTTCGGCTTCGGGCCGGACGTCTTGTTCACATCGACTTGCTCACCATCTGGCTGCCCCACGTCGGCGCTCTCCTTGTCCTCCTCCGGTTTCAGATCACCATTCCCTTCGTCTTGCTTTCCCTTCTTCTTTCCAGATGCTTTGGCTTTTGCGTTGGACTTCTTCTTAGCATTCGGGCCAGCCGGCGAGGCCTGTTTCTTCACTTCGTCCTTCTTCTCGTCGACGGCTGCCTCCAGATCGATCGCGCCCACCTTCTCTTTCACCTCCTGGACCACCTTTTCCGGAGAAGGCGGGACGGCGATCGCGTTTCCAGTAGCGACAGCAGCACGCGACTCCCCCACATCCTCTTCCTCGAAGGAGCTCAGCTTGCGCTCCTTCGTTTTCGGCGCCGGAGACTCCTTAGGCGAGTTCTCCCACGGACGACGAGGCGCTTTCTTGGATTCGAAGACCGGACGGAGAGCTTCCTTCCTGTAGCGGCCACCAGCGGCATGACCACCTTCAGCTCCACCGATGTCCTGCGAGTTCGGCAGGGACACAGGAGAGCTGGCGACGTTGGTTCCACCCACCGGCACGTTGGTGTGAGCAGCAAAAGCTGCAGCCATGGTTCCCGGACCCGCGACAGCAGCGGCATTGCCGAGCATCAGCGGCTGCTGAAGCTGGCTGGTGGGGTCCATCATCTTCTGCAGAAAGCCGGCAAAAGCGCTCTGCGTCTGGTTGTTGCCACCATGGGCGGCGCCGTACATTTGCTGCTTCTTCAGCGAGGACTGTGTGTGGTATTTGGACAAGATGAAGGAGTGCATGAGCCGCAAGTGTGAAAACATGAAGGTCATGAGACGTTCAAAACAAGAAAGTAAACAAACACTTAGCCGATACCTGAGTGCCCATGATGCGAGCTTTCTCAGCTTGGTTCTTGCGAGCGTCCCTCACTTGTTTCTTCATCTCAAAGATCGGCTCGCAAGCCTCATCACGGTCCTCCGGACAGAGGTTCTTGATGAAGCCATAGATAGAGGACGCGGTCGGCTGGTACTTCATTGAGGGGTCTTCAGGCAGCTGCGATGTGGTTACAGATTAGGTCGTCACGAGGAACATAGAGCAAATAGCTTGAAACAAAGACGAGACTTTATCTTTTCAACACAGAGCACACAGCTCAGCCCTTTCTTTTGCTGGTAAGAATACAGACCGACAACACTCAGATCATTGGGAGATAAATCGTCAGTACTTTTTCAGCGTCGCGGTTTAGTCCCCAGCCTTGTAAGATCTGCAGAGCATCCTCGGTGTTGCGACAAGCCTCCGCAACATCCTTATGAGGCAGGTAGACCGCGTCCGCAATCCAGCTGCACAACTCGCCAGGCGGCAGCTTTCCCCACGGATCTGTTGGCATTTAAGGTCAAAGGTGTGATAAAATACCAAGACAACAAAGGCAACCGGGGCCGTACGTCAGTACGGTTCTCAAATTCTATCGGGTCAGCAAGCAGGTCCAACTTGGTTTCTTATGGTCTAAAGGTGATACTACATGCATTGACGTACTTTACTTCGTTCTAAATCAAAAGACCGCGTAGAAGAATAAGCAGAAGAAGGCAGCACCGTCTCCTTTGTTGAACGGGAACGTTTTTTTACCAGGTCCGGCAACCTCAGTGCGGCGCTTGCGTTCGCGATTGATCTTGGCGAGCAGATCGCCCAGGTCATCCGTCTCCAAGTACTGCAAGTTGCGCTGCAAGTTGTGCATGATATCTAGTGCGTCGCGAACCTTCTCGGGGCGACGGCGACCGTCCTTGATCGTGGTGGAAGTTGTGGCCATCTTGAACAAATAGAAGTAGACTAGTTGTTTTGCTCGAGTCGTTGCCGACCTTTGCTAAACCTCAGATCAGCGTCTGAAAAGATTATCCCTGCAGCATTTGAGTAAGATAATATGAGGCGTAAAAAGAAAAGGGCGGTGGGAAGTTATTCCGCATGTAGTTAGGTTTTGTAATCAATGGACTCGAGCGAACTTGTAGCAAAAAGATCGATAGGTCGACTTTGTTCTCTCACATTTGCGCACGGTCTGGCCCTCGTTTTGGATCATGGAACGACGACACTCTTCGAGTGAATTCGCTGCGTTGGACCTCGATATTCATGGGAACAGATTCTCGCAGAAGTTCTTCTTTCTTTCGGAATGCAAAAAGCAGACAGGAGCAGCTGAGCTTCACTCAGACGATGCTGTTGACCAGCACAAGGGACTTCATTCATCACCATCAGACGGCCTTGGATAAGAGAAGTTTGCTCTCGGTAGAGTTTTAGACCAACACACTGAAGAGCTTTCCACTCGACGACCTTAGCCAAGTACTCAGCTACGCCATAACAAGCGACATCTTTGCCATAACGACTCCGGATGTGCTGCACCTAGATGACCAAGGCACCCAGGGTTCAAAGCGTTGCGAGGTGGTGCCGGAGCTTGGCAGAGGTCAAAAACGTCATCCAGACACGATTTTGCCGCGTCTTCTGCTGATCGCCCCTGCACTTGCCGCCCCCGCCACCTCCCCCTAACCTCCAAACCCTAAGTCCTTCCCCCATCCTCCTGTTTTGGGCCTGTCAGAATATCTAATCTTTAACTAGCTAGTTTAAGACACTGCACTTACCTGCTGCGGTCCACAGCTAAGACCCTTCGACAGTTCGATCCAGCGTCCAGACGGTGCCCAAAGTTGGCGTGAGCGAGGTTGCGAATATTGAGTAGGAGTAGTCTTTTTTCTGCCATATCCATTCAGAAGCACCGACCCGGGAGGGCCTTGCCTGTGATGCTAGCGACTCACTAAGCGGCGCGCTACCCAGTAAGCCCACTACAGCGCAAACAAATGGGCGCCAGGGCGTGAGGCTGGCTGCTGCAGGGGGCCTCGTTCAAAAAACAAACGAACCAGGAGCCCTCGTATACTCCTGAATCTCGGCCCCCAAGAAGTCGAACAAGCAGGCCACCCATCAGCAAAAAAGGAAACCAACGTAGCCAGATCGCGACCGACATCAACGCACGACCATGCCTGCAGAGACACCGACACAACGAAGAGGGCGCTGCACTTCACGAGGCAAAGGCCCAAACAAAAAAGGCCCCGCGCTTCACCTTGTCACTTTCACGAAGCTCAATCCCCGAAGAGCGCAGCCGGGGCGTGTCTCTTCAATACAGACAGCAGACCCGCAAAGAGACAACAAGCCGCGACTTTCTTCTGAACTCCGTGGCATCTTGGCCCGCCATACCGCCGCGAAGTGCTGCGCTTTCAAAGTGGCAAGCTGCCCAGAGGAACCCGCTAGCAACTCGCCCCAGATTGGGCCTGAGCGTTTCGGCAACTCCTGGCAACTCGAGAGAACTCGAGCAGCCCATAACCCGAAAGGCAGACGACTCTATTACTACGCAGAGGCGGCCCCGAGAGCCCCTCCTTCGCGCTGCTTCGTCCTTGCGCTGCTTTATCACTCAGAAACCTCACCCCACACCCTGACAGGGGAAGTTTTGGCGAGGTCCCTCGAGTTGGCTGTCTGAACTGCTCAGCCACTGGCCCTCTCCTGCGAAGTCGAGGCGTGTCGAGTAGCAGAAAGCAAAGAAGCACAGCAGCCGAGACTCTGGACATAGGCCCACCTCCTAGCACCTGCGGCCACTTTGCAGAGGTCGACCCAGATCCGCCGCGCCCTCAGTGGCATGCTGACGGGCGCCCAGCCTGTGCGTAGGGGTCGGCAGTCCTCAAGCCATGGAGCTGCATGTGGGTGCATCGCGTGGCAACCACCCGCATGGCCGAGCAAAATCCAAGCGGCGGCCCGGGTCCACTATCAAATCATCCTCGTGGTCGGGTGGCATGTCATGCACCACAGACACCGGCCTGCGACGGTTTTTGCTGGCGGTGCCCTGTCAGGGTCGCTGTCATGCTTGTACAGCACACAGGCGCCCTCTGTGATTGGGTCACGCTGGCCACCATCAGGCGAGGGCCCGCGGGACTGGTCTGCTGGCGTCAGCCGTGGCAAGGGCCTACCAGCATGTCAAGCACAGGCGTGAAGGTGCCTGGCTCCATTTGGCTGCCTCTGGAGTTGGCACGGGTTTGCCGCGAGCTGAGGCAGCCGGCCCTCTTTGAAATTCCAAGCCTGATGAAGGAGGGCGCTCGCTGTGGTCGGCGCCTCTCGCTAGCCGTGGCGGCGCTCTCCATAGTGACAACCGTGGCGCCAAGGCTTCCTCCGTCACGGGTTGGGGCGGGGTTTCTCAATCATATGCTTGGGACTCCCAGGCGCGCCAGGCTCTGAGATTTTCCGCTTAGTTGTTCTTTCCCTGCTCATTATTATCAGCAGGCCTGTGGCCAAAGGCTTCGGCTTCAAGTGTTGGCATCCGGGTACCTACTTTACAAATTCCTACAGCTAGTGCTTAGCTTTCTGATGTCACAAGCCTCTCTCCCACTCTGCATATGCTCTGTGCCTTTCATAATTTCTAACTCAATGCCCTCAGCAACAGCATAAATTTCACAAAGACAAAGAGAAAGCGTCTGAACTACTAGTACACCAAAACTAACTCCGCACAAGCGGGAACCAGCCATAATTTTGTCTGTTCGCTGAGCGAACTCCAAGCAGAAAGCGCTGCGAGTATCCCGCTGGCCACTTCATCGTCGGCCTGTATGAAAGAATGCCATCACTGACTGGGAACATTACACAGAGGACCTGTCACCTCGAGGAACGTCTCCCCACCTTTGTTCCCAATCACTTGCGCCATAAATGGCGTTGACGACGGCGGCCGCGACTGCGAAGCTGCGCCTTCGCCTTGTGGTGGCACTATTTTTTCAATGAGCCTGCGCAAGCCCAAGAAGTCCATGCCACCTGAGAGGCCAGTCTTGCCTCCAGCCGATGTAGCAGCTTTCTTTTGATGTATAACTTCTTCACGCAAATCGACAAAACTGCTGGTCCTGATGGTCGTGATATTAGTAGTAGACGACAGCAGAGTAGAATCATCTTCGGTGATAGAGAGATGAAGCGCCGTAGTGGTACTAGTAGTGCTTGAGCCCTGCTTATCCACAGCAGTACTGGGCGACTGCTCAGTAGGAGAAGTAGAACTTGTGCCCCTGTCAAAAACTTCTACTCCATCTCCACCCGTCGCGGTAGTAGTATCACTGCCTCCATCAACAACAACAACAACAGGAAGAGCCGGCGCTGCCGTATTGTGATTCGGATTAGCACCCTCATCAACGGCCAGCACTGCTGTTGCATTATGATGTGGACTAGAACCGCCACCGCCTTCAACATGAAGCGCGGCTGCTGTAGTACTGGTGGTGGTATTGGCAGAGGAAGTCGCGCTTTTACCAATTGCGGTTGTTGCACTAGTGGCATTGGCAGGAGAAGGTGCGTTTTTGCCAATCTTCTCTGGCTTTGCGAACTTCTTGCGCCTTGCGTCCTCATCATCCAAAGCTAGGATTGCCGCTGAAGTGACATTAGACCTTGACACAGTCTCAGCCACGACGATTTCACTCGCAAAGAACGTGATACTCTTGCTAGTTGTATTAAGAGAAGAAGTGTCCTGATTCATCTCCGGAAGAGCCGTGGCTTTCGTTGCGGTAGAAGTGGCGCTCCCTTTATCCGACCGAGCCAGATCGACTGTAGAATCAAGCAAGCTTGTGTCACTATGCACAAGAACGAGCAGATGATCATCTGTCGCATTCGAGCTTGTTTCCTCACCTCCCAAGGGCAGTCCCGTAGTATTTTCAGTTGTTTTGTTCTCACCTGCCAATAGCAGTCCCGTAGTATTTGCAGGCGTTTTGTTCTCACCAGTCAGAAGCAGCCCGTCTACAGACGCGTCAGGGCTCGTGTTCTCACTCACCGGAGGCAGTCGATCCGTTGTAACATTTTCAGATGTGTTGTTCTCACCAACAAGAAGCAATCTTCCGGTAGTATTCATTTCAGATGTGATGTTGACGTTGTCAGCTGTTTTGTTCTCATCTGCCAACAGCCATCCCGTAGGTTCGCTTGAGTCAGTTACACTGTTCCCACTAACAACCGCGTGACGCGCATCCACCGCAAAACTAGGCGGACCTATTTCGGCTTTCGCAGTAGTTGTAGCACTAGCATTGGACCACGTATCAGTATCCCCATCCACTCGCTGCCCTCCAGTAGTATTAGACCACGTATGCCCATCCATTAGCGGCCCTGCAGTAGTATCTCTATCCACGACTAGGCGCTGTGCAGCAATATTTGACGATTTAGTTGGATCCCTAGCGTCCACTAGCTGCCCTGCAGCGGTATTAGACAACTCATCTGTATCCACTAGCTGCGCTCCAGTAGTATTTGGCCATGTATCTTCCCTATCCACTAGCTGCTGCCCTCCAGTAGTATTTGGCCATGTATCTTCCCTATCCACTAGCTGCTGCTCTCCAGTAGTATTTGGCCATGTATCTTCCCTATCCACTAGCTGCTGCCCTCCAGTAGTATTTGGCCATGTATCTTCCCTATCCACTAGCTGCTGCTCTCCAGTAGTATTTGGCCATGTATCTTCCCTATCCACTAGCTGCTGCCCTCCAGTAGTATTTGGCCATGTATCTTCCCTATCCACTAGCTGCTGCCCTCCAGTAGTATTTGGCCATGTATCTTCCCTATCCACTAGCTGCTGCCCTCCAGTAGTATTTGGCCATGTATATTCCCTATCCATTAGTCCTCCTTGTTTCCATCTAGGCCCAATAACAATATCCGTATCCACCAGCACTGCTCCCGTCGTGTTAGAGCTTGTGAGCGTCTGGTCTGTAAGGCGATCTATATCCTGGTCTGCAACGTGGCGATCGCCATCCACAACCGGCTCATTCCATATTAGAGGGACTGGAGGGAAAACTTTCTCTCACACCATAGAGGAAGCAAAGCATGAAGTTGCTGAGTCTGCACAGACTACTAGATACTGATTCTGATGCTCATTGTACAAGAACACCCTAAAGTGATGCTCATTCTACAAGAAAAACCTAAATGTAAATTGATGCTCATTGTATAAGAAAAGCCTACCTATAAAAGCCGTACGTTGGGGAATAATCTTGCATACTTGGTTACTGTTTTCGTTACTTGCCTATTTTGAGTATTCGAGTACAGAGATCTTCAAGCTGGATGCTGATGCACCAGAAGTGGGATTGAAGCTAAATAAAAACAGTTAAGTAAATCAAAAACAAAGGCATTAATTCCACATGCGGTCGACTACGACGCAATACTGTCAGCTATATGTATGTATGTATGTATGTATGTATGTATGTATGTATGTATGTATGTATGTATGTATGTATGTATGTATGTATAGAAGGAGTTCGGCTACGCGTTGGGCCTTACTCACTAGTGTGCGGCAAAGCAAGTGGCCTGCTAGAATGAACATACAAGGCGCACGCGATGCGGAGGCGGCAAGCCGGGACGCCCGTGTAGAATCTCCCGGGGAACTTGTGGCCGGGTAGGGGCCATGCCGTCACGCGCGCGCGTGTTCCAGAGAGCGAAGGGAAACAAACTCCAACCAGGGAGCCGGCGGCAGGTGTTCAGCTGTGTCGCCCAGCAACAACAGTGACCGTTCCGCCTTGGCCTCCTCAACACGGCTGCCGGGGCCGAGCGATCGGCGCCCAGAGAGAAGCTACCAACCTAGGTAGCTGTAGCGTGCGTGGTGGTGGCAAGAACAGAAGCAGAGGGCGGGAGGCCGCCTCATCCCTACGAGGGCGAGGTGAGCGACCAGGCTACACAACTGGGCCGGGTAGACTGTCCGACAAACATCCAACAACCAAGCAACACAAGCAACCAACAAGGCCACGCAAGGCGTCGCACCTGCAACCCACCGACCCCCTTGCCCTCATGGAAAACACCGAGGCGGCACCAGCCTGCCGGGGTTGTGGGCCTCTCCTCACCATGGACACTTAGAACACACGGAGCACCGAAACCATCACCACCGCGCTCCTGCTCCTGCTGCGCCCTTGGCGGTTAACTCACCTCATCAAGAGTGCGACAGCCCTGGCACACAATGGAGGAGGACGCCCCGGGCTGGCCGTCTCTCTTCGTGTTCGTTCCTGTGCATCATCGGAGGAAAGCGACCAGAAACCTCACGCAGAGGGCTTCCCAAGTATTTCCCAGGGAAGACAGTAAGGGCCTCGCGCTTTCTCGTCTAGAGCGCGCTAAAACACGCAGGCAAAGGCAAAAAGAAGCGCGAAGGCGGTTCTTTTTGCAGAGGCGTCCCACCTGGGGCGCGCAAGTAGATTCGCCGTCCCATCAGGGCCGAAAATTCGCACCAGTTTTAGTCCACACAGAGGTGGCGCCCCCCCAGGGGTTCTTAGGTCTCCCTTCCCACCAGGGGCGAAGTGTCAGCTATATGTACAGCCAGGTACACCATTGTGAAAGTATTTTTCAAAGGGCGTATCCTCTATTATAGTATAATAACTCTGGTGGTTTTCCGTCCGACTATCTTCTCCTTCAACGGTACACTTTGAGTAGTATGATCTTCATATTTTTTATCCTCCTATTGCATCTGGTCTTCGAAGATGTATATGTATTAGTATTGCCTGCCTTTCCAGGAGTTACGCGGTCTTGAAAAATCAACAATCCAGTTCTTAACTTTTGCCTCCGCCGATCCACGTCTCCCTTGCCGAAACTTTCGGCAGTATAATAATTAGACCTAATAGTTGTACAACAACTAACAACATCTTCGAGATGATACTACAAGAACTCATCATATAATTCAGATTGATCCCTGACCCTGTTTCAGTTGCTTGAACCTGAAGAATATATAATTATATAATCTTCAATATTCACTCGAGCTTGAAGTTGTATTGAGAGTCATGATATACGTCTACTCCTCGCCTTACTAATACTAGTAGAGGCGTGATCCCTCTAACCTGCTAGGATGTATCAACTCATCGAGAGTGAGAGGGGCCTTCCTTCCAGACAGGGATGTCGTTGAATTACTAGTGAACAAGGATAGGAGCCTTAAGAAGTGTAACATCTTTGCCGATGTTCCTCTTGAACCTTCAATTCGATCATTCATTCATATAGAGAGACGAAGATAGAGTAGATAAGACTGCTTGATGTAATGATAGTGGTCTCTTCATTTCTACGAAGATATGCTGGAACTACACGTAGAAATCAGCACTGTCATAGTTGTCTCCTATCTATGAAGATAGGATACGGATAGGATAGGATAGGATAGGATAGGATAGGATAGGATAGAATAGGATAGGATAGGATTTGGCTCGCCTCGGAGAGGTGAGCGTTCTTCACGACTATGAAGATATAGTGGAACTACACGTAGTAATTATCATAGTAGTCTCGTCCTCATTTCTACAGTGGACAAGGAATGCAATATTCGGAGAACTGCTTGTATGATACAAAGATGATCATGAAGAAGATGTAGATCCCTTGCATTACTGGCAGAGTTGGCCCTTGCATTATGTTAATACAAAGATTTTTCCATACTACAAGTATTAGCGTTAGCCGGACCTAGAGGAAAAAAGTGAAAAAACTAAAAGGTAAGAATACGCATCGAGATTTTTTTTCGTTGAGCAAGATACTAACGCTAGTTTTTCCCTAAGCATGGGAGAGTGAGTTAGAGTTCTCCTCTTCGTCCCCGTTAAATCAAGGGGGACTCTACTCGGTCGGCATAGCCCACATGGGATAGTGAAAAACTAGCCTGAAAGATAAGAAATACTGATAGATGATCAAAAGGCTCGCTGACCCCATAGTATAAACAAAATGCAACTCAGCGTCAACGTCAAGATGAAGATAGGATGGTTATAATTACCGAAGGAAATATTTTGAAATACGATAAGGCGCTCTCAGCTTTGTTCGGATAGGTTAAGGGTCCGGAACAAGGTACAAACTAACATGCTGAAGTAAGTGCACGCTTTTCTGACGGGACTACCTATCGGGGTACGGGTACCAACGAAAATCGGGGTCTAGGTCTACAAATTTGGAATATAGCTAGAAAAATGGAAATACGAAAGCTGCCTCTCTGTTGTGTTTGAATGTTCGTAATCCCCGGCCAACGTCAAGTTTGTTTCCTCATAGTCGCGGCCTTTCAACCAGTAATAATCTCCGGGTTGCGGGCGATCAGACCTTATGATCGGTTAGGTTAAATGTCACGCGTAGAAGATGTGTCTGCGTATTAGTTACAGTCGTTTTTTTTTTACGTTTTTTTTTTACGAATTTATTGGATCAGGATGTTGGTGAACAAAAGAGCAACTACGTTGTCAGCTTCATATAATCGAGGAGCGCATATTCTCTGACGAAGCAACTACCTATTGGGGTACTAACGAAAATACGGGCTACGTCTACAAAGTTGAAATACGTAGATTGAAATACGTATACGAGAGCTGCTTCTCCTTCTCTGTTCTTGTGTTTGAATCTTGATAAAAATCCGCGGTCAAGTTTGCTTGCTCATAGTCGTGGCCTACTTTGGACCAGGATGAATTGCCTTCGCCATGCGAATCGCGGTACCTAATTAGTATCCGAGTAGGGTAAGGATCACGCAGAGACCTAGATGTGTGCTACTGCTACACCTACAGTGGTGTTTTTCATAAATATATTGGACTTCTAAGAGAATGCTGGTGAAGAACAAATCACCACCATAAACTATATACAAGTGGCGAGTGAAGAAAGAGTTTTGATAGATGGCCTAGACTCTTCTAGTTCAAGATGTAAGAACAAAATAAAACTACAGCAGCCATCGCTTGTAAAATACGTTGAGTAGCTACTAGCAAAATTAAATCATACGTAAACGAGGGCTGCGTCTCTGTTCTACTTGTGTTTGACTTTTGATAATCCTCGGTCAAGTTTGCTTGCTCATGATACTCGTGGTCTACTTTGGACCAGTTCGAATCGCCATGCTGCGCATCGCGAGACCTAAAACAAATTTTTGAGTTCGTTGACTTGGATGTATGGTCCTGGTATTTGGTATCCTGAGTTTGATCCTAAGGGTTCTCTTCTTGTTTTCCCTTAGGATCAAATTCAGGCTATACCAAAAATACCGGAACCATTCATTGGATGAATCATGATCATGATCATCATCTTCGATAAGAAACAAAGTCTGTATAAATTGAAATATGTACCTGTTGTTGTTCTGTGATGCAGTATCCCAATTCATGCTAACTTTCTTTTCATGTTTTTCATCCGCATTTGCTCGCATTCCATGATGCTTTCCTTTCGTATTCGAAACCCTGTTCGACGAAGGCTTTTTTTCCTCTGAGGTGTTATCGTAGTGATCGTTGTCAGACATGCGAGGCCCTGCGTTTGCCAAGCCCTGCTTCTTCCCACCTCCTGTCTTGTTCATATTAGAGGTAGAGGAGGAGCGAGTTGTGGCTCCCTAGATATATTTAATTTTGCTCTAGCTCTACCTTCTAGCATTTAAATTTATTGGCAAAGTATCCCTCGACGACGTCTGAGACGGTCTACTATGTACAAAATAAAAACACACCCTCCCCCGGTTTTCTACAGAACTCCATGATGCCATGCCTCATGATAGCATGTCAGCTACACCACTTTCGTTATTCATGCACTTGCACATGAGATAAAAGAATACTAGCCAGGAACAGTGCTGTCCGATGATAACGATGGGGATGAGTCAACATCATCATCAAAATCATCAGCAACATCGCTCCATAAAGAAAGCATGATATTCCAGCTTCTCTATGAATCATGAGAAAATTTCTATAGACCAAAAAGTGCGTAGTGAAGGAGTTGAAGTATATGATGGTGATGATGATGATGATGATAGCCATAATTTTCATAGTGTTGTAGTTGTAGCTGCTTTCGGTTCCATTCTTCGTAGTGTTAGAGATAGGATTTTGGTGTCTCTGTTTCCCGTTTGTTCTGCCTCTCTCCCTTAGAAGCGGCAAAACAAGTGGTAATATCGTGAACACTTTTATCCGAGTACCCTTAATACTACTGCCACCTGTAGTTGCTTCAAGAAAGGTAGGCAGTTGGTCGTCATGGTCAGCATCAGCACCAGGTGGTGGGTCTCCCGAATCATCAGGTCGTGGATCTGGATCGTATACTTCACGAGCAAACGCTCCAGAACAATCATGAGAGTGCTAATCGCTCCAGAGAGATCATGCTTCAGATTATCAAATAATGCTAACAGTACCTAGTTACTTAGCTAAATTATATATAAGAAGTCTTATGGTGCTCCACCAAAAGACAGCCCGAGAGTCGTATGCGGGGCTCGAGTGGTGCAATCTATCAGGAGAAACAGACGGGAATCGACTCAGTGAAGCCCCTCTTTGCTGCAGAGCGGGGGTCGCACTCGGCTACTGATATACCCGCTGGCAGGTGTGCAACTTGGTGCGGCATCCGGGCCTCGACGGATATCTACGTCGCACGCAGAGGGCCGGTTTAAACCCCCAGAGGCGGGGCCGTAAAAGTTCGCAAGTGCCACGATGTCGACAACGATCGAGAGCGGGGCCTCGCGTGTCTTCCGGAGTGGCCTCGCATCTGCGAGTGCTTGTTTGCGCAAAGGCACCAAGCTCAGGCCCTTAGCGCTCCTCGCCGCACAAGACTCGCCGCGGGGTGTCAGACTGTTCGCCCGGCCGTACTCAGCCAAGCGCCCCCGCTCGCTCACCAAACGAGTACAGCCAGCACAGAAGACACCCCGAAAGCGCTTGCGGTCTTGTGTGTGCGGTGTTTGCGTGCGTTGCGTCTGAGCGCGCTCCACTTTGTTGGCTTTTTGCAGTGCTCTGCCACGCGTTACCCAAACAAAGCGGGCGCGTTCGCGGCAGTGGTCTGCCTCCGGTTCCCCAACAAAACAGGCAGGCGCTACGCCCTCGCGCTTTGTGTTTATTTGGCAGAACTCTGCCTCTCGCTACCCATTTAAGGAAGACGGGTGCTAACAGTTCATAGACATGCTTAATGATCCTTTTGGTCACATTGTGCAATTGACATTTTTGAGAATTATGTCACTTTTTGCACATCCAAAGAAGTAAGAACTTCCAAAGAAGTAAGAATTAAAACGAAGTAACAGTAAAAGTAGATCATGAAAAGAAGTGCAAAAGGTGATGAAATAGATACCCTTTTATTATCTCTTTCCTACTCCAAGAAAAAAGGGCTGCGCCAGCACAAGCAGATTCGACATAACTATTAGTATTACTTTCCCACAATAGTATTGTAAGCATAAGTGCCATATATCTTTTTAGAGACCAGGAAAAGCAGGAGCACGCCTGACATCGAGCCTCGTCTCATGCGTGAGGACGACGGCCGCATCTTGTACCAATCGAGATCTGCGTCCCAATTGAACCGTAGGTGTACCAATTGAATCGAAGTCGAACGGGCACGTGTGAGTGTATCAATCGAGATTAACGACGTGGCAACATTTATATTCTGATCATGTTCTGAATCTGAACTATAATTGAAAATCTTGACCAAACTAAAAAAATAAAAAGCTGATGATATCGATTTCGCTATTCCTCTAAGAAAAGACTTTTTCTTGCTGACCGGAATCATCATCATCATTAGTCCTCGCCAGCGCTCGTGATCGTGATATCATCACTCATAACTCTCTCTCCCCAGCATCTTTCTCTCCCCAGCATCTCGCTCTCTCGTGAATATCGGCTGCCCTTGATGTTTCATATTTGTGGTGGAACCTCCAATCTACCTAGGAAAAAAAAAAAAAAGGAAAAAGTAGAACACCACTTCTTTGCAGAGGAAAGAACCGAAGGACCACGACCGAGAAGAAAGGGCCACGTTATCATCAGGCGGCCGGAAAAATTGATAAGAAGAAGAACATCGACGGATTACCATTATAAGAGGCCTTTTTACTACTGGAAATCATACGACGACAATGCGGGTCGCGTCATTGCGTGGAAAGATTCAAATTTTGGAGAAAAATTCAAGTGAAGATGGATGCAATTTGTATATTGATGTAGTTTTTAGTCAGAAATAGAAAAAATACTCAGCGTTACAACATCAAGAACAACAGGTTCGAATCCGAGTCCCACAACACTTCATCTCCGAGACGCACATCAACACTTCATCTTCTACAATTTGTGTGATTTGACAACGTTAGTTCTGATTCCTGTCATTTCTCCCTTGTAGACTCCTTCTTGGGGCAACCGCATCTGCTGCACCACCGTCTTGCGGTTCTTCACAGCTTTTTCGTATTTTCTTCTATGCTTGACACGGCTGTTGCGATCCTTCTTGGGACGCAAACGAACCAATCCCCTATTCTGCAGGATCTTCTTAGTTGCATGTCTTGCTTCGTTATCCGCAACTTCCATGTGCTCTCTCTGTCCAGGAGTCAGCGAAGAATAGTCCAGCACCTCTTCTTCCTCTTGAGCGTTGTCCTCAGCATTGGCTGTTCCTAATATGTCTTTAATCCTTGGTTTTTTAGTAGCGTCTTTTTGCTCTAGAATTTCGTCGTTGTCGAAATCAGAAGGCAGGTCCTGATCTTCAATTCTGTCGTGTCTCTTGTCGCGTCGCTTGAATTCTACCTGGACATCGCTAGAAGTTTTCAATGCTCGCTTCAATTTCGCATCGTCTGTGTCCTCTAGGAGAGCACGTTGACCCTGAGCCACGTACTGCTCTAGTTGATTTTGCCCCTTCGTGGACGCTCGTACACCCAAAGTCGGGTCCGCTGCACTGTCTTCACGCACTAGGGAAACTTCGTTTCGACGCATGCCGGGTGCTGCAGGTTTTGCTTGTAGGTCTACACACTGGGAGGACTGCAGGTTTCGACTGTTCTTAGAACTGCGACTAGTAGGGTTTGTTTTCTCCTTCAACATCTGCATCTTCAGCTGCATTCGCTCTTTCGCTGTCAGCGGTGTTGTACGAGTACATACTGTACTAGAAGTAGAAGGAGAAGGTTTAGCACTAGTTGATGTCGTCAAATTTGAGGAGGATGAAGTCGCGGCACTCGAAATTCGTTTTTTTGATTTGGATGGAAAAGTTCTACAACTTGTAGCTTCTTCGTCTTCTAAATCGCTACAGCCTTCCTCAAGACCTTCCTCAAGATCTTCCTCTTCCTCAAGACCTTCCTCTTCCTCCTGGTCCTCAAGACCTTCCTCAAGATCTTCTTCTTCCTCGAGATCTTCCTCTTCCTCCTGGTCCTCAAGATCTTCATCATCCTCCTCTTCAAGAACATCGTCCTCCTCTTCACGACCATCGTCCTCCTCTTCACGACCATCCTCATCTGCGTCTCCCTCCCCATCTACATCTCCTGCGTCTAAGAGTTTCTGAATCATTTCTTTGTCGCGTTCCCGAAATTCAGTTCGAACTTGTCGTAATTCCAAAACATGCTCGAAAACCGGATGTTGTGCGAAAATATCACTGGATTTGGTTGTCGCTGGGGCACCTTTGGAATTATAGAAGGCGAAGGAGTTGAGCGTTGCATGTTGAAGTATTGAATTGCACTAGGAGGTGGAGTTTTGAGGTTGAGCGTTGCATGTTAAATAAGTATTGAATTGCACTAGGGTTAGAAAGGGACGAAAAAATACGTCGTCCTAGAAGCAAGTTAGTACTAGGGGCTTAGGATTAACATAACAAATAGGGGACGAATTAGTACTGGAATAATGAAAAAATCGTACCTGTCAATATCTCCTCTCCTGCTAAGACATCCCGCTTTTTGTGGAGGTAAAAAGACAGCAAGGCAAGATATTGTCTTGCAAACGCTACACGTTCTTTTACGTACGTCAGCATCGAGGAATCTGCTTCTCCTGACAACTCCGAGGAATCTGCTGCTTCGGATTCTGCCATATACGGCAGTAAGACGTCTTCTACAAGTGTCAGCTCTTCCACGTATTCCTGCAGTAGGCCTGCTAATTCGGGAGCCTGTTTCTCTAAGAGAAACTTCTTCTGCTTCATAGCTAGCAAGTTCGACGTTGACCCATCTTTCAATGTGGAAATTGATGAAGTTGGAGAGGCTCCAACGTCTTGCGCGCTGGTGCTGGTAGTCAGAGAAATATTCTCTTCTTGATCGTCCACTGCCTTCCGCCTCTTCTTGGTTCCGGATTCAGTACCTACATATTTTCGAAGATGCTAAAAATAAGAAACTACCAAGTGTGATGAACAAGCACTTCGTAGTAGTAGTTGTTACTTTTAGAGTTGATTCGTATTTCGTAGTTTTCGTTAGTTTTAGAATTGGCTAATCTAGACGAAAAAATCAAAAACGCTATAGTACCTTGTCCGTCACCGGATTCGGAGTCATCGGATTCGGAGTCATCTTCGTCATCGTCTCCATCTTCTGATGCATCCGAATCTGAATCATCTTTGAAAAAAGCTTGTGCTCGATTGACCAATGCTTTTCGTTTTTCGGCTTTCTCCCTCAATTCGTTTTCGACATCAGAGGCATCTGCTTCGCTTTCCACATCTGACCCGCCATAGAAATCTTGCCCTTTTTTGCCCCAACTAAGACGTCCCACTTCCTTCTCGGCAGCAACGTCGAAGCGGTCTTTCTTTCTTCTAGTACCACCTTGCTTATCCTCGTTCAGCATGCTGTCCTTGGAAGGTAGTTGCATGTGAAGATCTTCGTCTTCCTCGAACTTGTTCGTAGCTCGTTTAGCAGGTTTGCCACCACCAGGGGCTGAAGAACCTTTCTTGCGTTTTAGTGCCATGGTTTTCTATCTCTTTTATGCTCGTTGTTCTTGTACGGGAAGGACGAGAAAGTGTGTCTTATTCTAACTCTAAGTAGAGCACAATAAAAGCTTCGCGTGGTGGTTTGCTTCAACACATAATAAGTGATCAATGAATGTCTACCACCACACTTTGCTGAAACCGGTCGTCACCACCTGTGCAGCTCAGAGAAGAACATAATCGTGAGCATTTTTTCTCCAACTCCATCAAGATCGAAGACCTACAAGATAGAAAATTATGTTTATGGATTGACATCGAAGACCTACAAGATAGAAAATTATGTTGATCGAATCAAGTAGCAGATCCGTAAGCTCACTGCTTGCCTTCAGGTGCATCCTAAGAATCTTGAGATCATACAACATCTTGTTCCTTGGATCCTCAGGAGAAACAAGTTCTTGCACGTGCTCTTCTGTAAATTGTAGTATTAGAAGCGATTTCGCTTCTACTTGTGTTGATCTTGAGTTTTCTGGATCGCGAGTGCTGTCGATGTTGAATGGTAATCATGTACTAGCTAGATCCTACAATTTCTTTCTGTGATGATCATAAGAATAAGTATGCGAACTCCACTAATGTTGATGTTGGATGAATACCTAGTAAGGGTAAATCCACAGACAGAGGGAAGCGGAGAAACAATTGTTCTCATTAGTAGGAACGAAAAACTCTGATAGCGCGGCTCCCTATTGTTTTAACTTCAAATTTCTACTCATCCTTCAACTCGTCGTTTATCACCACTTCCACCATCCCCAGATATCTCATGAAGATAACAACACATCAGACGGACCCAAACCAAACTAATCTTATCTATCAGGTTCTTCTTGCATTCCTTCCACCTAACTAGGTATCTGCATTCCTTCCAACACAGAAACAACTTTACCGGGTAAGGGTAACACGACTACACAAGGTAATACTTCTATTCCTTCCACCGTATAAATGAAACTGGCCACCGCGGCGGCCATCGAGCTTCCACAAGACCGGATTCTTCCACTGGTTCAAGTATTCTTCTGTATCTCTGACCGCCAGGTCGCGGAACTGGAATCCGTCTCTCCTGTCTCCGGTTCGTCCAATGATTTAGAAATCTCGCGGACGCCTCATTTCCTGTGTGAGGGTTCTCTACAATGACTACATCTACTGCGACTGCGCCAGACATCCGTTGGTCTCATCATGATGCCTCATTCCGCCAGGGGGACTGGTGCACCTCGTCATCATCTCCCTTGCGCGAGCGCAATACTCCAGTCTTTCGTCAATATCTTGTTCCCCCATCCGGGCGCAGAACAGGTTACGGTCTCTTGGTTTCGGAGCCACAATGAATCGTAAGACCATCTACTCCGGACTCCGCCTCCGTGGCCACGGGAATGAATGTGCTCACTCTGCAGAAGCAGAATTTTCCACTTTATTAGATACTTATCTTCCTGGCTGTACAAACTGCTGACGACGCTCAGGTTGATGGCCGTAAAACAACAACGGCTGGTAAAAAGCGTTTCGGTTTCCCCCATGATCTCCGACGTGCGACCCATAAACGCGCCACCCCTCTTGAAAATGGTCAGTATCAGATTCTGCGTCTTTGTATGCGTCCATACCTTCGCTGCCGCAGTGATAAAACTGCGCGCGCGACGAGACTTGGTCGATATTGGCAACGTGGTCCTCCTGCGAGAGTGGTGGCCTCATTCTGCAGCGAGCACCTTGCTGAGTGCTCCTCGTCCTTGTTGGAGCAGGCGCTGGCAGAAGAAGCTGAATCCTCATCAAGATCCGCAGGAAGAGCCCAGGGAGAGCGTCATCTACTTCTGCGCCGGAGGAAGTCGAAGCAGGAGGTTGCCCTTGGTCGTGGACGTGTTGAGGACGACAACCAACACCATTGGGAACGGCCGCGCAGCCTTGTAGATTCGCTGCGCTGATGAGGAGAAGAAGCGTGGCGAGGAAGTGCTTCGCGGAGGACCACGTGGCACAGCGGAGAGAAGTTGTTCTCGAGGAATGGCACTTGGCAATCATTGCGCGACGTGGCACAGCGAAGAGAAGTTGTTCTCGAGTGTAGGAGCCAATCCAGAGTCTGTGAGTGTGATTCTTGAAAATTGCAAAAACGCGATGCTGGAGCGAGGTGTTTGGAGTATCTATGTTGTAACCTGTTTGATGTACTTGTGGAAAAAGAAAGATCAACACGGCCGAAGAACGGTCGAGATAGTAGAGAACTGATGGATTTGCAGACGCAAAGAGCCTCAAACTAGCCGGAAAGCAAAACAAGCGATGCTCCAGCAGGCGCTTCCTCGAGCACGTTTTTTTTTATGTTTAATACGTTAACGTTTATGTTTTTTAATTCGTGGATTTACTTCATCCTGATCGGATTCCAAGGACACGAATTAGGAGTCTTCTCCCATGACTCTTCTCATTCGTAACCACTCCATAAGCAGAAAGAGGACATTCACATTTAGATTTAAAGGGGCTTCCGCCTCAGCCCTGCGCATCAAGCATACGAGTAGAAAATAAGCTGCATTTGTTCTGCTCTTGACCTAACAATGACTGTAAGCATGACATAAGAATAACGCCGTGTAAGAGAGAATTGATAGCTGACTGTGGATAGTAGAAAGGTATGATGAATCAGTGGCATCGAAAAAAAATAGGTTCTGACGTGAACAAAATGATCAACTATAAATATTTATAATATCAAAAACTCTACTATGACAAAAGCATTACTATGACAAAAGCATCCACCTCGGAGTAATATTGCGTACTATAATGATAATCACATCAAGGTCAATAAAATAAACTCAATCGACTGCAATATGAACATTCCGTCTAGGTAGGACCATAAGTAGAATCGCTATCGCACCAAACAATCATCTAAAAAAATGTTAACCTACTACTAGCTACAAGTAGTACTACACGAAGTAGATGACGAGGTCATTTCATTCTTGAATCTACATGAACAAATTGGAAGTTGGGAAGGCAGTGTGACAGTGTATACTTTAAAAACACGTCTGCACATGTATATTCGCCGGAATCATGTTGCGCGAGCAGATCAGTGACATTTATATTTTCACATATGCTTTCAGATTCACTACATGAGCAGGGACTCCTCGCTTTCGTTTGTTTTCCTACGATCATAATATGGCACTACGGATGGTACAAGTACTACGAGTACAATTTTTCGAATTCATATGGTCTTGATAGAAGTAGTTAGATGACTGAGTACAGATTCAGATACCATCATTGTACGCAGAACTACCTCGTCTACTGAGACTCTAAGCTTGTTCTAAGGTACTTACATTTTCCACCAAAGGGCAAGCAGAAGTAAAATAAGTCCCTATGGTGCTATAAACGGTTCATCTAAACTGCCAGCATGCCCATGCGTGCCCCTATTGTTCATCTAAACAGGGAACATGCGTGCTAATATAATATTATCAATACTAATATTGGTATAATTCTTCTTCATCGAAACGAGGCTTCGTCTTCTTGTCCGAGAGAAATACTGCCAAGCCCCAGAAGTTCCGCAGCACTGCGTGGAGAAAGTAGCCCGTCATCATGGTCCACGAGGCGAAGGGAACACCCATTTGTTGTTGTTGGTTCTCCTAGTTCTGTGAGTTAGAGCTCAGCTTAATCCATCGAGGGATTCATCTCGTTGGACCCCTTAAATAAGTAGTAAGTAGTTTTCCCCTTATCATGGGACAGGTCCAAGATGCTTCAGAAGATGGATTAGGGTGAGCCTTAAGGAAACAAGCTGGGTCCACCTCCAGCTTCAAGATCTGGTGCTTCTCCGTGTACAAAAGTGTCGGAAGAACCACTTTCCCTTGTTCCCGTCTCTCCTGGCTGATGTATCGCACCAGATGCTGCGGTGATCGCAGAGAATGTTAGAGCAGGAGTCTTGGTTGCAGTTCATGTTGTATCAAGACTACTTCTCTTCATCTTCCATTGATTAAATAATGCGAATCGCGAGTTTGCTGAGCTTCGAAAATCCTTTAGATTTTTTGTAGCAGACATGCAGAAAGTACGAACGTCTATATCAAACTCGAAAATCGTAGAAGCATCAATTTGAAGATGTCTTCTCTTGCTCATTGAACATGCTGTCCCCTATCCGTAAAGACGAATACGAACCTCCACCCGCATTCTGCGGTCTGCCACTTTCCTCTTCCGTATAGGGCGAACTGGAACTTCCCGTAGCACGACTATCAAAGCTTCGCATTAACCCAGCGCTTCCTGGTGTGTCTGGTGATTGTCGCATTTTAGACGTGGCCGCAGAAGCAGCTGGAGGATTCTCTCTGCTTGAGCTTGTTCTTCCTGCTGATGCTGTGTTTGCTCTGTTATTCGTCAAGGAGTTCCTGCCCACATTGGACGATGTGGATGAAGTAGAACTGGAAAAAGTGTTGGTTTTCTTAGTATACCTATTGCTATCTCTTCCACCACATGCAGTACTCGAATTCAATGTTGATGTGACAACAAGAGGACAAGTAACTTGTTCGGGGCCACCTGAACCAGGACGAGCAGTGGTGCAACTAGAACCAGTTGCATTATTGCTAGTACTTCCACGACTATTCCTCGACCCTCTAGTAACACTACTGCGCTTATTGTTACCCTCTTTGGTCTTGAGGTGGCTATGGCAGCTTTCCCTACTAGTACTAGGTCTTGCACCATTGGGAGATCGCAGCATACTCTTTGTTGAGTTTCCTGGCGACCGTGACAAGGACCCTTTTCGACGCTGTGCTGTAGTTGTTCCGTTTCTAAGAAGCTGGCTAGAAGTTGTTGGCTTCGATACGGAGGAACTAGTACTGCTGGAGGTAGAAGACGAAACTGCGGTCGTCAATATTGTCGGACTGGTGGAGGGAGAAGATGAAGAAGAACCTGTCCCAACACCTACTCCTACATCACCAGAAACAGAATCACCACCAGCTCCACATCCAGAACCAGACGTTATTTTACTTGTAGAAGTACAACTTGTACTACAACTAGAACTGCTGGAACTACAAGAACTACTAGCTGTAGTGCCTGTACCTGTACGTACTTCAGCACCAATAGTTGTTTCTTCCATCTTCATTCTTGTCGTGGTTTCGAGGTCCAGTTCAAGTACATCCACCTCCTCGTTTTCGGCTTCTCCTGTCACGATGACATCCACATCGAGAAAAGTGTTTTTGTTCTCAAGCAAGTATTGTGCCTCGTCGTCTCCTTGCAGGCGACTCTGGCGTTGCTTTTTAGGTGGAGTTGAAGAGAAGAGTGACTGAGAAGAAGTTCTTACGGGTGGCATAGCGGCTGGTGCTTCTATTGTTCTCTTTTGTAGTCCATCTAGTTCTTCACCTTCTTCTGGTGCTTCTATTGTTCTCTTTTGTAGTCCATCTAGTTCTTCAACTTCTTCTGGTGCTTCTATTGTTCTCTTTTGTAGTCCATCTAGTTCTTCACCTTCTTCTGGTGTATTATTTCTTTCTTTAGAGCTGTCCGTAATTCATCTTTCAAGCGCATCCTTGAAAATAAGTATGAGGGAGAGTATTACTTCCTTAGGTGGATACTCCTCCATACGTAGTTCCAAGGATACGTCCAAAGATGTATTAGGTACAGCCTTAATTTCTGATGTATTATTTCTTCTCACACAAGATGGAGCATCCTCATCAACAGACGCTGTCGCGGACAACACTTCTGACACTGATTTCCTTGCTGCTGCGTGGAAAACGAGGGTTCTGCTGGAGTTATTTGCTGATGGTGCCTCTGCCTCTGGCCCAGAATTGCGACTAACGCTGTTACTTCTCGAAGGATGTGGCGCTTTGCTCTTCGAAGGGTTTCTCAAATAGAGCTGCGATTGGTTTGGTGCTGGAATGGGTGCACCAGTGCTGGAGGTTGTTGCACTAGTGCTGGAGGATGTAGAAGTTGTAGACGAGGAAGTGGCGTTGGCTACTTCTAGTAAATTTGGTTTGTTTGACGTAGAAGAGGATGACGTAGAAGAGGATGCTGATGTTGCGGCATGAAACTCTTGATGTTCGCTGTTGGTTTTACTCGCAGGAGGGTTGTTGCTCGTTATGTTTTGCTGCTGGGGGTCAGAGGTAATTATGTTCGTTGATGATAGGTTTGGATTGCTGGTGTTTAGATTGCTTCCCACATTTTCGCCACTTCCTCGTACTATTGTCGTGGCACTAGTTGTAGAGCCACCTTGTCCTTGTTGAAGATGTATACCTGCTCTCCGAGACGATGAGTTTGGCCTTGGTAATAGATGACTTCCACGTCCTAATATTGTTCCACCACTTCCACCTACTCCATAGCCTCCAACATGTTGTCTACCGAAAGATATTGATGCTGTTGATGAACTTGAACTACTCGACGCAGATGCTGCAGTCGACGTAGGACTAGAACCAGGGTTCATCAGCGTACTGCATCGCTTCCTCCACGCTCGTCCTCCTGCCGACATCATAGGTTGCATATCGACGACGACGAAAGAATCCAAACAAGTATTGTAGTTGATCCATTTTTCGCCATCATTGTCTTCCTCGAGGTCTGCGACTGTGCTTCTATTATTTTCTTTGTTGATTGGTTCGCTTTCATCTTCCTCATGCTCTGGTAACTTCCTCACAAAGTGGGTGATCTCATCCATGTTCAGTGGAGGTGGTTCTTGCTGACTACTAGTACAACTAGTATCGCTAGTACTTCCAGAAGCAGAAGAGGGGCCACATGATGAAGAGGAGCCACCTGATGCTTTGCTCAATGCCACAGCTAGGCCTTGTAGTGCATACCTCAAGTGTTTCTTGCGCACCAGATAGGAGCTCTCGGGGTCAAAGTGTTGCAACGCTCTCCTTAGCGACCTCCTGCTGTTGTAGATAAGCATTACGATTTCGTCGGTTCTTGTATCGCCTCTCAAAATAGACTGCTGTAAGGCTTCCAGAGTACATGAAGAGGAGCTCCTGTTCTTGGACGACGAGGTAGAAGAAGGGGGCGAAGGTGTACAACTACCACCAGCATCCCCACCACAATTTTTACAAACGTCATCTAGAATCGGTCCCAGAACATGCAATAAAGCACAAAACGGAAGCTTTGATGTTGCTGCTGAGATTGTGCTGTCGGAGGAGCAGGGATTACGACCTGCTGTTGTAGTAGTTCCACTACCGGTTGTACCACCAAGAAGTCCTCCACATGTTGTAGCCTTGGCATTGATTTCCCTCAGCAATTGTTTCGCGCTCTCTTTTCTTATAGAGGCAAAGTCACGACTCGTACTTCCACCAACTGAGCAAGATGAAGATGTGGAAGATGATGTTGTGGCGCTACTAGATGAAGATGTGCAGATTGAGCCAGTGCTAGTGGAAGTGGAGGAAGCAGCACAAGTACTAAGTGCCCCAGACGAGATCGACGCGCATGCGGATGCGAAAGAAAATCCGGCTGTTTCTAACAGTGTGGCAAATTCACGGGAGGACAACAGCCCATCCCCGTCAACATCGCTCTGCTCGTAGGTCTGCAATAGCAGACTACGCAGAGCGTCTTTTTTTGCACATCCAGAAGGGGTGTTTCCAGAAGGGGCAGGTGTGTTCTGTTGTACGTGCTGCGTGAACCACTCGCGTGCTGCAGTGATAAATGCCCGAAAGAGAGGGGTTCCGTTTGACACTCCAGGTGTAGTTGACGAAGATGATGAGGCTGCCGGGGGTGTGCTCGCGGACGGAGGAGCAGGCAGTAATTGACGGTAAATGTTCTCAAAATTGCCGAGAAATAGCATCACACTACAATCTGGCCATGGTGTACTTTTGGTCGTTTTTGAAGCTGAAGCATTCGTACTCGTGTTGGAAGCAGTAGCAGTATTCTTTGAAGCTGGACTCACTCCACCCGCTCCTTCTGCTCCTCCATTGTCTTCACCTTCAGCACGACCTTGAGAGGAGGACGAGCCTGTTCCTGACTTCGTGATAGTGCTGGAACTCCCACACCCACTAGTTGTAGTTGTCGAAGTCACCAAGATCTTTTGTTCGTCTGCAACTTCTTGTATAAATCCAAAATCCTCCCATTTGCTGATCAAAGCAAACAGAGCCGACAAGTCTGAACGACTCACGCTAGCACCTATAGGGGACAAGCTTTGTGTCACATTTGAGAACGATTTTTCACTGACGGCGCCACAAATTAGATGAGCTCAAACCAATTCACTTCTTGCCTGCATTTCTCCCAATCCCATTCCCAACAAGGAGAAACACACAGAAAGGGAGAAGTTATAGTTTGGCTTGTCGATGGAATGATTTGATGATTTGTTTTATTTGAGCCTTAAACTTAGATTGGGGTCAAACAACGCAAACAGCTGTCGCAAGGGTAGTTCCGCACGCAACACTGCGTTGAAGACTGTCGCTAGCATGTCGCGCTTCCACGTCACGTTGTTGATGCCATCTAATTCAACTCGAAAACGCTGAAGGAATGCGCTCCAGTCTACTGATGTAGTTGTAGTTGTTTGATGTGTAGTTGAACCTGCTGTAGAGCTAGAGGGTGAAGTAGAAGTAGTTATCGTTGACGTGGTACAACCTGGTAGTAAGTGCAAGTTTATCATATCGCGCCAAGGAACGTTTTCGCCAATCACAGAAGACAAACCTTCGACAAACGTGTCGAGTGACAGGCTCTTGTTAGGCTTAGCTGAAGCGTTTTGGACTTTATCTTCTTGCTCTGTTGATCCTTCTTGCTGTCCAGGACTGGAGGTCATCCTATCTAAACGAACACCTTCTTGTTGTCCTTCATACCACTTAGCTAGCTGCTCCCGTCGTTCACATATTTTCACCTTCAGTTTCGTCACAATCTCCGACTCGAGTTGAAAAGTGCTCTTTCTGCGGATGCCACGCCGGTAGCTTTCCTCGCGACGTGTGAGGTCTTCGAGTGTGTGCATCACTGCTTGACACGCCAAAGTGTTCTCCTGCTCTAGGTCCAGTATTTCGGAGAGTTCGGGTGCCCAATGCTCAAAAATTTCGAACTCTAACGAAGGTTGCAGTAACATCACAGCTCCGTAGTTGCGACTATTAGAAGTTGTCCATCTTCTTGAGTAGAAGTATGTACAGGATCCTGGAGTGAATGCTCCTCATCTAGAGAAAATCTAGATGCATTTATCTTTAGGCATGGAGCCTTAACACTAGTCCCACAGTAGTTGGAAGCACTAAAAATCGTGATTAGTTTCGAGTCGTGGTGCACCTGGAAACCCCGGCTGTTTGCAGGGAGCTCGTGAGAGCGGACTACCTGGAGAGGAGAGGATGTAAGAGTGCTTGAGATCACCTCTACTATCTCAAACATTTATCCAGCATAATATCTCAGCACGGTAGAACTAGAAGTTGTAATCTATAATTGTATGGAGGTTGCTTTAATTGTATGGTTCTAGTATTTGGTAACCTGAATTCAATCACAAGGATTTCCTTCTTGTTTTCTTCATCATGATCAAAATCAGGTTACCAAATACCAACACCATTCAGTATGGAGGTTGCTTTAATAGTATTCCTATTCTGTAATAATTGTATGGAGGTTGCTTATGCTTTAATAGTATTCCTATTCTGTAATAATTGTATGGAGGTTCTTGCTTTAATAGTACTTATTCTTGAACAATGTAGTACCATATGCAATCCATTTTCCTTCAGGAACCTCTTTGTCGTCTCACTTCCGAAGCTGAAGCAGTCATCGCCCCGTTTTGATATCCCCTTTGTTTTCGTCGGGTTCGGATCTGCCCACAAATTAGCGCGTAGAGTCTACAACGAAAGTCGGCATCTTGACAACGAGACGTTGATGATGATGATATACCCAGTCCTTACACGGGTATGCATGTTACAAACTGAGTCTTAGTCTTAGTCTACGAATATTACGAATAAGTGATTCACCTTCTACCTGAATGAAGAGACAAAACTTTTGTGCATAGTAAGGAAATTTGAAGTAAACCTCGTCCTTTGAACAAGTAGATGCATGCATTCCCGTATAATTTATAATGTGAACCGACTAGACGGGGGTGATTAATCGATGCATTCCCGTATAATATTGGTGGAGCCGACGGACCTAACTAGAAAAAAGAATAACTAGAAAAAAGAAGATGCATTCCCGTTGTATTAGAGATTCTGCCTTAAACAAAGAGTCGAAGAAAATCCACTCTCCTACGCTACTCGGATGCTCAGGGCAAGCGCGCAGGCGGTTGACACGGTTTATGTGCTTCAGCGTGACTCCGGGGCATCGGAAAAGGCCGCCGTGAATAATGAGCAGCTTGTTGGAGACCACAGTACCAAGAGGCATCAGATTGAACGTCTTCTGGATTGTCTGTTTTGTAGAACAAGTTGAAGTTGTGTACTTAGTATAGGAGTTTTTGGGGTTTATCGTGGTGTTTCAGGATGAATGATGTTCAAGTTGTAGGGATTGGAAATCATCCGCAAGGCAACGGCAAGAATGGAAATGATGAAATTCGAACGTACTAAGGGTAAAGTGACCCCCATTTTTATTAGAGCATCTTAATCACATTTTTGATATACTTAGAAACCAATAGTAACAGTAGACTCAGATTGGTAATGCTTCTGGTATTTGATTTAAGCATGAGCATCATTATTTCGGTACTACTTTCTTACCTGATAAACATCATTTCCGTATTTGCCTCTGCACTCTTGTGCGAATCCACCACCTATGGACCGGTCTCTCTCGTTCATGTTCGCGTCCTCGTGATTGCCACGGTTCACATGCACACAAGACGGATCACACAGCTGATGCGCGAACATCAAAATCAGAATCTCGGTGCCGCGCCTGGAGGAAGTGTTGTAGGATAGATAGAATAAAGGACTAGGACATATTGTTGACTCTGACCAGTTGTTTCGCGATTGCTGCTCAAGTCTGCAGGTTATAGCTAGAACATAGATGAAGTGATCTATTCGTTCTAGAAGGTCATAGCTAGAACATAGATGAAGTGATCTATTCGTTCTCGAATTTTTAAATCAGGCCGAGGGCAAATGGGAGGTACGAAAGAAACAAGGGAAAGGTTCTTCAGTTAAGTGACAACGAAAAAATGAGAAAGTTGTGAATACATGCCCCTATCGACCATGTCACCGTTGAAGAAGTAGACGTTTTTCGCGGTTGGCCTCCCATATTTGAAGAATATCCAGAAGAGGTCCTCGACTTGGCCGTGCGTGTCTCCTACTATGACCATTCGGCCTTCTTTCGGCGGCTCTAGTTTCACCAAAGGTTGTGTGTACAACTTTGTATAGAGAGCTTCAGCTTTTTTGACTAGCGTTGCCACAAAACTCTTGGGCAACGTCCTGTCTGGCTCGTTCTTTATCCTCTGTACCAGTTTCGTCACCATTTCTTCCGTGATATTGTTCACGTCAAAATCGAAGCCCAACTCTCGGCGCCATGGAGCTGGGTTCAGAGCAGAGGAGGAGCTCGATGACGATGAGGTAAAAGAAGATGACGAACAACTAGAAGAACTACCTGGGAGGTACCCCCTGAATGCACCAGATGAACCACTCGGATGTATCTGTCCAGGTCTCTCTGTTGCAGTTCCGTGCCGCGTCGAAGGTGACCAATCCTGCGGTGTAGTTATTTGTTTATTTGCTTAGCAGGTTTCGGTAGCGTTGCGAAAATCATCATCATTCATGAACGAAGATAAAGATTGGTACAGTGCTGGCTATTCATCTTGTTCACAAGAGGACTACAGAGAAATATTAGCGACCACAAATAAACCAGAAGTTGAAGTAGCAACAGAGAGATTCAAATTGAGAGTAGCATACAACTCGTACTTACTTCTACCTCGTTCTTCAGCACCGTCCTTGCAACCGGCGAAAAGCCACTTGTTGGTCCTCCAATTCCAGGGTGCCCAACTTTAGAGCTTCCTGGAATCCATCTTGAGTGGCATCCTGGGTTTGCTTTTCCCTTACAGGATGGTCCCAAGATGCTTCTGGAGATGGATTACCCGAAGCCTTAACAACTACACCATTTCTGCTAGCCGCGATATCCTTCGAAGAAGACTCTGGAAAATTGGCTTGTAGGTAGTTCTCTATCGTGCTCACAGTAGCATTTTCTGCTAGAAATTCGCGCTCTTCCTCCTCTTCCAATCGACTCCAGATTTCCACACTTTGCTGTCTCGTTGGTGAAGGTGGAGCTCGCACAAAACCACCGGATTTTGACAGTATGTTAGCTTGCGTAGCCAAATTCGATTTGGCTGTGGGAGAACAGGAAGATGATGTGGGACTTGATGTAGTGGTTTCCTTTGATGATGCTGTAGTGCCCCCGTGTAGAAATTGTTCCTCTCTTATGAAGCGAAGAAGTGCACTCACACTCAAGGAATTGGCTAGGATTTAAGTAGGAAAATAGCCACTTTTTCTGAGGGTGAGTGCACTTTTTTCTTTCATATCTCTGATACAAGAACTGTCTCCTCCTCGCAGAAAATTGTAGTCTGTGCTCCTCAATGGGCGCGGATAAGGAGAAACGCTGGCTGTTGTAGATGTTGTAGAACTAGTACTAGTTAGACCTTCTAGCCCTAATCCACCCTGTCCCTGTACATGATGAGGGAAAACTTTCTTGATGATGGAAAACCCTGTACAAGTACATTCTTCTTTCCATGATCCTCTACATTCTTCTTGATGAGGGACAACCCCAGAGACCGAAGAGATAGAGATGGATTAGTGGGAACCTTAAGCTAGTAATCGGGTGAAGTCCCGGGATGTAGGGTGCCGCCACTTCCGCAGCCGTTGGAGATCGATCGGCTGGTGCAGGATAGCGACTTTGTGATGCTGAAGATGCGCTTCCGCTTGTTGTAGTTGTAGGAAGAGGCAACATAGTAGTGTTCGATGATGGATCGACGGGAGTAGTTGGTGTAACAGGCGATGGCGCGATGTCTGAAGCAGGGGATGGAACGGCAGTGGAGGCTTCCCCCGGTGATGGTAGGACATGATAACTTTTGTTCATGGCTGTGGTTGTAGTATTAATCGCTGATGAGGAGGACAGTGGAGCGCCTGCTGAAGATCGTGTCGGTGCTTGGAATCTATGCTGTTGGGTACTAGAGTTAATATGCTGTTGAGGTTGACTAAGACCACTGGAGCTAGAGGATGTAGAGGTAGACCCTCCACCTCCTCCTGGACTCAGAGTACCACCTCCTACAGGTGTCCCATTGGATGATATGAAAGCCGTTGTCGTTGGAGATTGGTCTCCTTGATGTGCTGCCTGGTGCTGCTGTTGTTGTTGTTGTAGTTTTCCCAATAGACTAAACGATGATGAATGTTGCATCGAAGCTGCGTGTTTTTCCAAAGCGCTTGCGCGGAGGAACAAGCCGTGATTCGGTCTTGTGGAGAAGTATCGGACACCATTGACGGAGCCGTCATTCTTGCCTTCCGGAGAGGCGAGCTCCAAACCGACCCACACACCGGCTGCAAACTGCGCTACGCCGCGGAAACGGACGGTTGCCTTGTTTCAGGAGGTTGTAGACACACTAGTACTTTTGTCCTTCTAGAGGCTTTATTCTTATTGTTCTACAAACGAGTTGTCAACAGTGTATGATCATGAAAAACCTGTCATTGTGATCTTTTCAACACAGCTCTACTTTTTAGTACAGAAGTTGCTTGAAGAGTCATCTCTTCCCTTGGACACATGCCACCCATCATCTATCTTATAACAAATGCTCTAGAATACCTTGCACCCCGCAACCTGCAAGGTGTCTCCGATCTGGAGCTTTGTCGTTTCGCCCACCTCTTTCGAAGGGGAAGGTATTCTGCAATAGGTCGAGGAACTTTTCTGCAATGTCCGATTCATAGTACGCGTCTGATGTGTAGTTTGATGTGGTGGATGACTTGATGTTACGTTTATTCCGCTTCCACCGAAATGAGTACCAGGTGGTCCTAAACCTGGACCGCTACTCCCACGAGAATTTGCCATATTAGCTGCTGGAACAGACGCAAAGCCAGACAAGCCGCCTGCTCCTGTTGTGGTCGAGCCATGATGGTTGTTCATCAGTCCACTTTCAGCGGATGGCACACGACGCATAGTGCTGTGGCTGATTTGATGAGGAGAAACACCAGAGCTAGCGGAAGTAGACGATTGCGGAAACAGCAATTGGAAATTCGAAGACCCACCTGGTCGCGTTCGAATCCTAGACTCGTTTACTGCTCCACCACCTGCTGATATTCCAGTTGCTGGTGTACTACTACTATTCCCAATACTAGCACCACTAGCACCGAGCAAACTGTAATTACTGAGCGGTCGCATTAATTGAGGGACCGACTGACCGGACGATCGCGACGCGGAGGCCCCGCCAGCCTGTTCGCTGCCCAAAGGCGGTCTCTTATGATTCAGATTCATCTTCCTTCACACTGGTTCTGATGGACAAATGTCGTTTTTACGTTTAGTCCTTTTTCTTCTATGTCCTTGCCATGCTGGAAGGCGAATATTCCTTCACTTTGCGTTTGTCGGGTCACGGTCAAGTGATCATGAAATTTTAATTTGCTTACCTACTTCTTTTGTTGGTTAAGTAAGCAGGGATACCATCATCATCACCGCAACAACTTCCAAATCGCACTTCTTCTTCTACTACCATGGAATTGATTCTAGTACAACTCTGCTACCACGACACTTCATCTCTCTGCCTTGAAACTAATTCCGCATATCTTCTTGTTTTTTATAAGGCGAGTAGGTCTAGAACTAGATTTCACCTGGCTTCACTTTCGCTTCATGTTTGAACTTTTGTCGTGCACGTCTCCACCACTTCTTTCATCCTTATCTTAGACTACATCACTGTACTAGTTCTTGTTAGACTTAGAGGACTCTTTTACTTTTACCAACCGATGGCACTGCCAGTTCTTGTCCTACAGAACTACAATGAGTGACCTGACAAGTAGTTCTCTTGATCAGTAGGAGCTCTGCGTTCAAGAAATCTTTAACACGTCTTCTCCTCACTGCGGACGAAATTTCAAGGACAGGAGCAGAACTGCTCTTTTTGACGTGAGAGTCAGCGTAGGATGTCATCATGATACCAGCTGCTGGTGACTGAGAAGCATGAGTAAGGTTTTCATCTTATCAAAAAATCATACGGTATGAAATGCTTTTCTGGTCGTCTTCGAGGGTTCTTGTTCATATGCTGACTATGAATGGGAAAGCGATGGGATACATCGTGGCAACAAGTGTGGCGCCTTAGGGAAGTTGGCGTGAGCAGAGGCTCCTGTTTCATCGTGGTCTTTCATACAAGCAGAAAAGCGCAGTAAAAAACGCCTTCTACATTCAGGGGCTGAAATGTAGTTGTCAAAAATCAGATGGTAAGTAGACAACTAACTATGAAGATGATGCTGAAGAAGATGTAGTGGATGTTGTATTTTTCCATTGACTTGTAGTTCCGTGTTCGCTCTTACTCCTCAATATCTTCTCCTCTGCTACTTGACGAATCCTCCACTGCGACTACATCCTCTGCAACATCATCAATTTCAACATCATCTACTATTCATCCAGTGTGGGCTTCATCAAGTGTATTCAACTTGAAGTGGAGGTGAAAAATCACTAGTATTCAAGTGGGGCTGGAAGGCGGTTGATGATGTTTCCGATTTCTGTGGCGGAGTAGAGGTGATACTGTCCCGTTGACACTGGGATGCTGGCAACTTCGACATTCACTGTCGTCATCTTCTCTTCCATCATCTGAAGAAGGTTTTTTTGTGCACTCTGTGGGTGGCCGAGTACGTTAATCTTGACGAAAATGAAAATGTTCACATGATCTGAAAATGAGTTCACATGATCTGAAAAGTGACAAATATAATTCAATTCTTCATCCCAAACCATCTTCATCATGATTTTACAAATACGCATAAAAAATAGAAATACCTGTCTAAGAATTCCCAAAGCACAGACTTCAGCTTCTGCCAATGTCATATCCGACTTGAATTGTTCGGCTAGCAAACTCGTCGCCCCTTCCTGTGCTGAGCCAATGGCTGCCGCGGTATATTGGGTACAGCTGTAGGTGGGATTTTGGAGGGGCAGGGAGTTAAGGGCTAGATTCTTCTATTTTGATGGCGATGGGGAGTTACCTGAATTTGATGAGCATGTGTTTGCTTACTACGATGAACCAGGTATTTGATGAGCATGTGTTTGCTTACTACGATGAACCAGGTATTTTTAGATCTCCGTTAAAATAAAAGACTACGTTCCACTCGGATCCGTGACCCATAAAGCCGGTTTTTTGTTATCGTTAACTCCTCCTACCAGCATAGCAACTCCGAAGGGCCTACTCATGGTCTTTTTTCTCTTCCCATCTGTCACATCCGCAAAGTCAAGTGCTAGGTCGGCAATCTGAGTGGAAGGGGAAAGAGGAAGGTGGAGGAGAGGCTTGGATTTCGAGGTTGTGTGTCGTCCGTGTGGTTGTGGATACCAAGTTAGAGAAGATCATGATCTGCAAGAATAGGAATTCCTATTAGGAACAAGTACAAGGAGTCAAGTTGACTACATGAACATTCGTAGTCGTACAAGGAGTCAAGTTGAACTACTAATTAACATGTTTGTAATTTGACATGAACATATTTATATATAACTAAGTACCGCATTCACCGTCGATTCCACAGATAGTGGTTCGTTGTAGGTGAACCAGTGGTTCTGGGCCTCGTTTCTGGCGTGGTCCACCAACATTCTAGCATCCGCTAAGAGTCCTGCCGTCGCACATCCCAAGTGGTGATCGATCTCGAAAACCTTTTCTATTGTTTTTGGGACTATGAGACTATTCGCAAGCTTCTTCTCGACAACGAAAAGAACGCCCTCTTTAGTGACTAGTCCAATGGCAGTTGTTCCGAGTTTGATCGCAGCGATGGCGTACCTGCATTTATGAAATTCATAGTGAAGAGATTACGGTTGTACTACTAGTTCATTGTACGCAGCTGCGGAAACAATAAGTTCTTGCAGAATGAACAATATTGCAATAGATAGAACAATGTCTGGCTTGTGGTGAGGGTCTCCTACAAAGCTAAATGTAAAAACGTCAATATTACTCTAGCTGAAAGAGTCGCCCCTCTGGACTCCATGTCCCTACGCTTCGATCGTACTCGCTTTTGCTCATCTTTTATTTTGTCCTTCGATCCAAACTACACCTAAGTAGATAAAAGTAACAGTAAGTCGTGTAGGTAAGTACTAGAGCGATCTACTCGTTATTTGCTTTTACTTAATGTTACTCTGTGTCTGTCAGAATCTTGAAGCTCGCAAGAGAGCGAAAGCAGTGAACAGTTAATAAACAGATTGTAGCTGTCAATCAAAAGTCACCGATATCAACCACACACTGTAGCATCTGTTTTCCTACTTGCAGAAATTCAGGTTCGTTGCAGCAAGATCAGGATTTGCTTTTGTTCATCTGGCTTATCATTTCGTCAGAGTGATCGCTTGCAGATGGTGGATAGATTATTCCAGTATGCACTTGCCGCTTACTTATGTAAAATCTCACGTGCACTTCATGCATGGCAAATCGACGTTGCTCCTGTTTAAGAACATCTTTTCCGTCATCTTCGGGATTGCAGTGTACGTTGTTGAAACTTCTTTTTTTTCCGCAAAAAATGCGCTAAAATGACGAAGAGGATCGATTAGTTGATTTCTAATTCACACAGCACCAGTCGCAGTTTAGTTTGTTCTTTGTCATTCTCTTGGCCTTGATGGAATCATACGTAGATGTCATTAGAGAATAATTTCATTTCTTGAATGGGGATCAATCTCAATGTCGCATTATGACAGACACCGACATTTCAATGCTTCTCCTTTCGTCAGGCTTATTTCGCACTTGTCGTATTCCAGTCCTTCACAAAATTTTCCATAATCCGACGCGTTTCCGCATAGACCTCCTCGGCACGTGCGCGGCTTGTTTGAGCCTGGCAGTATTTACATTTTGATCATGCCAAAGAAAGCGTTGCAGAAAGAACTACGAAAACGAATGTGCAAGTCAGTGCAGCCATGATTTTTCGAGAATCATGCTTAAGGTGGTGTCAAAGTCAACTGTTGATCTTAAATAAAGGTTCTTTCTCCTTGAGTAGAGTCCTACTTCTTCTAGTACCGGTACCCCCAGAAGGTGGAATTGTACAATTAATATTGCACCTGCATCTGCGCATCCTTCGCCTTCTCGATTGCACCACTTACTTCTATCAGCTTTTTCTCCACTTCCGCGCTCTTCACTAGTCTGGCATCCGCCACAGAGGGGAAAGGTGACTCGGAAGATGCCGTTGTATCAACCACGGCAGTCGGCGTGGTGTTGGTCATCATGTTTATCATCCTTCTGTTGCTGGTCCTCGCATAATGATACTGATGCTGGTGCTATTAATACAACTGAGGAAATAATGTTAAAACTACTGTTGAAAAACGGATTCGTCTCATCATTCTTCGCTCATCTGACCCTTTGCATCCTCACAGTTCGTTCTTGTAGTTTAGAAGTGCATCCTTTGTTCACTCGAAAAAAAACAGAATTCGAGTTTCTGGTCCGTCAGGAGCGCTCAGCTCATTCCGCAGTCGTGGTTCATGTAGTGACTCTCTCATCCTGCTCTTGCACTCGACGGATGATCACGAACAAGAACATTAAAATATTCTCATAACGAGCTCTTCAACCACAAGGAGGAAATACTTTTATGATATTAAGTACAACCGCATCAAACATATGTACAAGCAGTGAGAGAAATGTCAAGTTGTAGGAAGTTTGACTGTCGTGAGGCTGAGGAAGAACATAATTTCAAATCGATTACGATTGTTATATCTTTCTTATATATACGTAATTGTTAGTCTTTTATCTGTGCGTAATTTGTAGATTCGTTAGAAAGAGATGCTTTACTAGCACTAGGAGTACGTTTTAAATATTGAAGTTTCTTTGCCTCATCGTCGTCGAGAGCGAGACAACTACAACTAGGGGTCTTCGTTGTACTTGGTGGTTTGTCTTTAGACAGTAGTTGCTTGATATTTTTGATGTTTTTCTTTGATACAACAACATTACCTTTTTTATCAAGCCCTTCTTATTTTGTTCATTGCGATGAAATCGATGTTAGTTCATTCTGATTCTTGCAAAAACGATACCTGTAGCTATTGCAAAACCATGCGATCCATGACGATCATGATGATGCAGTTCTTGCTTGCTTCCGCGGATGAGTAGTACATTCACAACCGGACCTGCTATTGAAGCTAACCTACAACTTTCGATTGCGCTTACTTCTCTTGATTCGCTCACATAACTTCTACTGCTTCCTCTATCTTCTCGCTTTACAGTTCATTTTTCTTATTTCTAGATGATACTCTTCATTCGACGTTTGTCACCCACTATACGTATACTTACGACTTACTACTTCGTTCTTGTCGATACTGTGCATTCACTTTTCAAAAAATCTCGTATTCAATCCCTATGATCTCTGTGCAATGAATAGACTGTTGGAGAAGATCGAAGTTGCCCGAGCTTGATGCTCACAGATCATGTACGAATAGATAAACCGTTACCGTTATTGCTGCAGATAAATTACTTACTTTATTTCAGATGAGAGAGTATTACCATCAAAAATCGCAAAACATAATTTTTCGGTTAGGTTAGGTTATGGATCCTGAATTTCAATTTTTAACTACAAACATACACTTTACACTAGATACTACACCCTTTTTACAAAAAACAAACTCACCATGGCTTCTATGTGGTACAAGAACGGTAAAAGACCAATGACAATTTGCATCAGTAGAAAGATGAACAATCCGTATTTTGTAAGTATGTCGTCTTCAGTGAAAATTATTCATTCTTCGTCTTAACTCTATATTTAGTACACCGAGACATTACGATTTCCATGATGTGATGTAAGTACAGCAACTCAACTATGCAACAGTAAAATTTATGTAGCGCGATGACGGTCGTTACGGTTAGCAATGAGTTCTCTATAAAAGTTTTCATTGTTCTTGAAGATGTACCTTACCTATATATAATGAGTACTTATATTTTCCATACTCAGTTCTTTTTAATACTATCAGGACTTTCTTTGCAGATTTTCTGTGCAGTATTTGTACTTCTACTATGCAATCTGTTCAAAGACCACGAATAACCTTAATTCCTCATCATCCCCAGTGCTTTTGCAGCTCAAAGCTGTTTCCACACTAATTTGGTATCCGAGTCAAAAGAGTGTGCCGCGATCGCTGCTGTCAATTGCCCCAATCTGGCTTGTGACAGGTACAAGGGTTTACCACGCGTCAGGTACCTATCTTCTTCGCCGTAGGCGTCAAGGTAAATCGCACCCCACACGCAAATCTTGTCATCCTTCTGAATATGCACAAGACCGGAGAGCAGGTTCATCAAGACTGACAAACCGGCTGCGCATTTCGGAGCGTGCTTTGTGAAGGAATTCGGACAAGGGTTAGAAGATGAGGGAGAATTTCATGTGTACATAATGTTGCCGTAGAGTACATGGACAAGGCAGAGGAAGAATTTCATGTGTGCATAATGTTGCCGTAGAGCACATGGACAAGGCAGAGGAACAACGATAGAAAAGCTGGGTATTCATTTGGAGGGAGCGAAGGTAAGGGAGCTCTAAGGGAGTAGAAGGACAAGGAGGGGAGGATCAGGAAACCGCTTAATAATGTATGGCTCCGGTATTTGGTAACGGTAACCTGAATTGGATCATAAGGGAAAACAAGAAGAGAACCCTTAGGATCAAATTCAGGCTATACCAAAGACCAGAACCATACAACAAGTCCCCTGCGTGGCTTGAACGTCTCAAAAGCATAAGCACGACTCAAAACTTCACTATCATGCATGATCAATAAGAGAGTCTCAAACTCGTGAAAGGACTCTCGTTCTCTTATGAATTTATCATTATCTTGCCAGAATCTTCATCCATAAAATTTGGATTCCCCGCACTGGCGTGGTGTCCAAGCCCGTACATCTCTTGGAACATGCCACCTCCTCCAGCGCAGAGATGACGACCACTGAAGAGGCACAAGAAGGAAACTTTAGGTTGGTTCGACGTGCTGCTTGACGACGCGCTGCTTGACGAGGCGCCAGGTCCTGCACCGCCGATCACTGGCGCGCCAGCGCTGCCTGGTGGCGGTGGAAAGCACAAAGGGCATTGCTTGTGGATGTAGGTCGTGTACAACGTTTGGTACAAGTACGGTAGCTTGATGAGAACACCGCCATTATGGTTGAAATGGAGCAAAGTTGGAAGCATTGCGTTGTTTGTTGAGGAGTTGTTTGTTCCGGATGAGGATGAAGATGCTGCTGCTGTTCCGGCGGATGACGTAGTAGTCTTCAGCTGCGCCGTTGTGCTCATACAACTAGTAGAGCTGCCTGCTGCTGCTCCGCCGGCAACAGTAGAAGAAGTATTTTTGTTCTCGTTTCCACTTCCTGGTGCGGCACTTGCAGATGCGGCTTCATCACTTCCGGCCAAAACAATCTCATGGCCAGTTGGCGTTTTCCCGAATCCCAATAAATGAAATTCTAAATAGAAACAGCGATTGCTCAACAACAAGCTAGACGGCTTCGACCCAGACGACACTTGTTTGCTGTACTCCGCTGCATACTGGTTCACGCAGTCCTGTTTGCAGCTCAGGCGGATGAAGGAGGAGTTCTTGGCAAACTTAGGCCTGATGTAAGGGATCTGGCGACCAGTCAACTCATCAACGGCTTTTTGATTCAGACTGGGAACTAGCTCGACCACTGCGCGACTAGCAGCTTTGCGACTATTGTTAGCGCTACAACCGCCCTAGCATCTTCCCTGTCGTGACTGCATCCTTCTTGGGCCATTTTTCAAGTTGTACAAAAAGAAGAGCCAAGGATGATATTCACTAAGTGTTATCACAGGGACATGCTTGAGCGGTTGTAGAAGCCTTAATATTGCGCCACTTCTCTACTGCGTTGTTCATCTTCTTCCAGATGTAACGAGGGACTTGGAGACCTGCACCTGAGTGTTGAGCAGATGATGAAGCTCCACCTGCCGGACTAGTAAAATTCAAAACCGCTTCCAGATCATGACCCGCCCACTTCGCCAAGTAACATGCATGTTCCCAGGCGTTGGTAATGCGCCCAGCAGCGATTTCCTTGTCAACTGGTGGTAGTTCACCGCTGGACCAAGAAGGGGTAGAAGGTGTAGGTGGAGGTGTGCTGGAAGAAGTTGCTCCCGATACAACTCCTGGTTGTCCTAGTATAATGGTTGTCTGTGGAGGTTGTGCTTGTTCGCCGGCCGAGCCTGTAGATGCTCCTGCTGTAGTAATATCGTAGCACGAATTTGATAAGACATGCTGCAACAGACACTGTCTCCGCAACAAAGGCAAAATAGCGACTCCCACTAGGTTTCTCGCCTCCGTTTCTGACAAGACGAAGTACTCCGCAGCCCGTCGGAGCTCGTTCTTTTCCCTACGCAGCTCTTCCCTCTGTTCCCGATCCTCTTGGTCGAATATGTGGAACAAATCTTCTTCTAGAGCATCATCTCCATTGCCGTTCTGGAGTTCTTCTAGGCCATTCAGGAGTGTGGAAATGCAGTCTGAAAGGATTAGAGCTGATTTATTAGTACCCTAGGTAATGGTAATCCATCTCGCTGTCCATCCCGAGAGCGTTTTCCCGCCCTTGAAAACGTCTCTAAGCAGGTACCTACGTAGACCGCTTTTATTTCCGAAGATGGATGACGAGTAGAAAAAGCCTTAAAAGAACGGACTTTTTGTCTGGAGAGCTCGTTTCTGCTGTGCCGACATCGGAAATGAGGGAATCATGCCTGGTGAGCAGATCCGTTCGCGTCTTGGAGGAAAAAGGGAAAGCGTTGTAGAGACTATTTCCAGCACCAGCAGTTACACGCTCGCCTCTTGGAGCATTCGGTGGCCTTCCTCCTGACGGCGTATCGGCCTCGTCTCCCCCTGAGGCACTACTACCGGAAGAACCTGATTCTTCTGTAGTTTGAGGGACTACAATGCCAGCAGAAGAACAGGAATCCAACTGCGCCGGTGGTGGGGCCATAGTAGAAGATACAGCTTTAGAACTGGACGAGGGTCTCCTTCCCGAACCGTCCATCTTATCATCCTCCAGTCCTGTCAGAGTCATTTGCAGGTTCACGTTGTTCGTGCGGGACAACAGCTCACGCGAGAGTTTCTCGCCCGCTCCCTGGTTGTCTCGGTACAGATCGAACACCGTCGGTTCGGTCTGAAACCCCGGTGCGAAGTAGGGGATTTCCAAGAACGAAAACTCGGATTCCAGAGTTGCGAAAAGCAACTTCAGTGTGTGCATCAGCGAGATCAAGCCCGTTTGACGTGCTAGGTCAACGGAAAGAACGCTGCCAAAAGTGGACCACTCATGCAGAACCGCAGGATCACATGGGATCGCTGTACAGACGATTTTGCGCACTAGAAGCTCTGTTGCCGAGAAGTAGAGACTACTACGCTTCGATGCTCCTTCACCTTTCTCCAAATCTAGCATGTTGTTCAGCTGATGTTGTTGCTCTTTCTGCTGGAGGTTGTTGTTCTGTTCTTGTGCAAGAGCATTTTGTTGCTGGTCGTCTCCACCAGAAGTTGTAGTTGCGTCACTTCTTGGCGGAGAAAAAGGTGGCGGTGGTCCAATCAACGAAGACGCCGATTGAAAGGACGCGGCTCCTGCACTTGTCGTCAAACCACGACCAGGGGGTGATGCCTGTGCAAACCCCGGAGGAGCAAACGCGTTGTAAGCCTGAATGCTGTCGACGAAAGACCTCAACAGGTCCAAACGCTTGGGTTCGAGAACAAAGGTGCCTTTGGCGCGTAGTCGGATCTCGTCTAAGCGGATCTGATCAGCTAAGACAGAACCTAAAATGGCGACAGGATGGGGAGCAAGACTGCGCATCACCGTTCGCATGGCTTCTGTCTCACCCTTGCGGGCACCAGCTGTAGTTGCGCCAGCGATGCTGCTACTTGTCAAAAGTTTCGAAGAAGCAACGGCTCCTGTACTAGTTGTAGTTGTACCCTGTTCCACAGTTGCACTTCCAGCAGCTCCAACCGATCGGTTATTCCCAATAAAAGGAATAGAAGGTAGTTGTTGACCAGCTGCAGCATCTGGCCGATGATGATTTCGAGGAGCCATCAGTGGACCACCTGGTGCACCATTGCCACCTCCCACAGTCTGAAATGGATGTGCAATTGCGGCAGTGCCAGTTGGCGAATTCGTTGCTCCCTCGTCACTATTCTCTAGAGCGTTGAGCCTCTCATTGATGCTAGTCGTCAAGGAGTCTATTTGTGAAAACTGAGCTTGCATTTCATGTGTCGTGGAAATCACGCTACTCAGTGTCCTTGCTGCGCTGTCTAGTCGTGCTCGTAGTTCGGGCGAACAGCGGTCTAGATCGATGCCAGACATGCCTAAACTCTCAGCTAAAAACTGACGCAAGATACGGAGCTCTACTTCTGATGTTTGTTGCTCACCTGGGTTGGTTGTTGCTGTTGTAGTACTAGAAGTGGCTGTGGCGGCTGCTCCAGGACCTCCAGCACTTGAGATTGAGAAAGATGGCGTCGCACCACTACCAGTAGTACCTCCAACATTGATTCCGCCAGTAGTCGGAGCAGGAGCGCCAGAAGAGGCAGGGGGAGCAGCAAGAAGAGCGGCAAGCTGCTGAGAAGCATCCTGCTCTGGGTGAAGGTTCTCGCCTCCCGCTCTAAGAGGCGAGGGAGACGAGGGCGCCTCCTCAACCGAGTCAGACCGCGATCGCGGAGTCATCAAAACCTGATTGCTCATTTGCGGTGACGTAGAGGCTGGTCTTCCTTCAGGAGGAGCATGATTAGCAGTGTGAGTATGAACTTCCGATCCTCCAGCACTAGAAGTAGAAGTGATATTAACCATGCTAAACGCGGATTCTCCAGCAGGCCCACCACCTAATAGAGGTCCTCCCTGTAGTTGTTGTTCACCAGCGGCATCAGAGGCGCCAGATGAACTAGCGACGTCCTCCATAGCTGTGTCGAAGGACCCAGCTTGACTCGGTTGTTGATTGCAATTCTCCGCAAACGAGGACGGCGTTAACCGAACAATATTACCCGAGGACTGGTCATCGAGCATACCTCCTGAAGGTGCAAGAGCTGCAGGACGACCTGTTCTTGTATTAGAAGGCATCAAGGCTCCTCCATCACCACTACTACTGGTGCCTAAGTGCTGCTGGACCAACATGTTGTTCGATGAAGAAACTACACTGCCAGCTGACGAGGCTCTGGGAGCACCGTTGTTGTTCAACAACGTGGGGCTTCCAACATTGGATCCAGTTGTACTGCTCCGGTTCATCAGTGTTCCTGCAATGATCTGCCTCGACGTCTCAGCACTCTGCTGAAACAACTGCCCTAAACCTTGAAGTAAGAAACCAGACTGAGGTGATGCTCCTCCCGTTGCTGCTGCGTCTGAAGACCCCGTCGCACCACCTTGTTGAACTTGATTGAACACAAGAGGAACGACCGAGCTCTGTGACGACGGTCTTCTGCTGTTTGGATCGCTGCTAGGGGGATTGCTGCCTCTAGCAAGTGGAAAAGCGGAGAAACCCCAAGGTGCTGCTGAACTAGAACCTGGACCTGCAACTTCTGCACCTGAACTAGAACCTTGTTCAGGAGCTGCAACAACACCACTTGCTGAACTACTTGAAGATGAACCAAGATCTGTTGGAACTTCACTTCCTGCTTCTGTCCTTGCCCTTTTCGGCTGTTGCTCTCCTGTTGTGGCATCTCCTGTGGCAGTATTTGTCCAGGCATACGAGGAGGATGAAAAGGATGCGACATGATCCTCTGCAGGCCATGGAGGAGCTACAATTTGCATTTGTTGTTCTCCAACTTGAGCACCTTGCCCTAACCCTAAGCCTGTTGATCCTCCAGTAGTGCCAGTTCTAGGACTAGGACTCGCAGCCCCAACTAGTAGCGGGCTAGAGCCATCACGCGCATCTTCAAACTGGAGGTCGTCTGCATCATCCATAGAGACAACGCCAGATATTTGCTGTTGTTCTAGTGCCTGATTTACAGTGCCTGTAGATATTGCCATCCTTGTTTGAACTGGTGTACCGCCAACCGTGTCATTGTTGACTCTTCCAATGAAGTCTGCAAAAGCAGAGGCATTAGCGGTTGTAGCAGTAGTACTAGCTGGAGGCATTGTTTGAGTGCCTTCATCAACTCCAGTTGCTCCAGTATTCGTGCCTGTTGCTGCAGTTGTAGTGGTTCCCCCATGATCGAGACCAGTCCTAGTCGAGCCAGCAGCTCGATTCAACAACTGTCCTACTGTGGTGTGCACCACTTGCCGATCTTGAAGCAAAGCTCTTGTCCTGTTTTCGAACTGTCGTGCAGCCTGCAGCACTTCTGTTATTCCTAAGCCAATCCCGCCTATGCCCCCGAGACCAGTCCCGGTGTTCGTGCCTGCTCCTCGTCGTGTTCCGCCACGTCCTAGCATCAGTTGTCCGCCACGGCCAAACCCACCCGCTCCGCTAATTCCGCTCTGCTCACTCCTGCCGGGCGGAATCAAGCAGTATTGTCCGCGAATCAACAGCCGAACGTTCTGGATCCAGTCAAGGAAACTGCAGAATGGTGTGGCGGCTGGCGTTCGAGATTTCAGAGCCCAAGACACGGATTTGCACGCTTGCATAGCCAGAAGGAGTTGCTGTTGCCCAATCGGCATCTTAAAAAACGAGTCCCACTCCTCCATCTGAGAAAAGCTACGCAAAACTAGCTTCTGATGCAGAGAACTTGAACGAGAACTGCTTGAAGAGCATGAAGATGCTCCAGTGGAGTTGAGACAGAGAGCTGGACTGATGTCGGTACTATTCTCCACTTGAAGCATGGTGGCATCTTCTTGTTCTTGCTCGTTGTACTTAGAAGTGTTTACAACGAGTGAGCTCGTAGCCTCCACCCCCAACCCCATCGTGTTCGTCTTCGTGCTCGTACCATCTAGTGAAGAAGATGCAGAACTTTTCTCTTGCTTTTGTTCTGCAAATTTGACTTCATCAGCATCGGACCCACCGCTCTGTTGCAGAAGAGGTGACGCATCGCCTTGACTTTTCCTCGGTTTTCGCTTGCCACTTCTATCCGTCGATGATAGCTTGCGCATCACTGCTAAAGCTAGACTGTTTTCTAGCTCCGGAAACGGATGTGGAACATTTTCGAACTCCCCTTGCTCCTGAATCTCCAATGCTCCCTCTAAAGTAGCTGTCGAGGAGGAGGAGGACAGTAGAGAGGCTGCGGAAATAGCCTCTCCTGCCACAGCACCTGCCGACTCGATGGACGTGATTCGACTAACTACGCCACCCGTCGCAGGCACTAAACCTCTTCTGCTATTCCGGATCGACACCGAGGATGGTGACCCAGCTGCGCCTCCAGTAGTGATCCCTAAGGTCGATGCTGCAGTTCCTGCTTCCAACAGGTTTGGTCTTTGCTGCACACCTAAAGTCGAAGCTGCTGGCGGATTTGCAGGGATAAAGACATGGACCGGATGATTGCAATACGGACAATGCAGGTTGGCCGCCGTCGCCCCATGCCTCAGTCTGCGCCAACACTCGTAGTGGATCTTATGCGAGCAAGACCACACGTAAAGGCCTACACTAGGGGGTTCGGGCTCCAATTCCTCAATCAAAGGAGCCGCATTCTTTTCGTTCATTCTCCTCTGGTTAGGGTCCTCAAGACCCGCTTCGCAAGCTGAGGATTCGCTACTACTCTCCTCATTTAAAGGACTGGAACAAGCAGGGGAAATGTCACCCGCAGAGAATCCCATGATAGGAGGGGTTGGGGGAGGGATCATATTAGATGAGGAAGATGCTTGAAGATGTCCTTGTTCTTGTCCGAATACACCAGTAGTTGTGCTATTTGAAACCTCATGTCCCACCAACAGAGGTTCTCCAGTGTTGCTCCTCTGTTGTTCATGTTTCTTTGGTGTTCTGACAGCAGGGCTCATGACACTATCGCCATCTCGGTCGAATTCAGCTGCCGTACTAGAACTTGCTGCTCCACCAAACAGAGGTGGCGCAGACTGAAGGCGTGCCAAAGAAGTTGGAGCATCCCCACCTCCAAGGACTAGTTTCTCCTTTGAGGATGCTCCTAGAGCAAGTCCTAGTCCGCCTGTGGTAGACCCTGATGAGGAGGCGGCACCACTATTCCCGATAACTGCACCAGGAAAACTTTTCTGAGGACTCAAACCGCGTTTTCGCTTCCTCGGTTTCAAAGGAGAGCCGTTTGATGAGCCAGCTGCTTGACGTTTCAGCCGAGGGACGTTGGAAACACAGGTGCGTTGCAGATGAGCCATGCGACCTAGAGGATTTCCACCTGTCTTCTCACCAGGATGGACGCAAAAGCAGATTACACACTCCGCTTCTTCACATGCGTCAACGTCCTCGCAGATCAAAGCAGGCGACGTGGCTGCTCCTAATTGCATGCTCTTATTATTAGAGGCAGGTTTTTGGTGCTCGCTTACCCCGCTTGTTATGCTTTTCCCCCTTAGGAGAGGCATAAAAAGCGGTAAGAAAAGCACCTTTAACCTACCCTTAATATTAGCGTTATATGGGGTGCTAGGAGCTTGTAAAGCAACTACCCCCGTGGATCCTGTTCTCGAAGCTGCCGTCAGATCAGCAGCGGTTGAAGCAATCGCTGGCGTCAGCGTACTCGCTGCATTACTGCCAACTGAACTGGTTTTGGCCAGATCTCCCTTGTTTGGCGACATATTTGCAGCCTCTTCGGACGTCGTCAAAAAGTTTTTCTGTTTCTTGTTAAACTTCTTCAACATGGCTGCTTGTTTTTTCCTCCTGGCTTCCTTCTTTTTCTCAGCCTCCGTCTTCTCAGCGGTCATGCCTGCATCTTCCATGGCAGCGTCGTCATCCAAGGTCCCGTCCGCCATAGAATAGAGACGAGAAATACTCGCGTCATGCTCGGACATCAAACTAGGAGTGCGCTCGGCCGCTGTTGAACTGCGACCTCCCACGCTAGAAGCTGCGCCTATGCTGGAAGTAGCGAACAACTGTGAAGACGATGCAGTTGACGAGGAGGCGGTTTGATGTGTGGCACTGCTAGTTGTAGTTGAGGCATGAGTAGTTGTACCTGTAGTTGTACCTGTTGTCGAAGTAGAGGTGCTGAGACTAGTAGAGCCGAACAAGCTTACGCCTGCTGTTGACGAGCTTGTACTAGATGTTCCTCCTCCTGCCGTTTGCTCCCTGCTATTTTTCCTAATCGCCATCAAGTCACGAATGATGTTCAGACCATCCTCTGGTGCTGCACCAGGCAAGTTCTGCCTCCTGCGTCTCTCGCTTGGTGCGTACAGGTTGTAGGATTGGAGCAACACCAAGTTTTGATTGATCACGTGGACGTGTTGTTTACAAGACGGCTCTTTCAAAATCGCTTCAAAGCACTGCAGAAGTGAGAAACGAACCATACTGGACGAGGATGAGGAAGTACAGGAACTACTTGAAGGGTTGTTGTTGCTTGTGCTAGGGTCCATGATGTCTCCTTGTGATGCCGAACCAAGCGCATGTAGAGGTTCTGTATCCAAAGTCAATGGTGACCTCGCAGCTCCAGCAGCAGAGGAAGGTCTGGATGGCGAGCCAAAGCCTCCACCAGATGTAGAGCTAGTACAACTGGCATTATTTCTACTACTACTTCCAGTTCCTCCACCACCTAAACCACCTTCCATCGCGTATCGTGCTAGACAGTTCGGTGACACTTCACAGCAGTCTAATTCGATGATGGTGTTTGCGGCTTCCACCATGGTTATGCGGTTGCGATCCCACGTCGAGGACATAAACGGTGAGTAAAAATCATGTTCTTCATGATCCGCGAACAGATCCGCATCACCTGCTCTTAGAGCCTCATGCTAAAAACAATTTTTGAAGACCATCCTTCTAAAAGAATGTAGTGGACCGACCCTTATCCTCTGGACGAAAAGGACCACGATAACGTCTCCAAGCAAGTTGTAAAATGTTTCTGAAATCAATGGATTAGGCAAAGGAGCCTTAATGCTGTGTCACCCGTGTGACGTGAAGCGTCACCTCCGCGACTACCACCGGATACTTCATCGCCCGGTTGAACCAAGGCTTTTGCTAGTGCAAAAACGTTCCCCGCTGCTTGTGCGGACACGTTGATTCGCCTCTCGTGCTTTCTGCCACACTCCATCACCGCTTTCCTGTCCACCAACATCAGCAACCGCTGCAACAACAGTAAGCTCAAGTGCAATCCGCGATGATTCACCATCTCTAGCGGAAGCAGGTAGGTCTGGAGCAAGCTTACCAGTGGCACAGAAACTAAGGTCGGTTCACTAGCGATCTTGCGCAAGCCCCGACGATAGCAGGGGACAACGAATGGCTCAATTTCACCGAAGTGGCGCGTAGGTACAAACGTATTCGCCAATTTCGGACCCAGCTTCTCCAGTTTCTTCTCCTCAATTTCGTGCTGCTCTTTCCAGCTCATATTAGAAAGGTTGGTACTAGAAGTTGCGACACTCTGGTTCTTCAGATCTACTAATCATCATCAGTGACCTAATATTTTGGTTTTCTAGCTGCTCTACTTGCAACGAGGACGTTAGAAGTGAACGTGAAGAACCCAAGAAGAGGAATAAAATCGCAATTACTTATGACATCATAGTGCTAACGGTTAGCAGCTAACACAATTACTTACTATGACATATGAATATGTGGTACTGGTACTAGTGCTAACCCATAATATACAGAAGAAACAGCGTGTCTACGTGTTTCCACAACGGCGTTTTCAGTATGTACTTCCCAGACGTCCTGTGACCCCCCTGTACAGACGCATCTGGTTCCTGGAAATCTGCGATGTCTCTAAGGATTCCATCTAGAAAATCCGCATTGTCATGACTCTTCATGATCGTATCCGTCAATTCTGAATGCGTACACGGTCCTTTGGCTAGAACGTGGATGCAGTGATATTCAGTAATGCGTTCTACGTCGTTCGCTTTGAACGTGTACGGCTCAACCGCGAGGCATTGGCACAGGGTGAGAAACAAAGTCTCCACAGAATGGCCGACAAGTCGTGGACCAGCCTCGAATCTCTGGAGAAAAGTTGCGATGAAAGCAGGCAGCTGATCGGTCTCGGAGAGAGCGAGCATGACGAGTCGAATCAAAGTCAAATCGGGATCCACGAAGAGAGAATGCCTGTTGCGGATTTTTTTAGGGTGGGAAGATTAAACCATGATGTTTTTTGTCTTAGACGTTATCGTCCTCATGAAGATGTAGAGGTAATCGGCTACTTACTTTGTTGTTTGATGTCCATCTTAGCCGCCACCTGAAGAGCATAAGAACATCAGACGAATCAACGCAACAAGAAACAGAAAGGTATATCATCAATACCAGTAATTCTTCTTGTAGAAGCATGCCTCGTAAGCGACGCTATCACCGTTTCTTAACCAAAGACTCGAAAATCCGTAACACTGCGCGTGGAAAACCAGACACCGCAGAGGATGCTCCATCAGGTGTAGGAGGTCGACTGTAAATAGGATTTTTTGAGTTCAGGACTTAGGACTTAGGACTTTTTAGTACGTAAGTAGATTCAACTTTATCAATCATTGGTGAAGAATTTAAATCACGACCATCGAAGTAATAAGATGGGCCTAGGACTTTCTAAGATCAGTATTTCGAAGGAGTAGGAGGTCGACTGTAATTGGGATCAGTCACAACCGAAAAAATAATTACCAGTTGTAAAGTTTTCCTCGCCCATCACTTTCCGAAACAACTCCTCCGTATTCGAAAACAGCGCATACACGTCTTTAAACGCGTCATGTTCCACAACCGGATTTGAAAACGCAACACCACCTTTCCCAGCCAAAGAAGGATTGTTTTCCAACCTGGCCAAAAACGAGCTCATTCCTCCGGATTTCTTCTTCTCCGCTGGTGTTTTCTTCGGTGAGTCTTGGCTCACAATGCTAGCGAACAAGCCTTGCTTAGTTGGACTGCCGGAAGCCGGGTCTTTGGACGTGCGTTTTGGCGGTGGAGAACTGAGATTGATGTCCGTGTCGATCGTCAGGTTGTTGTTCACGTTGTTCTCCATGTCCTTCTTACTAGGTGGAGACGTCGGGTCTGCTTCCATGCAGACCAAGCCACTGTCGTGCTCGTCCACCTTGATCCCGGCAGGTCCAGCAACAGCTGTGGACGATGCAAACGCCCCGATGCTGCCAGTCGTATTCGTCGATCGCCAATCAGCATCGCTGGCTTTCTCTTTGATAACTGCCGTTTCGTTTGGGCTTGAGCAGACACAGTGCATCAAAGACGCGAAAATCCTATGCATTGGGATGTGGAAGCTAACGGGTTGCTTGGATACCATGTAGTCACAGCCAACTTGACCACAGGGTTCGTCTTCGGGTGTAAATTTTGCGATTTTCTCATTCGTAACCGGGTCAGGCTTGCAGAGGGCGATGTACCTGGGAGTGGAGGTAATGGGCTCCTAAGCTAAACCTGAACATTGAGATTGTTGTTGTTCTTCACTCTTAGATAAAACTAAAAGTGGTTCATCTGGAGTCTTCTTCATCTTATTGTCTTCTTCATCTTCAAAACAGGATGTTGACTTACTCAAAAACGCACAAGAAAATATGAATATTATAAGTAGGAGGTTGTAAGTACCAGTGTTGTTCATTCTGCCTAACTGTCGCAATCCAATCCCTTAGTGCTTTACACAGAGGAATCAGAGCCCATTTTACGGTATCCACTGCTCTGACTCGGTTCTCCAACGTCACGATCATCGACGAACTCGCCGAATGGATATCGGATTCGAAAACTAGACTGTTCCCCCACTTGGCGTTCTCATGCTGCACATGCTCGCCGTCCTCCTGAATCCTCACATGTGGATTCGCACACTGAATGATCTTCCAAATCTCCAGCCAGCCAGACCAGAGGACCTCGCGAAAGGTCTTCCTAGCGAAAAGTTCGTCCACGACTTCTTGATGATCCAGGACGAACCTCAAATCGTGGGTGCACTGAAAATAACTCCGTTTGGTGAGGATCGAGTGGTTGTTCACCAGGTATTTGACCCGACTGGCGCGGTCGCAAGCGAGGAGAAGGAGGGAGCAATTAGAAGAGATGAAGACGAGGTGTATGTGTATCTATCCATCTAGGTCTAGGTCTACGACGAGGTGTATGTGTATCCATCTACGTCTAGGTCTACAACTTAACAACGAAAAAAGGAAAACAGGACTTCGGAACTATGTTGATCCATCTTCAAGATGTCATCTTGACGAGCTAAAGCTATTCGCAGTCATGATTTTCCAGTCTGATGATCTTATCTAGTCCTTGACGCAGTTGTTGGGAAACGTAAAACAGGACTAGTAGACTAGTACTACTTACTAGTAAACAAAGTCATCTCAACGAATACAACTACGTCGACTTCATCTTCAAGCATCAAATCGTAACTTTCGTCGTCGACAGCAAAGTGTCCAATAACTGCGCTTCCGTATCCTCCAACAACTCCAACGTGATTGCTCTGATCGAAAAGAGTTGGACTGTCACGCGGTCCAAACTCGTAGGGTCCGCACCCACTTGAGAACTGCTATTAGAGCTCACGAAGAAGCTCCTGAAGAGACCTTTTTCCTCTTGAAGAGCAAGGAAGAAGGTGACGCAACAACTACAACTTTGGTTTTGATCCATCTTGAAGAAACTCCCCCGAGGAGACAGAACTCAACGTAGTAATCTTGAAGAAACTCCCCTGTAGTAATCTTGATTCGGACAAGCCTTAATGGTACTATCCTCTTCTGAGTCTACGAGGCTGGCCAAAACTTCAGACCTATTCAAGATCAAGTCTGGGTACAACTTCAGGAAAATGCGAGCAAAGGTTCGCTTGAAGTTGGCGTCGAACATCAAGTCCAGAAACAGATTCGTCAGCTCGGTCTCCTTGCTCAGATGCGCAGAGCCTATGCGAAGGGTGAATTCGAGGATCGACTTGCCCCCATAGACCTCCTTCGCGAAAGCCTCGCTGATGATGTGCCGCAAGCCATCGTGTGCTTGTGCTAGTTTCAGGAGGAAGAGGATGTGGTCTTTGCATTCTTCGGGTAGAGAGTCTTCGTCATCGTTGCCGGGTGAGCCTGGAGACCGCGAACGAGACCGCGAACGATTACTACGCAAATTCACGAATCCAGAGGATGTTGTGTTTCCACTCGTTAGAAATAGTTGCATTAGCACGGCGCAGTAGTAGAATTCCCTACAACAGTATTAACTAAACGAGGATGATGCTTCATCTTCACCTCAAGATCATCAAGAAAGATGCTTTTCAGCGAAATCTGTTAACTAGAAGATGGTTTTGGTTACACTCTATTTCTATTTGAGTGCTGACCGAGACCAAATCATAAATTTCCACCGTTGTTTGAATTGACACCAGCATCGTCCTGCTCTTGACTGCTCCCTGATCCTAGATTGATCCCCAAGGGGGACAACATCAGCTCGTCTCCCGGTTGCAGTTCTCCTCCACCGTTGCCTCGATTCCATTCCGACAAATGGTAGCACAACCGCTGCAGCTGTATCGGTAAGATGTTCCGCAGTGTGTTTTTGATCTTGTGTGGCAAGTTGGTGCATGGGTTCCGTCGATTCGCCTCGTAGGCCATCCGAGGCTGTTAGAGGAGGAAGACCTTCACGGGTCTACAACATTTGAAAACAGAAGGATCATCTAGGACATTTGAAAACAGAAGGATCAAATCTAGGACACTTACCTTTCAACCGCACGTTCATCACCTTTATCATCCACCCTCACGACCTCCCAGTCGTTATGGTTATTGCAACCAAGGAAGTAGTGCAACCAAGTGCTACCAAGTCACCTCCAGTAAGGGCAACCACGTGCTACTCATTGTCATTAAATTTCCTCTTGCTTCTACTTTCTTCTCCTTTATTCAGAAGGACTTCAGCCTTAATGATACCGACAAAATCCGGTGACATCCCAAGCATCACAATCGCCGCAATCACAGCAACCACCATAGTCGGAACGATAGATGAAGTAGTCGTGACCTTCGTGCTCACCCGCGTTGAAACACGCCACACAAATGCAACTAGAAGGCGAGATACCACATGTTAGACACCTGTGGATGATGAAAGAACGTGAAACATCATGATTAGGTTGATGAGGTAGAAAAATGACGTATATCGCGAACTGGCACTAGAAGTAGAACTACAACTAGGTCTAATTAGTACTACTGCTGCTTCTGCTAGTACAGCAACAAGAACATTTCAAATAATCCTTTTTTTTGATCTAGTACTACTTCCACTTCGAAGTAAAAGTATCTTCGTCACCTACAAGGAGCTGTAGGGTATCGCGTCTATTGTACCTATAAGCCACATGATGTCCATTCCACACTTCTGCGCATCTTGCAGAGATATTCCTGGGCAAATCCGTGATCGAACCGTTGGGGAAAAGCAGCTCTTGGAAATTCTCTATCACCTCTGACTTTAGAAGTTCATCAAGTTGCAAATGCGACGACATTGACATTCCATCACCTCTCGCTCATCTCTAGTGGCCTCTTGTCCTTTCGAAATGAGGCTCCTGAGGATCTTTTTCCTGCATCATGGAAATGGTAATGGTGTATGGTTCTGGTATTTGGTAACCTGAGTTTGATCCTAAGGGTTCTCTTCTTGTTTTCCCTTAGGATCAAATTCAGGTTACCAAATACCGGAACCATTCAATCATGGAACTGGTAATGGAATATTAACACTATCAACTACACTTCCACTATAACGATGATCCTTAATTTATCACCAGCCTCCCAGAGTTCCTTCGTGGCTGCTAGCTTCATTTGCGCCGGTGTTTGCTCGGAAGAGCTGGAGCTAGATTGTAATTCTGGCATCGTGGGTTAAACAAAAACACAAGAATAATTGATTGATTGATTGATATGCCTGGCAAGAGGCGTTGTAATTGTAACAATAACAAAAATACAAGAATTCAATCTAGGGAATGAGTCGTACTAGTCGTACATCAAAAAAGAACAAAGGTTCTTAGTTCCATTGCTTCATTGATGCTGGAGTGAGGATGCAAAAATCTTCCTACGGATAATCTTCATGGGGTAATCAATGGTCAACTATTAAAGTACTCTCTAGCCGCAGCTACCTAGGGTGTCTGTGTCAATGTAGTTGTGAGAAAATAAGTAATCGGGTATGACATGAAGACGCTATCATGCATATAAGAGGATCAACTTCAAGGTGGGGAGGGACAATCATGTTGTAACAGAATGAGGATTCCTGTGGAGGTATTGATTAACAAGGTCATGACCATGAAAATTATCGCTAGGGTCGTTTACGCGTGTCTCCTCATGACATAACAATATCGCTATGTGTGTTCGGCAGAGGTAAATCAGATGACGAGGAGAAGAAACGCTCCTAAGAAAGAGAAATAGTATGAGTAAGTAGTTCCACCTGACGTACAACTACGTTCTCACTCGAGCGAACATCTTCCCTCAACATCATGCAACTTCTAACACTCACTTTCACTTTCTTGTTCATAAAAAAACACATCGCGCTAAGATGGTGATGGTGTTAGAAATTTTTTTGTTAGGAAGATTAGATGAAATTGATGAGCATTGCATAGTACTACGCATTGGATGTTCTAGACGTAGCTTAAAGAACTATTCGTTGTAAGACATATTGTTTGATGATTAAACGAGTTCAGGGGGAGGCTCCATCGTCAATGCAGGCATTCTTACCGATAGAAGATTGGAAAAGTCACATGATCAAACGGGTTATTTGACGTCATATTACCGATGCCGTGGAAAAGATATTGAAGATTTACCACAATCTTGAAGATTACCGATTGAGTGAAAGAACTGTCGTCAACATATCTAGCATGATGTTGGTTCTCAACCGATGATTGGGATCATGATAGAAGTACAACATGGTCGCATCAGGAGAGCAGGCATCTTCATTCCTTCATTCAGTTGGCGAGTTCACCTGTGATCCTATATTTCGAACACAATGAGCCATGAAAAAGCAAGAACCTTCTCCTTGATGTGGAAGTGGAGGGGAAGGTTCTCGTACTACTATAAACATTAACAGCCTTTTACTTTTTAGCGAGAGTAGCGATAAAGTGTAATGCAGAGCTGGTTGGAGGTCGCTTGTTAATGTTGGCCTGTTGGTATAATGGGAAGAGCAATCGAAAACGCGTACTTACATGGTCATGGAATCATTGTGTCTCAAGACACTGACAGTAGTTTTTGATGAATTTCGTGTGGGTTACTTACGTCGGGCGCTAGCTTTCCAGCTGGCGCGAGTTGGACAAGCATGATGAATTTTTGCGAAAACGAGTCATTGTCATACAAGGCGATCTATCATGGCGCTATTATGACATACTTACTTTGTTTTTAGCTTTGTTTTGCCGGAGTGATGTTGGCGATGTAGTACATTATTCGTTGTCTATGATAATTTCGAAAGAACGGCGAGCTGACCATGAATATGACAGAATTGAAGAGTTCTTGTTGCTTAAAAAAAATTAATTTTCAGTGAGCAGTTGTAGCAGTTACGGACGATGATTATCTATCTTAGGAGAACGCTCAGACACTAGTTGTTCAGTCAAAAAAGTTGTAACTCTATAAGCATGGTCGTCGTCGTGTTATGGCAATGTCTCTTCATCACAGCACAACGAGCATATCTTCAAAACACAACAACGTCCATGACAATTAATATCTTCTAGTAGTACAACGAAGTCGAGCTATATCTTGAGCTCAACATCACGAACTGTAGGTTTAAGTGCAGATGCGTCTGCTATTCATGTGCTGCCAGAAACATCGAGCTAAAAAATCATGAACAGATGTTGATATGCTTGAACTATGTACAGCTGTTGGTCGGTCTGCCGCCCTCTTCTCTTGTGCGGTTCTCGTGCTGGCGCACATGAACAACATTCCTGTTCAAAATCGAAACAGCACTTGCTTCCTCGAAGTAAACTGATGGTCGTCTTGCCGCATGTTGCTCATCTTGTTGCTCATCTATTCAAGATTCTGTTCGGACCTATCATATTAATCAACGCCTTTTAAAAAATGTTCATTATATGAATCGTTGTGATTAGCAAAATGTATATCTTCGTCGTCCATCTCGCTCCATTCCAGAATGAGGCGTTGCGCGGCGGCGAATGAATGAATCATAAAAACCTGGTTACCATAACTACTGAAACAATCTATTCCTAGCTGATGTAATCAATTCACAAAAACAAAAAAAGTGGCGAAACTCAGAAGGAGCTTATGATACATAAATTCTATTAAATCTTGATGTTCAACATTCACGTTCATCATCATCTTCTTCGATCAGAGAAGCGGTCAGACGATTTCTTCATAATCTATTCTTCTTCATGTGTCCTCGTTCTAAGAACTGCACTCAGCGCCTGGCCGCAGACTCGAGGAGTTTGAGCGCACTGTCGAGAAGTGGTTTCTCTTGTTCTGGGTATTTCTTCCGTTTCAAGGCAGGCTCCATGGGTCTCAAGCCAAAAGAATTACGGTCGCCAGCATTGCCATTGGCACCTGGTAGAGGAGTGGAGCAAAAGGTGGACGTCTAAAGTCTATCATCCGCTAGGGCTAGCGGAGTGGAGAACGTCATGCGTTCGCTCCGTGTTGCGATCCTTACTCGATCACCTAAGGAGCTGTATTACATAGAAGTTCTAGAAAGACTACGACTAGCTCCTCCTGCTGATGTATAGTTAAGCGTTCTGCTAGTGGCTAATCACCGACTTCTACTACATCTACATTTGGAGTACTTTAAAAAACCGAAAAAAAATACCTCTTTCCGGAGAAACGGATTTTCTTCTTGACGTCGGACCATTCCCATTCGCCATAACTGCTCCTTCTCCTGCCTCCTCCTCTCGCTTCCGTTTTGCTTCCGCAGCTGCCTTTTGCGTCACCACCTTGCCTTTCTTGTCGACCACTAGCTCGTCGACACGACACCCAAGGTTGGACGCGAAAGCTACTAGATGATCCTTGTTTCGCACAGACATATCCCACATATTTCGCACATTCATGGGCTTACGCGCGAACGGATTCAACTCGTCTGCGTTGCCTCCGCCTGCTTCCTCAAGAACAAAGCCGTCCTCTGGAAGCGCCTGTTCACGACCGGCGGCGACCTATGAAAATGTATCATGTTCTTGGAGTATGTTCAACTTCGACTTGAAGGTGTCGGTTTGAAATTCTTGAAGGTTAAGGTTAAGGTTGAGGGTCCACCGCTTCGCGGCCAAGCCGCACCTGCGAGGACAACGTGGGTTCGAGTAGAACCGTGTCAACCGATGTTTCAGGCATGAGTAATGCCAGGTGTTGTACCGACCAGATAACAGGACATAACATACAATTATACATAGAACATAACATAACATACAATTATACATTGAAATTCTTGAACATAACAATAATTATACATAGTATTAAATACTGATGGATGAGGATGTTGTAGTTGAAGATAAAGAGTTGGGAGAAGAAAGTTGAAAACGATAACAAGATTATTTCTAGTATGTAAATAAACTAATACCGTCAAATCCAGGTAATCTTGCCTAGCTCTGTTTTTGTTGTTGATTTGTGCGATCTGAAACATGCGCTTTCCACCTTGCCCGCTCTCAAAGTTGTTCCGCTGCAAGTCCACCTGTGCTCTCGCGGCCACCTCGACCTCGACCATCTGATCTAGTTCTTCACGCAAAGCTCTAATTTCAGCGGCTTCGGCTGATTCAATTTGCTGCCGCAGCGCGGCAACAGTCGACTGAGCCTCCCGGAGACGGGTGGAAGCGTTCCCTGTTGGAAGAGGTTGAAGTGGAATTGTGGAGCAGAGGTTGATCCGGAATCAAGACCATGTGGAGCGGAGGTTGATCCGGAATTATCTAGAAAAAATGGAAAGCAGGGGGACTGAGTACTTCAAAATGGAGGATGGATGCTCGTCAGTGAATGTGATTCTGAATTACATACTGCTCTGTCTCCTCTAGTTCTAGTAGAGAGAAATACAATAAAATTCAAAATTCGAAGAATGTTGAAATTCCTCAGAATGTTGATCATCAATAATCTTCCTGTTCCTGAGCCTGACGTAGAGAAAAATAAAAAATAAGTCGAAGTACCAGTCAAATGTGGATCAATGATGTTTCGCACAACATCATCTGTAAAGACGAAGTTTCGCACTTCATTCAACTTCTTCTCTATCCCGTTGCACTCCAATTCGTGCTGCTCATCCAGCTGGAACCCAGCAGCGGCATTATCCCCCTCATTTGAAACTTAGAAGGAGAAAGTCGAGTGCTGTGTTTGTGTGAAAGTGAATGTACAGAATGGAGAAAAGAAATCATGCAGCTTGTTGGGCAGCAAGGTCTCTGCGAGAGGTCAACATAGTCTTTCTTCGTCGACTTGATGGATGTAGAAATAAACGCTTATTCATCCATTCGAAAAGAAACGAAATAATCAGAACAACAACTACAACGAACTAAGAAGACTCCTATAACTTCCTCAACATAAGGTTCTTTCATCTCTTCATTGGTCTTCTTCTCTTTCTCTTCCTTGATCGTATTCTTCCAGTGCAGCTCAAAGGCCATCCACCTCTTGTAGGTTGCCCACTCATCGATGGTGATCGGGTCTTGCGCCACTTGGATTAGGTTAACCACGATCTGTCGCGTCCCCCTCATGATTCGCAACACAAGGGTAGTTCTCTTCGTACTACCATTCGCCAGAGGAAAATCATACGGCGTCGTGCTAAAGTCGAAACTCACGGCCTGGAGGTGGGAAAGGGTAAATATTAAAGAAGAAGAATATTAACTTGGTACATTGCTGTACTCAAAAAACTACATCATCCGCGACCCAAACGAGCCTCCAATGAAAAATAAGCATTAGTAGAATCTTCAATACCCTCGCGACCACATATGGGGAAATCCACGTTTTTCTGCCGTTTTTGAATTCTTTGTATTCGCCTTCTCTCTTGATACGAACTCTAACATATGCGCCTTCCACGTACAAGTCCCGGTCAGGGATGTCTGCCAAACGAGCTATGAGATCTCGATTAATCTGTTGTAATGGTTGTAGAAGTAGAGAGATCGATGATGATTCTAGAAGAGGAATACGCTGTACTAAATGAGGAGTGCGAGACAGTTTCAGTTTGGAACGAAAAGGTTGAAAATGAAACAACTACATCAAGAGATACTGATGCTGCATCAAGAGAATACATCAAGAGAATACATCAACATCAAATCGATTTCGATAAGAAAATTGAAAAAAACGAAAACTTATCGCTACTGTTGCTTTGACAACATCAGCTGGCACTTCGACTTCCTCTGCTTGCGCTTTCTTTTTTGCTGCTAACTCTTTCTGTGCTTCTGGTACAGTCTTCCCTAAGCTGTTGTTCGGGTCTGCAGCGCCTGCGTCTGTATTCGTCCACCAATTATCCGGCTCCGGTGCCCACTTCGAAAAATCGAAATTGGGGTCATTCACGTCCATGATATGATTGCCATTATTAGATGAGCTCAATAAAAAATTTCATCTTTCCTCCATTTTCTCACGAACAACCTCCCAAGAGAGGAATAATACAAACATGATATTAGGTCGTTGGAGAAATGAGTCAGTTCTTGTAACTAGAAATGAACTGCATTCCGCCTGTACATATGATAGGTATAGCGTTGTTGTAAATGATAGGTAGAAATTATGAGTACATGATAGGTTGTAGAAATGAGTCAGTTCTTGTGCTTATGTATGGTTCTGGTATTTTTGGTATAGCCTGAATTTGATCCTAAGGGTTCTTTTCTTGTTTTCCCTTAGGATCAAATTCAGGTTACCAAAAATACCAGCACCATTCAACTTAGATGATAGGTAGAACTAGAAATGAGTCAGTTCTTGTACTTAGATGATAGGTAGAAATGAGTCAGTTCTTGTACTTAGAAATGAATTGCATTAGAGGCCTTAACATTAGCCTTGGTCTCTACTACTTCTCCATCTTCATCGACGTCCACTTCCACCACAACATCTTCCTCTTCCGCTGCCTCTTCTTGGTTCCTAAAAGCAGATGTGGAGGAAACAGCGCCGCCAGCTTGTTCATTTTTTCTTGATTGCGGAGTGGGACCGACGTCATCGGAAAGCTCGATCTGATGTTGTTGTTCTTTTTCGTTGTTGAATATTCAAATCCCCCAAAAAAACAACTTCTACTGTTGTTGATTTTCAGGACTACAGTAGAAGTTATTTTTTTGGGGGATAGATGAAGATCCTTTGCATCTTCTTGTTGTGCAGACGAGAAAGGAGAACTGAACTGATGATGATGATGATGATATACCCAGCCAATTGTATTGACGGGTGTGATCAACAAAATCTTGTGTTTTATCAAATGTCTATTTTCTTACGGAAGGGGAAGAACGAGGAGCTCCTGGTGCGAAAATATAATTATATTTTACTTTACCACTAGCTACTACTAGTGTAGGAGTAGGTGCAATCTTAGTCTCAAATAAGGAGTTCTTCAAGTTTTGTAATTATACATCTGAAGAGTCCTCACTCTCCTGCATCTGCTTCGCATAGCTGCTGCTGGGCAGATCGGCATACTCTGCCAGTCGCTTCGACATTTTTTTGATCCAACTTGCTCGAAAAAACAGTTTGAATCAAAGGACTAGGACGACTAGGACTACAGTCAATATGAACAACTCGTTCTTCTAGTTCTAGTTCGTTGTTCATTGAAGCACGTGATTTTGCAAATTCATAGGTTGATGGACATGACTTATGTACAATTGTCTCACGCTTGAAGAATCAATAACCTTTTCGCAATTGCATAAAAAGCTGCGAGACAAAGAAATCAAGAAAGTAGCTGCGTGATAGAGTTGATGCTTCGCAATTGATATCAAGAACTAGGAAGAACTACGAATTCAGCTGCAACAAGAAGAACTAAGAAGAACCAACTGTAATTTCTATTACTTAAATTCTTGCGGGGTACGCGGACGCGGCGCGAAGTAGAACATGCGCAATATGTACTTAGTGTAAGCAAGGGTAAAATAAGGAACCGAACGGAGAAGAACAGGCAAGGAAGGTCGTGGAGGACTATCTACTTAACAATGTGGGTGCCTTGATGGGTTCTTTGGATGAGCGTGCGGGGGTCGGGATCGGGTTCTCATTAACGTCTCAATTCTGAAATTTCTCGATCCTGAAGCCGAACGGGAACCTGCTCTCTCAAGAAAAAAGTCTTCATGGAGCCGATGTGGCATCATTTTGTTCTTATCCGACCTAATTGTCAGCCTTCATCTTCTCGTTTTTAGATTCATTCATTTTGATATCTTTCATTGATGTACCGTTAATGTTAAAAACATCGATCTTTTTTGTGGAGCTCTATTTTTACGCATCATTTTTTATCTTTCCTCTGAAAGTGACCCCATCGAAACTGTAACTGTAAGACCGTCATCACCATAAACAAGGGTAGTATGCCAATGGCATGATATTCTCGAGAAAAATGGATTATGATTTATCAGTATTACAGGAAAGGGAAGTTTTCACCTTGACCTAATAGGCGATGTCAAAGATCATGTGCTTGATCTGTCACAACTATGTGTCGCTCAACATCCTAAAAAATGTGATCACAACTCAGAATTTACTATCTCTAAATCTCCAACTCCATCTGACCATCGCGTCCCATGGACGTCCGCTCCAACCGAGCTGGGTGACAGAGTACTATGCTGCACTATGAGAAGCTACTGAACGACCGAGGAAGCGACCACAGATAAGAGAGAAGAACAGCATTCTGATTCTCTCGTCATCTTCAAAAACAGCAGAGAATCTTCTCCATTAGAAACTGCTAGCCTACGCTGCCATCGGCCACGCATTCAGATAGTGAGAGGGTTGTAACAAATGAAGACAAAGCAAAGACTAGCCCAACACCAGCAAGATCTTGTTATCTGACGCCGGCTATCCGTTCTCAGCGTGCTGTGAAAGTTCGCACTCAAATTTAATTATGGAGTTTCGCACCATGATTCCCTCGTCAACGTCAACCTTTATCAGAGATGAGCCACCTCCTCCTTCTATCTCTTCTTAGTAGAAAAACCTTCAGCACCAACTACAAAAGCGATCCCTATCCCTATCAATCCGATGACAATACAACTAATATACCAACAAGCTTCACCACCACCACGTCTGCGCGGAGGCTCGTCGCCAGAAGATCGTGCACCTCCTATACCATTGGTGTTGTCTGGATGACTTGTTGCAGTGGAAGCAGCGACACCACCTCGTGGTCCAAGAGCTAGTTGTGGTACATCATTGCTGTTTTTATACTGTGCTGTTTCTCCTCCACGAGTGGTGGCTGTTCCTGTTGCATCGACGGCTTTACGACCACTTGTAGTACTACTAGCGCCTTTTTCATCTTCTCCTTCTCCGCTACTCCTACAAGCGCTTGGTGGCCCGTCTGGCAGTAACCGTTCTGCGAATAGTTCTTTGGCACTTTTATGCTTTGCGTTCCAGGCCCACGATTCATGAGCTAGCCTCTCCCTTTCTCCCGTACTCTCGCTGCCGCCCTTGACGCACCCCAGTGCCGGACCGTCTTCGAATAGGAACGAGAGAAGGCCGAGTGAAAGTTAGAAGATCAAACTTTTTCGATTTGAAGAAATCTTCACATCCAGCTGCTCTAGTGTTCCTCTTTGTGCGGCCATACAACTATACAAATCAAAATCCATAAAAAACAGTTCTAACCGTCCATCCTGAGTCCCATGTCTCAGGATGATAGCTGGACATGGAAGTACAAATCTTCGTGTTCATTTCGAACCGGCCATTGGGGGTTATCATGTAAATTTCGGGCGGTTTGAACGGATACTCACTCGGATAAACCAGCTTCCCGAGATACTGACCATTTCGAAAGTTAGACAGGAGTGACAGCGCTGCTAGCTTACCCTAAGCAGAAGCCATCTCGAGGGAGGTTGCGAAGCATGATCTCTTCCTGCTCTCCTTTTCCCGCTATGAAATCAAAGCCTCCGAGAGGCTCTCTAGGACTTGAAGATGATTATCTCGTCCTGCTCTCCTTTTCCACCCATAAAAACAAAGCCTCTACTCTAGGACTTGAAGATGATTATCTCGCTTCTGGTTAGGTTCATTTCCATTTTCAGTAGGGAAGAACGAAGGAGCCTTAATAAAGGGTGGCTGCGTCGGTTCAAACAAGTAGTACCAGACAAAGACGTTGTCCGGTGTAGGATGAGCATAGATGCCATTCGGGTCCACAGGCAAGGCCGAGGAAGGAGCTGCTGCTGAGCTCTTTTTCTTACTTGAACTACTTCTGCATGCGTTAGAAATATGACCTTGTTTGGTAGAAAACTAGGATTCCAACAGGTAGAGGCATTATACAACAGACTGTGCTTTTATTTCCCTAGTACTCACTCCTCAAATGAATGTGTTGGGAGTTGTTCCGAACTGTCTGTAATCGGTCTGAACAACACCAAGATGATTTATCATGAAAGGCTAAGAACCCTAACCACGCTTACAACTTTCATAATTGAAGAAGAAGCACTAGCACCTCCCACCTGTAGTTGGTCCCCTTGTTTTGCCAGATCCGCTTGCATCAATTTGTATTCCTTTAGAAGCCTCTGGCGGCCCATGGCACTGCCGCCAACATCGGCGACGCCACGAGAAGCACGGTTTACTTTTGGAGCCATGGTGAGGGACGTGCAAATATACTTCTAGTTCTTGTAGTAGTACCGATAGCTACTTATATATCATAGGATGGAAGAAACACAATAATCATGGAGAGGTTAGGGGAAACATAAAAGTGCGATGAAGTAGTTCCTTGCTCTTGTCGTTGTATTTTGCCGGATTCAATTTTAAATTCAATTAATTATGAAAGAGAATGCTAAAAATATTCTAATTCCTGTTTTTTTAAATGCAAGAGAAATGGACGGGTGAAACCGATTTGCAAGTAAGTGGACAGATGCATGGGAGATCAATTTAGATGCTGACATCAACAGGAGAGCATTGGAATTGCATTCTCCATTAGCACTGTATGAAAATTTGAAGTCGCTTCTGATCCACGATAGCTCAACATCAAAATTCGAGGATACGAAGCTACAACTTCATCATTATCAAGACCCATGCTTTCGACAGCGCGCGCGCGCAGAAAAAAGTTGTTCTTTTTCATCTTGTGAAGATGAAGTTTTGTCTTGACAAGGATGAGAGGGGCAATTCAGACATCAAGAAAAAGAGTGTCAAGGTGATTGTTAATAAAGAAGCACGACTATGTGCACATGCGCATGCACTTCTTCGATTAATATCAGCAGAGCCAGAGGAGGTTTTGTTTTACAATTTTTGCATTCATCGTACGGAATAATCAGTTATCTCTTGAAATGCGCATCACTAGACAGACACTGTAATGTTTTGATGTATCAATCTACAGTGCCACGAACTAGCGGAATCCAGAGAAGCCTGCACCCTGAAAGCTGGTCGGCTGACCACCACCGAAGAGACCACCTCCGCCAGCCTGCTGTGTAGAAGCTGAGCTATTCAGAGCAAAAGGTGAGGGTGCGCCGGTATTCGCAGCTGCGCCACCGAATAGGCTTTGTTGTTGCGGCTGTTGCTGAGGTTGCGCTGATCCGCCAAAAAGCCCACCGCTTTGTTGTTGCGGTTGTGCTGGTTGAGCCCCACCGAACAAGCCACCGGTTTGTTGCGGTGGCACTTGCTGAGGTTGCGCCCCACCGAATAACCCACCGCTTTGTTGCGGTGGCTGCTGCTGAGATTGTGCACCACCAAATAAGCCACCGGTCTGTTGCTGTGGCTGCTGCTGCGTTTGCGCGCCACCAAATAGACCTCCTGGCTGTGCTTGTGCTGGCTGCGCTCCACCAAAAAGGCCTCCGGTAGCTTGCTGTTGTTGTGCTGGCTGGGCCCCACCGAATAAACCGCCCGATGCCGGCTGCTGCTGCGCTGGCTGCGCCCCACCAAATAGACCTCCCGTAGCTGTTTGTTGTTGTGCTGGCTGCGCTCCACCAAATAGACCTCCCGTAGCTGTTTGTTGTTGTGCTGGCTGCGCTCCACCAAATAGGCCTCCGGTAGCTTGCTGTGGTTGTGCTGGCTGGGCCCCACCGAATAAACCGCCCGATGCCGGCTGCTGTTGCGCTGGCTGCGCTCCACCAAATAGGCCCCCGGAAGCTTGCTGTTGTTGTGCTGGCTGTGCTCCACCAAACAGACCTCCTGTGGCCGCTGGCTGCTGTGGTTGTGCCGCGGCGTTCCCACCAAACAAGCCCGTGCCAGCAGCCGGAGCAGCTTGTCCAAACGGAGACGGCGCTCCAGCTGCACCCGCTTGCCCAAACGGAGATGGCGCTCCTCCAGCAGCAGCACTACCGAGAACAGCAGCACCAGGAACGGCGCCAATTCCGAACTCACCGGGTGCAACATTATACTTCTTTACCAATTTCTGCAAAAGTGTTGGTAATTGGCCTGCATATTTCTGCAGGATTCCTGGTATTTCTCCCATCTTCGCAGCATTGTATTTCTGGTAGATTTGCCGTACCTGAAGATGATCAAGTTCCAGTAGAGATGTAAGTAGTGGCAGCTGATCCTGATAGTAGCATCTTGCACCTGAACTTCAAGTAACAACTAATACGTATCAACAACATCAAGTTTTAGAACAAAAATTTCAATTTTTACCTGTTCCTCAGGCGTCATTTGCTGCGCTGGAACTGTGGGAGCGGGAGTAGCCCCTCCAAACAGACCTCCACTTTGCTGTGGTGCTGGCGAGGTTCCTCCAAGTAGTGGCTGTGTGGTTGTCGTGCTACCACCTCCGAATAAGCCAGCGGTTGGTTGTGGTGGCTGTTGTTGAGGTTGCGCAGCTGCTGCAGCTGTATTCCCAAATAAGCCACCGGTTTGGTGTGGCGGTTGCTGCGCTGCAGGAGCGCTTCCAAAAAGACCACCTGTCGGTGCGGCGGGAGCAGCTGATGTAAGTAGTTTTGATGGGTTTCATGAAGGTTCGAGAAAGTGATAGAAGGCGTCGAACAGTTAGATTTCTAATAATCACTACATTTTTAGCACATGCTTGTACAACTTCTAGAAGATTAAATCATGCTAAACCACATTGATTACCATGCATTACCACATCAACCCTCAAGAAGTCCAATAGAAAAAAAAGTACCTGCACCAGGGGCTGCCGCAACTCCTCCCGTCGCCGTAGTTGCCGTCGACTGCTGTTTGAATTGTGTGTCCAAGTCTTCAGGTGTTTCCTTATACGTAGTGCAGAGTTTCAGGTACAGTTCCAAAGGTTTTGTCGCGTACTTGCCTTTCAACAATTCGTCAACCTTAGCGATCTTCTCTGGCTTGTGCTTCTGATAGATCTGAACCATCTTGTGTCTAACAAGGTCTGTCAGATTTGCGAAGGTTTGCTTATTGGAGGTTGTTGCATCGGTGGGAGTAGTCGCGGCGCCGGTTGGAGTGGTAGTTGTGGCCGTTGGGGTAGTTGTCCTTCCAAAAATAAGACCACCTGTTGGTGCTGCGGTTTGTTCTTTACTACTAGTCTTTGCTTCCTCACCTTTTTTGGTACCATCTTCTGACGATGCAGCTGCTGTGGAAGGGAACAATCCTCCTGTTGTCGCTGCTGGCTTCGCACTTTCATCTTTTTTTTCTTCACCTCCATCCTTGGTGGATGCTGCGCCAAAAAGTCCACCTCCAGAGCCTGAGGCAGTACCAGCTGTACTAGTTGATCCACCAAACAGACCACCACCAGAGGCAGTACTAGTCGATCCACCAAACAGACCACCACCGGCTGTACTAGAGGGCTTATCTCCTTCGGTTGAGGTTGACGCTCCTCCACCAAACAGACCACCTGTAGCTGCAGTGGAAGATGTAGTTTTTGATGATGTCTCTGTAGTCTTCGTTGTATCTGCTCCTGTTTTGGTAGTAGTGCCTGCGGCTCCAGCGGATGCTCCAGGACCAGGAGCTGCACCAAACAAAAAACCACTCCCTGCTCCAGCGCTTGTTGTACTAGTCACAGCGCCAGGACTTGGCTTCTCCTTTTCTCCGCTCATCAAAGCTGCACTCATGACATCACCACTGAAAGTTAATGATGGTTTTTGTCTCTGTGCGCCAAAACTTACAACCGAACCGTCCAGTAAAGCACTTCCCGAGACTGATATTGCTGAGTGTCCGCAGACTGACGGCGTGTTGTCTGGGGTATTTGAAGTCGTTCCCGCTGCTCCGTAGACGCTGGTGTTGCTCAAGCTCGTAATGCTGTCATGCTTCTGCAAAACGTTGTTACCCTTTTTCTTGTTGGGTACTAGCTGAGGAGGAGCCATTCTGCCACCTTGACAACTTCCAGCAGTGGCACTAGTACTATTTTGTAGTTGGGCTTGTGTAGCTCCAAGAACTCCTTGTCTCTGTTGATAGCTCTCTTGTGAGTCGAAGGAGTGCCTCCTCGAGCCAAAAGTCGGTGTTCCCGCACCTCCCGGCACGAGTCCATTGGCTGCCATCTTTTGCAATTGTCGGAGATCACCCAACTTCTGTTTGTTATCGGGAGAAGACAAGGAGGACTGTTCCTGTTGCTTACAGCTTAGGGTTTCTCCCGAGCCTGACGTTGTTGTTGTACTACCTCCATTACTCTTAGATGAGCCAGAACCTGAAGACGACTTGTTGTTTTGAGAGAGTTGAACTCCTCCAACTCCAAGTCCAATTGTTCCAGCCCCAGCGCCTCCACGAGCACCTCCTCCGCCTAGAACGGTTACGTGTGTGTTGTAGGAAGACACCGAGTCGGTCTCGGAACCGTTTGAAGAGGCTCCGGATCGATGCTCTTTGTTGAGCCAGCTCGCACTGCTACTGGTGGGACCTACGCCGAATGATGAGGTGGAAGAAGTGCGATGAAGGTTTTTTACATCCCCATGGTTGTTCTGTAGACGACCTTGAGCTTGATGAGGTGCATTGTTCTGCGGAGGAGCTGGAGGTTGAACATAATTCAAATTCTTCGGTTGATTCTTCTGGTTCTGGTCTGGATGTAGTAGTTTGTGAGATGCGATGTTTTGATTGGTGCTGCTCTGTGACTCCCGCTCTTGAGAAGTTGTACCATTCGCTCTTACGCATTGAATGTAGGCCTGTAGTTGGTTGTGGATGCGCGTCCCTAGGTCCACTTCCGCCTCCTCTTTTTCTAAAAGCTCAGCTACGCGCGCCTCTAAGTCCATATCATGAGTGTCCTTGCTCGCACTTTTCTTGCCATTTTTTAGCACATCCATGACCTCCTTCGTGTTCTGTTCATCCGACGCCGTGGCTCCTCCGACGCGAAATTGTGCAGAAGCAGAAGTTGTTGTTGTACTACTCTTCATATTGACATCCCGAAGACAACTTTGAAGATCCGCGTCTTTCTTCGCTGTGCCCACGGTTTGTTGCAGCTTCGTTCCCTTCGTCTTGCGCTTTAGAGGGTTCTTGTTCCTCTCCACGGCAACTTTAGCTTTACTATTTTCACTAGGTCCTCCACCTTGGTCCAATTCCAGATCGTTCAATAGCTCATGTATCTGTGGTGCAAAATCACAGAAGTAAGAGGAAGTTGGAGCTCCTCCGCTTCCTCCCGCATTGATATTAGCTCCTGCGTGCAGCACTGTCCCTCGGATTCCGCGAGATAACAGTGGTCCCTGCTCAAAGGCATTCTGATGATGAAGAGGTACTGCGTTCTCGTAGGCATTTACATGCTGAAAGGTCGAAGATGTTGTGTAGTTGAGCGGCATCTGATGTCCTCCGGCATGTCCTAGCTGCTGCGAACGTCCGGCAGATGAGGCGATTGAAGATTTTGAGTTCTTAGATCCTCCAGCGGCTCCAAGCAACGTGATCCCACCTTCATCCTCCAAGAAGTGAAGGCCGTAAGTCGTAGATCCCTTTGCTGACCGCGCTGAGGCTGGCGTAGATATCTGCGCAGAGGACTTAGAGGCGCCTCCACTTGTCTTCCCATGTTCTAGAAGTACATGGTCTTTATAGAGAACAGGATTCAGAGGTGGTGGACGGCCAGTCGCACGAAAAGAAGCCGTGCCAGTAGCTCGTGTATGCTGCTGTAGTTGTTCTTGAAACAAAGTGGATGCAGAGGGGCCTCGTCCGCGTCCATTAGCACCACCAATTGGATGCTTCCCTCCAGCTCCACCTCCAGGAGACCTACTGGTTAGCCCATTGTATTCAGGAGCAGCTCTTGTTCGCATATTCAGGCCTTGATGATGTTGCAATTGCTCTCTCGACGTTCCTGCTCTACCTCCAAGCCCATTGGCTCCATTGGCTGTTTTCACTGCGTAGTTGCACAACAACGTTGTTTCGTCTATTTGGGTTTCTAGCTGTCGCACAGTCGTCAAGAGACCCTGGAGGCGTCGATGCAAAATGTGCACATGCTCATGTTCTCTCGTATTCCTATTCGACGTACTAGAAGATCCAGCACCATTAGAGAAAGGATGTGCAGCTCCAGGACTTCTTCCTGGCGATCGTAATGGCGTAGTTGAAGAAGGAGTTGAAACAGGTGTACCTCGCATCGAAGAAGAAGAACCTGCTCTCGACCCTTGACTTAGCAGTCCTTCTCCAAGCCTTAGAAGTCCTCCTCCAGAGCTTGGTCCACCTAGATCCAGTTCATGCAATCTATTCTGCAAGGTAGCTTCTGCCAATTCCACTAGTTTTGCTCGACTTTCTGCTAGTTCCTGTTGCAATTGCACTCGCTCCAAGTCGTCCGCTTCGGTACCCACCACGTCCAGCGCCACTAGTTTCACCTTACTCGTGACTTTTCCCGCTTCCTGGTCTAGTTCCGCCAGCATGGTGTGTCGGTTCTTGCTGCTCTCCTGAGAGGACACAGACTTGGCTAAAGTTTCGACTTCAGAGAGTTTTTCCTCCATCTGTGCAAACACTTTCTGCAGAATCGCCGATGGTACACCAGAAGATATTCCTGCTCCTCCCACCATGGAGGAAGACGACGACGAGCCTCCAGCACCTCCACCGAAAGGAGCTTTCACTCCTTTGATACTCTCATCTGCAAGAACAGGCGCAGGAGGTGATGAAAACACAGCTGGCGCTGGTGCTCCTGCTCCACCCATAGAATTAGATGAAGCGTTGCCGAATGCTGGTACTGGGGGACGAGTTCTATTTGTTTCTGGTTCTTCTTTATTGATGTTGAAAATAGGACTTTCGGCACTCCCTTTCAAAGCTGACCCGAAAACTGGAGAGTCAACTTGCTGCTGCAATTCTCCTGCTCCACGTCCAGCTGGTACGCCTGATGCTTTTTTTTCACCAAGCCCATCCGCAAAAGAAGGATCATCTCCCTCTCCGTCGAATAATTTCGTTGGTAGTAAAGGAGCGTCTTCCAAAGCACCTAAAGCACCAAAGAGAGCCTTGTTCTTGCTCTTGTCACCATCCTCTCGATCTGCATTAAGATTCAGACCTCCACCAAAGAGTCCGCCAAGCTTGTCCTCTTCTTTCTTGTCTTCCAAACCAGCAGCTGCACCAAAGAGACCACCAGAGGCTCCACCGCCAAAAAGACCTCCACCTCCAGTTGTTTCCTTGGCCGCGGCCTTATCTCCTATAGCCAAAGGACTAGGTTCTTTATTATCTTTTCCCTTTGTAGGAGAAGCTCCTCCTGGTGCACCAAACAAGGAACCTCCAGCAGAAGCGCCAAAAAGTCCACCTCCTGGAGCTGAATCGTCTGGTTTCGAAGCCGCGCTTCCGAAGAGTCCACCACTTTGCGCACCTAGTGTTGATGCGCCAAAGAGGCCTCCACCACCACTAGCATTGTTTTCTGAAGGTTTTGCGCCTCCACCCCAAAGACCGCCACTACCTGTGCTGTCGGAAGGTTTCGGAGCACCAAATAGACCACCATTACCCCTACCCGCGCTGTCGGAAGGTTTCGGAGCACCAAATAGACCACCATTACCCGCGCTGTCGGAAGATTTCGGAGCACCGAATAGACCACCACCGCTTTGCGTACTATCGCTATCCGAAGGCTTGGCACCACCGAATAAACCACCACCGCTTTGCGAACTATCGCTATCCGAAGGCTTGGCACCACCAAATATACCGCTACTACTTGCTGCGTCCGACGGTTTTGGGCCACCGAAAAGACCTCCTCCAGCATTGTCAGTGGACTTCGCACCACCAAAAAAACCTCCTCCTGCTGCAGCAGCACTATTTCCATCTGAGGGCTTTGCTCCACCAAAGAGGCCACCACTGGTACCGTTATCAGATGGATTTGCTCCAGCTCCACCAGATAGGCCACCACCTCCAGCCGTGTTTGATGCTGCCCCCGCTCCACCAAACAGGGTTCCAAATCCACCTGTTGTCGCGGTTGTTCCTCCTAAAGCAAAGGGCGAAACGGTGGTTCCTTGAGAAGGACTTCCTCCTGGTGGTGCTTGTAGTGCTTGTGGTGCTGCTTGTGGTGGTGGTCCTTGTCCTTGCTGTTGTTGGGCAAGAAAAATTTGTCCCAGGTCCTCACGAGGGACTTTGTACTGGTCACACAACTTATTGTACACAGTGAGAGGGTTGTCTGCGTACTTCACGAGAAGACCCGGAATCTTGGACAACTTGTCTGGATTGTGCACTTCATAGATTTTCGTCATTTTGTGTCGAACCAACTCGAGCAGAGACTCGAACTTCTCGCTGCTTCTTTCATCTTGAGATGATTGACGACCAGATTCTTGACCTTGACGACCTTGAGATTGCGGAGCAGCCACTGGTTGCTGTACAACTACTGTGTTAATGGCTCCTCCTTTGGGTTCCACCAGTTTGTCATAATGATCCCCAAAATGCACTGAACAGTGTTGCGCGGTGTCCGCTAGGAGAAAGACAGGTGGGTTTGTCATAGCTTCATCACTGCCACCACGCGCTTGGGTCCCTTGATAGTTCGCCAGTACCGCGAAACCTCTGACGTTCGAATCTGCATCCGGAGCTCCCAGTTGCTTGCCATCAGGCGGACGACATACCACGACAGCGTTTTTCTCGCTTTTATACCGAAAAATCTGCGTCTCCTGGGCATGACTATGGCCAACCAGAAGCATGTCCCAGCCGAGCAGAGGCGAAAGGTAACAACAGTGAGGCTCGGTTACTTCGGCAACGTAAATCTCGTTCACAGTGGCACCTGTCGTGGTAGGAGGTTTTGAAACACAACGACTTTGAATTAGATTTTCTTGTGTGGTAGTGGTTGAAGATGCGATGTGCTTTCAAAGTTCAAGAAGATCTATCAACTAGTACTAGGCACATGTTAGTACTAGAGTCAACGTCAAATGATACTAGACCTCTAAAAACAACTAATTTAAAACTACAGGTACTTTTCAAAAGCAATTTGCTTCCTTCGATTGTTCCCGCAACTTGATAGCTCGTCACATCGTCTTCTGATGCTGCGCACACGAAAAAGAGGAACAGAAGGCCTTCCGCACCAGGAAAAGGCGCACCGCCAATGAGTTTCGGGGTGTTCTCTGAAAGGTCTGTCTCTTCTGTGCTGTTCTCGATGCTGAGCTCTTGAATTGATGCAGCAGTAACGGAATACAGCAAAACACGACCATCTTTGGCGCCCAGAAGAATGTCGTTAGCTGAAGATGAATTCGTCGTGTTGATGAAACAACCACATTTGATCTCTGCGTCTTTGGGCACAGGGATGATACTTCTTGGTATATTCCCAGTCGCGGCATTGCCTAGTGTGAGTAAGCTCGCGTGTCCACTGGCTGTCAGTGCTAGCAAATAAGCACCGGAGATATGCAAAGCACTGACTACTTCTGCGCTACCCCCTGAAGATCCACCTACGGAAGCAGATCCTAGTGCAGAGCCTAGTCCAGCAACTGATGTTGTCTTATTTGCCGCAATGTCCGCACTTCGCCATGCTGTGATTACGCTATCTTCGGTTCCAACAGCAGTAAAATCTGCATCGACAGCGATGCAGGTTACGGGCGCACCACTTGCATTCGACCAAAGGACCTTCGAGACTGTATCGAGAATTGACCCATCCTCCCCGTCCCAATTCTGAATCGCCTCAGCAAATTCTTGTGCGCCAGAAACACGCACTGTTGCTTCTTCGCCTGTATAATTGGTGAATTCTAAGTCAGTCCAAATGTCAAATGTGAAGGACGACGAACTTTGAGGACATATTTACTTGCTGAGGAAATATTTGTTGTTGTAGTTGTTCGTTGTATAAGCAAAAGTCCATCTCCAAACCTCAAAATTTACTCCGCAAAAAATCTTCAAATAATTGTACCACTCTTAACCCACAGAACGAAATCGAGGATCGCATGAACGGCAGACGAGTAGGCGATGGGTGCACAATGCGGAGGAGCAACCTTGCCGTGGAAGAACTGCGGCTGCTCAACATCTTCTTGCTCTATAGTCGGATCCATGGTTGTGGTTATCGTTGGTCTTTGTAGAATGAAACTTGTAAAACTAGAAGAAGAAGATGAGTCGCAGCGACGGAGGCAGAAGATTGTACTGCATACCTACATCAATCAAATTCATCATGGTGAACTACAATGTCAATGGGTATTCATCATGTCGCTGTCGTGTGTGAACAAAAACCAAGTTGTATTATGTATTGTTGATGGTGATGATTGAATAACTTAAACTTCTTTATTGTCAACAGCATTATAGGAGATCATAGTATAACTCCAGAAGGAGTAGACCCGCTTCCAGTTCCAGAAAGCACTTTACTTATTCTTACGCATTACACTGTAAAAGATGATCTTCAAAGAACGTTGTACCAGAGCAACAAGAACATCCATATCATGGAATAGAACAGGACTTCCTCTTGAACAAGACCACACGAAGGTGAAGCAACAGATTCGCATTCATCAAGATTGTCGGATTGAGAACCAGATGTAGTCGAGAGTGAGCATCGAGCATCACATTTGAATTTGATTCCGCGTGCGTCCTTAGCATTACCATTATGAGAATCAGTCTTCAAAGACCACCACCAGACAGGAAATTTCATTTCATCTGTGCGATGAACACAGCTAAATTACTGGTGTAGGAACGTGCAGTATTGAACAACAGGATTTGTCGTGGTTCTCCATCGATAACTTCGATCGGTGCACGCCCTCAGGTGAAGACCGTGGACGACGAGATAGGAGGACTGAACGATCCCAATGGCTGTAGAGGTAGAGCTATCCAACAAGTAGAGAGCAATTCTAGAAGCGAACTATTATCAAAAACTTTTCAATCAAAATCAATCACTTGGTAGAAATAGTGAAGAGCCTCAACAAGAATAGAAATAGTGAAGAGGCTCAACAAGAATCATATATCCTTCGTGTCCGTGTGTTGGAAAGTAATGCAAAATATCCCCTGACTGTCTTGGAAGCGATTTTTACACTATGAATACATTGGCTTTTTCTGTTCTGCGTGCTTTAAAAATTACTGCCACGACATGCAAACTTTCTAACAAAATAGTGGCCGTAGTGTCCATCAATCGTTAGCTTTATCGACCCTAGAAAAATCAACTTCGATTGCCCTGACTATGCGCGCTAATCAAGGCAGAGTGGGCTCTGAACGAAATTGGATGATGGATCATCTACTTAATCACTACCACAACCATCACATAATCTATCAACTGTTTTTAGTGTTGTCAATTATACTTGTACAGCTTAGAGTGACTGCCTAGATGATTCGAATCTATTCGTATTCAGCAGCTTGCCCAAAACTTACTACTTCATTTTACATCATCTATCTTCTTACAGTTTCGCCACCCCTAATGCGCCAAGGGCATTTTTCACTGCCTGCGCAATCTCATGATCCTCCTCAGGCTTGCCTCCGGACACTCCGACTGCACCAACGTTTCTCCCGAGAAAGACGCCACCGCCAATCATTAGACAAGCTAGGTAGGTAGACAAGCGAGATAGAGATTTGTCCTTGAATTAAACGTACTTACTTGAAAAAATGTGAATGTTTCCGTCGAACAGTGGGCACGAAGATCATCATCATGGAGATGGACTATCACTATCTGTGTAATAATGAAAAATTTTCTTCCATAACATCAAGACGTAACCACTGCTGGCGAGAGCAGCACGTCCGCCATTGATCCCCTTCTCCAGCAGCATGGTGTCGCGTGCGAAAGAATAAGCGGTCTTGGCTTTTCCTAAGGCAATATTACTTGCTGCAGGCATTGCGGTGGCCATGCGAGTTGCGGACAGGAGCTCGCCACTAAGTTAGAGCTGTGGAGCAGATCCCTCTTCCAGCTGTGGAGCAGATCTCTACTTTTCGACAAGAGTATCTATAAATGTATTTACAGTTGTACTAGTTTGTTGTTGAGGAATCCCTATGCATACATAGAACCAACATGTTGAATGAATCAGGGGAAGCCTTAACTATGGTCGACAATCGTGATACCCACGTTGATTTTCAGCGATTCCTGTGCATGTCGCAGTCCAGCTCTCACTGCTTCTTGAGCAGACTCGTGCGTGAGAAAAGAGGCCATTAATAAGCTGAAGATCGAAGACAAGACAAACTAGAAGTTGTACTGTAGAACAACTACTTGCTTATGCTTTTTCTATTTTGGATGAGTCAGAGAATGAAAAAATGAACAAGCACGGCAACAAGAAATTGAATCTTGGATAGCAGTTGATAAAGAAAGATCTACAACAAGGACGCAGATGGTCCACCTTAAAGTTAAGAATCAATGATGTGTATGTGTTTCTAAACGGAAATCAATGAATCTACTTGGTAAAGAGCCGTGAGTCTAAGGATTGTCACAACTGGACTCAGTAAACCGAAAGAAATGTGACGTTAATTTTTTTCGGAATTTTTGTTCAGCTTTCAATGCGACTCGACGTCCTTTCCGTCCACTCTCATACGACAGAATCCAATTCACTCAACAGAGATTGATAGGAATCTGAAACATGAACGCTACGAATCTGAAAGGACGCCACTTCCTCTTGAACTTTGAACACTACATCGGTGAGAGCCTGCTCAGTCTCAGAAAAGTCCTGATAAACCCCTAAGTCCAACCTATTGCTGGAGGAACCATCAAAAGCCCGCTTGGCAGTTATGGTGCACAAGATGCGTTGTAAGTAAGCGTAAGTTGTATTCAGAAAAAATAGCGAAATGCGCATAGGTCAGAGTGGATGTGCATGCATATTGCATTGATGTCAAACTTTGGTAGATTGCGTTGCGAAAAGAAAAACGAGTGCTCGTCTCGGGGTGTGAAACTTATTGACGCTAGTCGAGTTGGAGTTCTTGAGATGAGGTAATAAAAGTTGAGCTTGAGGCGCACCATTCTACTTCTAAACTTTCCTTGCGCGTTTTAATGGTGGAAGCATAGAGGAGCTAGTTGCATTCCTAGAAGAACCAGAGCCATGAGTTAGAGTTTTCCCACCAGCACCAACTCCCGTCAATCCTCCATTTCCTCCAGCACCACCTCCACCGCCATTCAAAGGCGAATACAGCAGATCGAACATGCCTGTGCCAAAATTGATCGGAGATCCCAGGATGATGCACTCCGAGACCCCAACTACTGGATCTCGCCTTCTTCCAGCGGCTGCTTCGAATAAATGATCATTTGTCTTCTCAAACGATGCCAACATCATAGTACTAGCCCTCAACTTCTGGATGCCGTGTCGCGTCATGCCATACACTTCACCCATTTGGGTCATGGTATCTGTTTGGGAGTGGGGAGGGTTGTGGTTAGGTTGGGAAGATTGTTATTGTGAAGATTGTAATTTTGAAGAGTGGGAGGAAGATTGTTGTGATTGTGTTGTTTGAGTAGTTGTAGTTACTTATCAACATCAAGAATCACTACAATATATCATGCTAAGCATCTGCGTTACTGTATCAACAAGTTGTATGTCTGTACCTCCCAACAGCTGTATGTGTCTGTGATCCACCTGCAATCCGTGCGAGCCCATGACTTTTGTGATTTCGCTGGTAATCGTTGTCCTCGCTGCCTCAATTCCTAACACTCTTCGCACTTCTAAAACGTTATTGCTGACTGTGCGATAACCCTGCACCCCAGGTGTGCACATCACCTCTTGGAGGCCCGTTCCTTCCACCAACAACTCGTGGACGCCCTTGTTGTCCTGGTTGATCACCGCGCGAACGCACGTACGAAGACCCCCAACGAAGGATGAAGGAGGGATATAGTACATATTTATATATAGGGATGCATATATAGTGTATATATAGGGATATAGTGTAGGGGCTCGATATTGTGAAGTCCCTGATCTTATGTCCTTGAGGAGAAAGTTCATGTAGCAGGCCAGTTGTCCCTTACTACGTGGGAGGAGAGAGAACGACAACAACGGATGAAGTCGAAGTAATGGCGAACGGAATAAGTACTTGATAGGAGGGAAAGTTGTTATTAGTAGTTTTCAGTTTGATCATGCGATGAAGTTCTTAAGTACCACCATGCAACTACTATTTACAGCTAGGTAATAAAGAACGGAGGATAATTACAGCCACGACGCCGTCCTGTGTACTTCATTGTTCGACGTCATCTTGATCTTAATCCATGTGTTAACATTGACATTGACACCATAAGTATATGCTCGGCAGCAGCTGCTTGAGTATGCTCAAGTCGAAGTAGCCACAGGGTCCGTAGGGGTACAAATGTATCTTGTCCGACGACACTTCGGACAGGGTGTATTTGTACTTGGAAGCCGGTAATTGCGATCGAATAGCGCGCATTACCATTTTGGGTGTCAACTCGAACTGCAGCTTGGTCAAGGTTTCCTTATTCACTTTAATCTGCAAAAAGATGCCCCCTCCGTGCATTTGGTAGACTGCGGGACGCTCTACTTTGAAACTCCCATGCTTAGAGTCAGTTGCGACATTGCATCCTTGATCTTCAGATCATCCGTGACTCGCTTCCCACGGGAAAACAAGTCGTTTCCTACTCGAAAGCAAGTCAGGGATGGCAACTTAGAATGCAATGAGCAATGTTGTAATCCTTAACATTTTCAATCATCTCCTCCTGGAGTAAATCCCATTGCACTTTGGCTTCCGGACGTCTGTCATTCTGCAATTGCCACAGCGACTCTAGCTCTTTCAAATGCCGCGTCCAAACGACGTCTTCGGCTAAAGGCAAAAGCACAAGTTTTAGATGCTTGCAGACATCCTCGAGTTTAGTTCGTTCTACACGAGATTTCACGAGTCTGGCGAAGGTCGGCGAAGCCTCGTTGTCCAATCGTGCGGTGATAACGGGAGTACTGATGCTGCCTACGGCGTCCATCAGCTCCTTGATACGCGGGACACCAAGCGTGACATTCATGGAAGCGACACCTGGGATAGCACAAAACAAAAAAAAAGAATAAGGTTGTGCAACGAGGAAAATCCTGGTCTAATACGTGGAACGTGTACTAGCTAAATAATACTATCTGTTCTTTCGTTGGAAAACCAGAACTACAAGATTTTTAAAGAGATGAATACAATTGTCGACCTCCAACAACAACACATTTCTTTTACTTAGTTGTAAGTCTTACCAGCAAAGTGAAACGTCTTCAGCGTCATCTGTGTCGCAGGTTCTCCGATTGACTGTGCGGCTGTTACACCGACTGCTTCACCCGGATGATGTAAGGCACGCACGTACTTTGTAGCTACTCTATGCAAGAACTCGTCTAACTGATGTCTTGTGATACAGGCGTCCCTATTGTGCAAGCCAACCGCTCTTGCTTTGGTCTTGTTGACACGCAGTGGGGGCCGTCGTGATGTGCCAGAAGGTCCAGAAGATAACATGCCGGTTATTCCTTCTTCTTTCGCCTTCGCGTTCGCCTTTGAATCCAGAGTCTCGATACCTTCCATTTCATCTTGCTGTCTTGAGATTGCCGAATCCGCCTGCTCGATTCGTGATCCCTCCGCTTTCAAAAACTGGTCTAGTTCGTTGTAGAACCCACCAGTCTCGAGATCGGTTGCACTGGGATAAGCCGATTCGATCCAGTCCACTATGGTTTTTACCGCTTTCTTACTCAAAGATCCGAATTGCTCTGCGGTCAACGGTCGCAACAAGTAATTTCGGATCGACGTGTCTGTCATCTTCGACATGACCGGAAACTGAATCGGCGAGTGCGCGTACTTCTGTGCAGGAGTCAACTTTTCCCTCTCCGCTTCGGACAAGCCGCCAAATTTCATCTTGGTTTTCTTCCCCAAGGGCCCTCTGGTGACCCGCAGCACGTGGTGCAGAGTGTGTTTGAGGTCCAAAACGCGATCCTTCCCCTCCATCGCGCCAGGATTCAGACCGTCTGCGCCGTAGGCAAACTGAATGACCCTGCCGTTTGACGTCCGCACGGAAAGGTCGTAGTTAACGCTCAGATCCTCCAGAGCTTTCACGAGTCGACGTTGCATGTAACCGGTATCCGCAGTCTTGACAGCAGTGTCCACGAGACCCTCTCGACCACCCATAGTATGGAAAAAAAATTCATACTTAGAGCTTCCTGGAATCCATCTTCAGTGTCATCCTCCGCTTGCTGTTTTGTCTTTATAGAGGAGGAAGGTCCCAAGATGCTTCTGAAGATGGATTCCCTGAAGCCTTAACATACGGCTCGAGACCAGAATAGAACGAATTCGCGACAAATCCGCGGGCTTTTGGCTCCTTGGAATGATACCTGAACAGGATTTATTTACATTTTAATTCATTTAGGGAGAATTTATATTGCAATTCGTATGTCCCCGCTATTTGGTAACCTGAGTTCGATCATAAGGGAAAACAAGATGAAGAGAAACCTTGTGATCAAGTTCAGGCCACCAAATACCGGAACCATTCAATATTGCATTCGGAGGATGAGGAAGATACGGACGTGACAGGTCCTCTGTTCATCATTACTTCTCCTGACCATTGAATGTATAGTTTGTGTTCACAGGAGTTCATTACAACCTGTCTTCAAGAGGAATCACCAGTTGCTGCAGTTCATTACAAGAGGAATTCAATCAAAGGCCTTAGTTGTCTAACAAGGTCCTGATCAAGTTGTATACTATTGTGTAAAGTAGTACTTGAAGAGTGGCAATGTTCTATTGACGAAGCCGTCTTTGATTCGGGCTCCACTGACGTTCTGCTGACCCAAGCAAGCCATCATCTGACAGAGATTCATCGCACTCCCCTTCGATCCACACGTGGTCATCACCTGGACTTTATTGTTCAAACTCAGATCGTCGTTGCAGCTATCGCCCGTCTCTTGTCGGATGGCACCCAGGTCACCATTGATCAAAGCTTCTATTAGACCTTACTTTTATTCATCTTTGACAGCATCTTTGACGTTCCTTCCCGTTGAAAACGTGTCAAAGTAAGATGCTTCTCCAGATGAATTACGGGAAGCCTTAATTCTAGCGTCGTTTCGGCCGAGCAGCCGGGTTTCAGAAGAATAGTGCCGTTGTTGTAGTCTCGAATATGGCGGTCGATGGACTGCATCTTTTGAGCGGTAATTTCCGCTTTTTTCCGCATTACAATAGGGTTAGGCTGAACGTCGTCAATGCCGATTGTGAAGCCGATAGTTCTTAGAGGAGGTACAATATTGTTTCTATAAATAAAGCCTAAGAAATAAGTACTTCGAGGTACTTACACGACTCACTGACAGCACTGAGAAGAGATTATCTAAATCTGAAGAAAGATGAACGATTAATGGTACTACTTAGTTGTTCTTGATCCATAAATTCTGCAGATATCGAGCAGCAAATCTTGACACTCGGCCCATCATACGAGCAGCAACGTTGTTCGTTGTGTCGCGCACTAGTTTAGCGAATAATCCCGTTTTCGCGCCATCCCCTAGGGTCTTCTTTCCCAAGTTCCCAGAAATCAATTCTGAAGATCGCCATTCCACGTAACCATCCTTATCGCAGAAATTCTTCCCCTTTTTGCTATAGAGATTAGAGGAAGAGGGAGCTGTCGAGGCTCGGTTGGATCTAAGCTACCTTGCGGAGGTAAGCCCAGTAGAAGAGGATCATCTAGAAATTTAAGTATATACCGTGTCCATGAACATGAAGTTTGTCTCCTAAAAAGACCGCTCCACCCTTCTCTTCTGAAACTGTCTGAAGATTATCAATATCCACCAGAATTCTTCGAAATTCTGGAAAGTCAAAGTTGTTTACTGGATGAAGCCATAAAATTCCTTTCCGCGATTTCCGTGTTTATCAGCAGGTTTCTGTTCTTCCGCGATGGTCGCAGGAGCAACGAAAAGACCTGCTTCCCAGACCATAATTCCACAGGTTTCAGGATGCAAGGTGGCGGAAAGTTGACTCTTTCGAGCCCCTTCGTACTATGGCAGATTAATTGACACACTTGCGACTTGGAAAAGAACGCATCTTTCTGCGTTGCCCAGAAGGAGGCAGTGAGGAAATCCTGCGTACACGCGATAGCTGGTTCACCGTTACGCGGAGAAATAATCCCAGGTTTGACACCCATCAGATGATACCTGAAAATTGAAAACTTAAATGTAGACGAAGTTACAGACGCTCAGAAAGTGGGGATAAACGTCGTATGTAGGTATAGTGCGTGAGATTGGGACAAGATTGTTTGTAGCTTCATCTTCCTATCAAAATTAACGTGATCGTCTGCTCGTCGTCATGTCAGAGTCAGATCATGCTACACGAACGACGCCTAACTTCAATGATGTTCTTCACCATATAGATGACGACCAAGTATAGCAGGTGTAGTAGGTTCTGGTTGTTGTACTTCTGGTACATACAAAATATTAGAACAAGTACGCTTCAGCTCCTCTCTCTTACTTGCCATGTTTGAAAACAATAAAAGACAAAATCCTAAACGTACGCTTCCGCTCTTGCTTCCCATGTTTGCGGTAAGTGGATGTTCATTTCATCGCCGTCAAAATCGGCATTATATGGCCCACAGACACACTCGTTGAACCTAAACGTCCGATAGCTCTGTACTCGAACTTTGTGTGCCATAATCGAAAGTCGGTGCAAACTGGGCTGGCGATTGAACAAGACAACGTCGCCGTGCGTTAGAGAAGGAGGGAAGCTGGGGTGAAGGGGTAGGGAGAGTCGGGCGGAGAAAGTAGAGGTTGAAGTTGTTTTGTAGTGAATAATCGTGACAGTGCCCCCCTTAGTATAAGCCTACACTTTTTGTGAACACTACTTTAACCTCCATTCGTGACTATTTTTACTACTACTTTTCGTGCCACCTATTGCTGCTTATATTTGTAACTACTGATCTGTATTTCTAAATCATGTTGTCATAAATTATGCATATGTCGATGGACAATATTGCCGATCTCCAAGTCCATACTGCGCTTGATACGAAGGTTTTTCGGAATGCCAGCCTGCAGTGGAAGAACAAGAAGGAGAGGAGTTGATGTTCTTCAGATGTAGAAGATTGATTGATTTTTATGCACGTTGAAACACATTGAATGCGTCTGAAAAAATACTTCTATTTAAGGATCGACAATGGACGTGGACGCACCACCAGGTCGAGAACGGAATGGTACTACCATAATGAGTAGAGGAGGTAGATGTAGATCTAGATACTGCTCGTATTACTAACTATGAGTACTGCTCAACAATACTGTTATGAAGTGTTCACGATTAGCAGATACTGGTGCTGCTGAACAACATTTTTAGCAAAAAATAAGTACCAGTGGAAATTTCCCTGCGCCCACTTTTTCGACCATGAACGCTCCCGGATGTTTTTCGACTCCATTTACAATGGTTTTACGCAATTCCGAAATATTCCGATCCGTTACTCTTTCCGGATAAGTGATCTTCTTCGCGACATGTTCCGGTATCACAATTTCATCCACTTCCACATTTGGGTCTGGCGAAATGACTGTTCTCCCTGAGTAATCTACTCGCTTACCCATCAAGTTTCCGCGAAATCGTCCTTCCTTCCCTTTCAAGCGACTAGCCACGGATCGGATCTGCTTCTTGTTTTCGCCCATTCGAAAGCGTGTCTCCTGTGGCAAGCCAGCGACAGTCGAGTTGACGCTTCTGGCGCACTCGGTTTGCACGTCACGCCACAGATCGTAGATGTGCACAGTCGGAGAAGTCCCATCCTTCATGTCTCCACGGATTATGCTGTCGCCGTAAAAAATCTTGCCGATTTGATGTGTCAAATCGTCGTCGTTGGGGCATTAGAAAAAGACATTGAAATCGACGTAGAAGTAGAAGTAAGCAATTACGTCGCACGAGTAACACCTTCAAGAAACATCAACCTCTCAGTGAATGTAGTACCCTTCTGAATCTGCCGAGAAAGACTTGTTTCACTTTAATCATTATCACGTAGTGAAAGTGAAACGAGGTATTAATTACCTCGTCGAAACCAAGACCCTTGCACTTCTTGTTTACCTTAGAAGCGCGTGTGTTTAAAAGTAAAAAATTGAAACCCTGCCAACATAAGTGCAATTTCCTGCATTGACAGTAGGTCTTATGGGACCCGGCGGCACCGGCTGGGAGGTCAGGAAAAGACTGCAGGGACGTTCGATATTCAGCAAAAAGCAGTCCATGGGAGACATGTTCTGGCAGAGGTTGAACAACAGCAAAGGCGTCAAATCTTCTTGTGTATTCGCGGAGAGAAGTGGATTAGAAGAGGAGTTGGAGGACAGGTTTGGTGGACGTGGTGGAGGTGGGCAGAACTTCTGTGGTTACAAGTGGAGGTGGGAAGACCCACCTTCACATATATCGACCACCTCTGGCAGAAGCGTGAATATAAAAATTGGATTGAAGAATAGGATCGATAATGCTGTCGAGATACGCGCCATATTCTGAATATGATAATTTCGCACAATGGAGTACATCTGCATGGAGTTTTGCACTTGAATGAGAATGTAAGGAGATGTCGGATAATCTGAGTAGGACGATCACAGTGAGAGATGGATTTTGAATGAAGATAAAGTAGGTTCACAATACAATAATGATTCACATTAATACGATGGATTACTCCAATTCTTCCAAAGACGAAATCTTAACATTGAAGTTTCCTTCGTTAGTGCGGTCGAGAACGTTCTGCTCTCCCGCATTCGACGCAGAGCTGCCACCCACTTGAAAGCTTCCGCCTTCAGAAGCATCAGTTGTTGTGCCACCAAGGATTAGAGTGTACGAATTTTATGATGTTGCAAATCAGCGAGTTGGGAGAAGAGAGATATGACAATGAGAAACTGCTGGAGTAGAGCGTCGTCTTCGTGCTCTTTACGACCTTTTTTATCATTTATGTCAGTCGACTCATACATACATTTGCTTATTTCGGTCTCATCCAATGTCATTCACGACCACACAACAAGTGCACTCTTAGTGGTAGTACGCAGTTGTGGATTTCCTTAATATCCTTGATTTATTCAAAAATCAATGTTGCTGTTTCTAGACGATTATTCAAAAATCGAATATGTAGAAGTCACCGAACAACATCCATAAAACTAATCCTGCTGCAACTTCGCCAACGTTCTTGACTACAATTTTGGAACGACCTGCACTCGTGCCAGCCTTCAAGTTCTTATTAGCCACTTTGCGTGCCACCAACAGGTCTGCCAATACCGTGTTGCCGCCTTCCGCATTTGCTGCTGAGATTAGAGAAGATACTAAGACTAGGACAGTCCTAGTAGGACTAGATCTAAGGTCCTAGGACTTCTAGGACTAGATGTAGATCATGCCGAACTAGATGAATCTACGAGTCGTATTAAGTGCTAGATCTAGATCATGTCGAAACAGAACCAGTAGTAAAGGGGTATTAGAAGATTTAGTCCACTAGACTAGTTCTAGAAGTAGACTAGTTCTAGAAGCACCACCAGTAGTAAGTAAGTAAGTAATTACAACTTACTCGTCCGTTGGGATCGTCCCAACATTGGGATGCTACTCTAGCATTACCATTAGTACCAAATAAACCAATGGTACTAGGCCTGCTAATACCAAAGAGCATATTGATCGTACCACTTTTACTGATTCTAATTTCTCTAATTCTAGAGCAACATCAGGATCAGCATCTGTATGACCATTACAACTATGGATAAAAATGTGAATATTTTAGTGCTTCTAAACCCATCTAAATAGCCTGATATTTGTTCAAGTTGAGGAAGTTGAGGTCGAAGGGTAAGAACTACTATATTTAAATCACTCATCTTGATCTTCATGGCCAGCATAATAAGTCATGAACCGAGTCCGCTAGGATGAAGTTGTCTATGGGCAATTCCTTCAGGATTTTCGGATTGCCGAATCTCTCGTGTTTGAAAGCCAGAGGAATGCCATTAGATTTCTTCACCGCTCCGTTCCAACAACTGCAATGGGGACACTGCCGTATTTTTTTGCACCCTTCCTGAACCTTCTTCACGATCAACGCCTTCTTCGCAAAGTCTTGCTGCCGAGTTGCCGCGAGAAAAGTTAGAGGTTAGTTCATATTATTTATAAATATGTTTAGGTTATGGATCCTGCACAATGAGCGTGAGCCCCCCCAGAAGATCATGAGAAATTATACAACATAAGAAACAGTGGCCACAGTGTGTGTGAGTGATAGGCTAGGATGGGATAGTGAGTGTGATCTCATCTTCTTCATATTCTTCGTTAAGAAAGGATATCTTTATCTTCTCCTGTGGGACATAACCGTCATCGATATTTATTCAGATTCTATAGCATGGTGGTCATGGTGCTAGTTGTAACCTGGTTTGCGTGATTCTTGGTAAGATATGGTCGCGGCGAAAGAGTCAAGAAGTAACAGTAAGAAACATTAACATTTTGTGTAGTTCCAAGTGCCCTAACATTTGTGCACAGAGTTGGCGACGGCTCACTTGCTTCTTTCCGCTGCTCCCTTTGACGGCGGAAGGCTGAAAAACCGTATTAGAGGTTGAGGTAGTAGATCATACGCTACATAGTACTGGTAGACAAAAACCGTATTAGAAGTTGAGGTGGTAGATCTTACGTTAAATAACAGTACTGGTAGACGTATTATACCAGGACGAAGAGAAAGCTCTTCTGATGGAGGAAATGTTGCCATTTCTAGTACAGAGAGCGAGAGCTTTCCAGATGTGAGACTGAGAAGTACACTAGTTCGCGCTACTTACGTTACAAGTCCACCCGCCCCTAGCTTTTTAGTATTTGATGTTTTTGTAAAAACAACACTTTTCATAACAGAAGAAGATGTCTGCTGTTCTGAAAGTGAATGCTGCTCGGGTCTTGCTTTAGAGCCAGTAGTTGTTTTAGCGCGTTTTGGCATCGAGTCGATCATATCGGCATTCACTTCCTCATGGAGGACATCTGGCTCTTCAGTCTCCGTGTTTCCTCGTTTTCTAGCAGCTTTAGTTTTCTTAGAGGAGCTCTTCAATGCTCGTCGGCTTTAGTATTGAGCAATACAATCATGTCATGCGTCTCATGTGTGATCTACCAAAATTACTGATATCTTCGACCCAACTACTCGTCAGCAAGAGCTTTAGTATTGAATAATATTGATGGTTATCCTTGCGGATCTTATTCTGATGTACGCAGGATGCCTATCATATCATCTTCCGAGTCTTTCATTTCCACGTACTTCATCTTCATGTTGATTCAGAGTACAGGTTAGCTTAGATATAGACCCAAATTCCAACTTATCGCTAATCATCCTAACATAACTTTAACTAGAAGTAGATCATATTCGAAGAACGAATGAGAAATAAGTGCTCCATGGTAGTCTCTGTTATAGATGATTTTTGAGCTTGAAGGGGGTGCTGAACACGAGAAATAGAACTAAAGACGCTTCTCTCACACTCATACTCAAAGAACAAAAACTAAATAAGTAGATCAGAGTTAAATAGAAGAATAACTTTGGCTCTGGATGTCGCCGCACGACTCATTTTCACTGGTCGGGAAGTTGTTGCCACTGCCTGCGACAGTGTTGAAGCTTGTAGTTGTAGACCGCCAGAGGACACTTGCCCTGGTACAGCATCAATATCTCCACCAGACGCCGGAGTCTCTGGAGCAACGTCTTCTAGTATCACGGACTCCTGTTCTGGCAACAACATACGACCGCAAGCTTTGCACAGACACTGGGCTAAGAGGTACAAGTGTCTCAGAAAACCGGGATGAAAAACGGGCAAACTCATCGGGACGTGTCCAAAATGACCTGGGCAACCTGGACAGCCATTTGGGTATTCCATTATCTGGAGCCCGCATTCTTTGCACAAAATTCCCCTTTCTGAGGGCCCAAAGCGCAGGTCCAACGGGCCGTAGTCCTGGCGTTGCCGGTGTTCGTTGTAGAGAATCTCGGTGTTCACGGCCACTGTCGACAGTCTCGCCATCTCAGTCGCTGTCAGAGCGTCGTACTGGACAGACACAGGTCGAAAATTGTGCTGCTGTGCTGCTTTATAGCCTTGGTGGGGGCCAGCTTCACGCATAATGTGTTGTGGACCACAACCAGAACGTGGGTGAGGGCCACCACGAGAAGCGTCTTGTTTTGGAGCCCCACCTGGACCTCCTTGCTGACAGTGAGCACCGGATCCAGAACCCACGACGCCCGGTCCTTTAGCCTCAGATCCTTTTGGTTCGCGGGCAGCCGTCGTCGCGTCCACCTCATCACACACAAGTTCGAAATCGATCTCATCCTCGTCCACCAACTCCAACTGACCTGTCCCTTCCTGGGGCATCCTGGAGAAAGCCTTCATTTTCTTATCGTGGACATCTACTTCAAACCTGAGACTCAGTCCTCTGGTGACTCGCCCCGAAGACAAAAAAAGTTGTCGTCACTTTACTTGAAGATGGTCTTGGACCTACTTGTCGTCATCATGTCCTATTAAATTTGTTTAATCTAGTACTGGGTCGTGTTACGAAAACAGCCGCATCGTTTTCTTGTCTACTTATAGATACATACACGACTCACAAAAGGACAGTGACAATGATAGACGTCGTTGCAGTCGCTGTGGTTACCGGACGAGTAGGTTAACCTTAGGAAACCTTATTTACATGTCTTCTATGTTGTCAAAATTTGATGGTATCAGCGAACCTAAATCATGATCACCTTCTTCGTTTCTGACCGAATTTCATCTTCCATGGTTCAAGAAGAATGTAGGAACAGCGTAATAGTGGAACAAACTACCTGTCTTCTTGGCGGTCATAATTTTCAGTTCTGTGATCTACATTACCATGCACAGAACGTCTCCAGATTCTACAGCGATTGTGCCAGAGTAATGTCTGATCCGAGCAAGCCTGCCTCGCGGCCCATTTGATGATCAGCAGCGCAGGATCAGACTTTCTTGTCGTAATCATCCTTTGAAGGTACACTGCCACCAAGGCGCGCAAATTACGGACCCGACGGAGCGCCCACCTCCAAGATCAACCTTCTTTCATTACACAACATTCACAGATATGCCCGATGCGCCGATTGCGATCCTGTTGTGATTGATTGATGTGCCTGGCGAGGCCTGTGATCGAGTCAATTTGATTCACTGTGGTGGCCGACCAGTCGCTGAAAACAACAAGCTTCAGCAGGATTTAGATTTTTTAGATTTTCAGTAACCACGTGTTTTTCAATGTTGGATAGTCCGTAGATAGATTGAGGACGATGTTCTTACGCGACTTGATCGCATCAGCCACACAACCTCTCACGCATCTCGACATGGTATTTCCCGACAATATTTCGATTTTTTTGTATGTATTGAATCGGCTGTAATGATGAAGACTAACTAGTACGTTATATTAAAAATGCCAGTCGAAGAGAAAAACCTAGATAGCAGAATACTTGGAAAACCGCGACTTTTTGGCAAACTTTCCAGCAATTCTACAAATTTGCGCCACCTCATGGCAAAACAGCTCTCAACATCTGGCGTGCCGACTTAGCTCCCTAAAAATGATGATGAGAGGCCTACACTTTTGCGATTACACAAATGAAGGAAGTAGGCCGACCACCGTGATTGAGTTGAGTTAAAAAATCTAGGCGAAGCGCAGCAGCTCGATCATGGTGACCAAACTGGGCCTCGGTGGTTTGTTCGTAAAAAAAAATATCACGGCGCCTCTTCGGCCATCATAATTGAGGCAACTAAGTTAAAAAAATCTAGGCGAAACGCAGCAGCTTGACCATGGTGGCCGAACTGGGTCTCGGTGGTTTGTTCGTAAAAAAATTCATCACGTTATCCCCCCGGCCGTCATAATTGAGGCCCCTAAGTTAAAAAATCTAGGCGAGACGCAACAGCCTGCGCACCATGACCGAACTGGGTCTCGGCGGTTTGTTCGAAAAAAATTTCTCACGTTGTCGCACCGAACAAATGGGGATTTAGATTCTTTAGATTTGTCGATAACGCTACAGATCATACTACTCATCATCTTGAGCATTCTAAGTCTAAATCTCGTCGCTTTCTGAAAAAGAATTCTGACGCGGTGTAACAGATTCAAAGTGACGAGTGTTGAAACGAAACAAGTACCAACCTGAAAAACTGAGAAGTTGCACACGAAAAGGAAAATATTGGCTGTATATAATTTGAAGTTTTTCATTGAATAGGGGCGCACTCGATCAGTTATCTAATACTACTCACGCCTTCGCACTACTTGCCTCTGATGTATCATGTCTTTTCTCTGCAGGAGGCCTATAAATGTCGCGACTCCATTCTGCTTCATAGATGAGGTTAGTTGGCCTCGACCTCGTACACCCCACCGAGAAACCTAAATGCTTCCAATGCTTGGGCATCCTTATGGGAGCAAAACTAGTAAAACCTACTGCATGGAAAAAGAGATAGCGGTCAACAAATAGAAGGAAGGAAGTTAGCAGTGCAGCCGGACTCATCTAGGGGCTATCTTTATTGATTTTCGCCCGTCGGGTCCTCCATTCCTCGACTGCCGCGTCCGTTTGAAAATGTTCCCCTCCGTCGTAGTCGGTCCATAGCTTTTGCAAGACCCGCCTCTTGTCGTCCTCTTCGCTTGATGGGCTGCCGTTAAAATCTGGAGGCACGAAACCAGAAAGAAGCCCGCAAAAATTCACCGAAGCGCGAAGCGTAGAGAGCGCGCGTTGCACCATCGCTGCAGCAGCCTCTGCTTTCAACCTCAGAGTCACGTTGTAGAAATGTCGTATCGAGGGACAGGAGGATCATGCAGTATGTAGATGCACCACGAACTTCATAAATTCTATCGCCATACGCTTTAGTAGACAAAATCAGTCTTATGGAGAACGGCGGGAAGCAAAGTAGTACGATTGATCAGCCGCCAGAGTCCGCCCAAGTGCGTCTAAAAGAATTGCATCCACGTTGTCTCTGTCGAACAGGAGTCTGTGACCATCAAGAAATTCCCCGAAACGGTCGCGGCGCCTGAAGATCGCAGGCCCATCGTCGTGCCAAGAAGCCCGAACCACGGCGAGTCGAGACAAGATTGCTGAAGCTTCCCAGGTCAGCAATTACAATACTACTACAAGAGAAGGCGAACACAATGACGAGACAGGAAAGAACTGGAGCTCTTTGAAGTGATCCAAGCTGTCCTTTTCTTCAGATCTCGCCGCCAATGCAAAGTAGCCCGAAGGCGCTTTGGAGCCCTGTCGAAAGAGGTGGCGAATCTTGCATGCGCCTGAGCCATCTGGCCCGCTGTAAAAAAGAGAAAGAGGAAAGCAGTAAGCCTTGCCCCCTTGCCGTTCTTTCCGAAATTATTCAGAAACGAAAAGAGAAACAAAGAGCAGCCCATGAGGATCCACCCGCGCGAGAAAGTAGGAGACTTCTGGGAGCTTCAAAAGGACAAAGGACCAGACAGACCACGCCAGCCGAGAGACATCGAAAAAAGCTCACCACAAAGCCGCATCGACTTCGACTGCAAAGAGTAAGAGCCAGCAATTTTGGAGCGCTTTCGACTCATCAATCTGCACAAACACCGAAGGCCGCGCACATCATCAGAAACCAAGGCCAACCGAAACAGCCGACACAGATCGCAGACCAGAGCCCACCGCTTTCCATCGGCAGACCCTCTAAAAACCTCCATCCGCCACAACTTCACTCCGCGGTAGGGCGATACTGTGGCCCAGCTTTTGCCTTCGACAAGCTCCACCCATGGACAGCGCGCCGCGGCGGGCGTCGGGAATTACACGGCCCAACGCCCCAGTCTTAGCCATTCAAAATACACAAAGCCCGCCCCCTGCTGTCACGTTTATCTTTCAGACACGCAGAAGGAACGCCCAGCCCAGGCGGATAAGCTTGTGAGCCTAGCCGGCCAGGTCGCTCCCCCATCTTCACACCCATTACCTGAAGCACCAACGCCCGACGGAGCTATGTCCCTCAATGGAGTCCCCCGCCGGGTTTGTTGCTAAAAATCGCAGCACGCCTCAAGCCCAGGCGCCTCTTCCAAGCAACGAAGCGCGAGAGCACCTCCGCCAAGCTAACACCCCCCCCCCCGAGGGAGAGACTCAAAATGAGAGAAATCCACGGCACGGACTACGCGCTTGCCGCCTCCCTCCGCGGCCCTTGGAGGCCCTCCCTGCCACGATGCTCACACGCTGCCCAACGCCTTGCTCCCTTTTCCCCTACCCTGGTGCCATGTGGCACCCTCGCCGCCGCATTCCAGAACCCCCTCCAGCGTAAATCTTACCAAGCAGTAGTCTGCTAATAGTCTCAGTGGTTGACTCTGTCGGACACAAAGCGCTGCCACCCGGGGGCTGGGCTTCGCGTTCCAGATAGTTAGGGGACCTGGGTAACTCGTCTAGACGAGAAGACCCCCCATTTTCCGACTTCACCTCCGCGAAGTGGCTCATCTGAGAGCGAGCGGGCATCCATTCACTCTGCTGCGCTATCAGCTCCAAGCAAGTGGCGCGGGCTTCTTGCTTCCGCCGCGGCACCTTGTGCAGTTTCTCTTTTATGTTTTCACACGCCCAATCTATTACTTCACACGAATCAAAGTCAGCCACATCGATGCGATTGCCTGAGCGTTTGACCCGTTGCCAGCGTCCGTCGTGCGTCGGTCTCTGTTCGCGATGGATTGATCTACTCACGCCGATGCTCTGCCACTTGCTTCCTGGTACATTCAAGAAATTCATGGCCAAGCGCCTACGCCGCGCGGCCCTTCTTGTGTGTTCTTCTCCTTGTGCACCAGCAAACTCGTCGCGCGTGGTCTTATATCGAAGCACTTAAATAATATCGAGCACGCGAGTCGGTCTACCAGTCACCTGCCGCCCTTCAGCCTTTAGCTCAGCGCCTTAGCTAAGAACGAAAATGGCACGCGGCTGCCTAGCTTAGCGGGCTCAGTTCTAGCTATCTATCGCCCAAGTTCTGCGTTTTCAATTCATACGGGTACCCATCTGAACAGGCCCAGCCTTCCGCAAATTTTGCCAGTGGTAGCCCCGCTGGCAGCTGGGTACTCCCGTCCATGCGCCCGCCAGATGATGCATGGCGGGACGCATTCTTTCACGTGACTGACACGCAGCCAGTGCCAAAGGCTGGCCTCCTTGCTAGCTTCTATAGTAAAAAATAAACTGCCTCACAACTCTTACTCTTGGGCGTCGGTCCTTCAGCTTGTCAGATCTACGCAGCCAGTAGCTAAAGAGTAACCAAGTTAGTAAGCTGCTTTGCCTATGCGTATAGCAAAGCACTGGCCTAGTCTTAACGCCTTCGCGATAGATTGCGCACAGCCCTAATGGAGGCAGAGCCAAGGCGGTGCGTGGCTGAGTGAAAAGAGCCAAGCTCACTGATGAAGACAGTCCTAGACCCCGCGCTAGTTACTTCGTTATGTAAACACTGAAAGAGACAGAGGCCGAACGCTGGCAGGGTCAATCGCTAAGCGCTGAATCTGCATAAGCAAGCGCACGCATGGCAGGAGCACAACCAGGCAAATAACGGCGAAGCGGATGGCGGCGCTTGATTAAGAGGGACCGCGCTCCACATGTATGACATTGATAGCACTCCTAATGGCCATGCATGAATAGCACACAATTAGATACTTGCGCGCATCTTATGCACGCATGGGCGCGCTATTGGTTTTCACCTTTGAGCACGTTCCCCATTTACGAAACAAAGCCCGAGGAAGAATGCTCCCCAATCGACCTCGCTAGGAGGCCCCGCCCGCGCCGCAGTTTGGTAACTATGGCAGCACCTAAATGCGGACCACAGCGCCGCCCTGAGGCTGGAACGTATCGCGCTGACTTTCCAAGTTCTCTAGTCTAACAATGACAGCCGCCCAACCATGAAGGCCCAGGCAGCAGCCGTCTAAGTCTTTTAGTCATTGACGCTAGTTCCTTGGAATCGCTGGCAAACTTCTCCACGGAAGGCCGACCTGTTTACACCCGGGCCAGGTCCTACACTGCCCCCCTACGCAGTGAGGCGTCGGAGCCATCCTCTTAAGAGCTCCGCCTGGTGGTAATTGTATCCCCATCACCCTCAAAGCAATGGCGCCCAAAAGCCAACTGAGTCCTAGCCCCTTCCCGTCTCCAGGAAGTACGCCTGGCACCCTCGCAAATACCAGCAGCCCGCGCCTTTTCTCGTCTAACAGACCAGCAAAGGGCTTTCTAAGGTCTATCAACCTAATCCACCCAGCCTAGACCCTTCCCTCCCTACTCCTAAAGGGTTCCCCCTCAAGTTTGAAGACGCGACCAATTCTATCCTAAGGCGGCCCACTTGGCCAAGCCTTCCACGAACTTTCTGCATCGAATAACTTTGCCTAGATTGCTCGTCTGACCTGCAGAGCGATTGATCTAGTGCCACGCACTGTACAACTGCTACTGTTTTGGGGCTTCCCTCCCTAGGAGGTCTCGCTACCCAGTAGTCCTCTGCTTAATTCTTATCCAAGCCGACACGAACTAAGCCAAAGACTCTGAGCAGCTACCTACTTTGCTCCCTCTAACAAAGTAGCAACAACCCTCGCGCATTCGTCCTTGTTTCAACAGAGTCCGAAGCGGTTACATATACAGACAGACGCCCCCAGGCCGACGCCTCCTCTGCTGCTTCGAGACAGGCGAGCCCCTATCTAGTCAGAACCTATCCCAAGAAGCTACTTGACTAATCCACTTTCCTGCTCAGAATTCCCTTCCACAGCGTCCGAGATCCCTCTAGCACTGTGCTAGGGTAGACCTCAGCACCAGGCTAGCAGCAACGTGCTGAAAGTCAGCCTCTCCTCGCCTTCTTCTTGAATCCGTTCGGACTCCAGTCCACCGCATAAGCGCGATGCTTCGCAACATAGATCCAGTTTTCTCTTTGCTATTCATTAGCTTCAAACACGAACAATTTTCGCGCATTCTCAGTCTGTCCCAACGATCCCACGGAACAAACCATCCCAAGCCCACCGACCGCGTGACCGCAGCAGGATCATTCTGCTGGCCTTACGCAATATTAGACTTTTATCATCAGACTCCCCATAACTCCCAAAGGACTGGCTCTACACTCACGCCAGAGGACAACACTACTCAGCGCGCTCCTCGACCTTCCGCGTGAGCGCCTCCCCTGCTCTACCTAACACCTCATCCGTCGAAGGGAGATGGTCAAGATTTTGCAAAAAATCGCGCGCGCTTGAAGCTGGCACAGCACGGGTTAGCAGTTTTAGGGGGGCCGCTCCACTGGCTGCCCCAGTCGCTGCTTCGCCCAACAGATGCAACAGCATTGCACGGCGCGGCCTCAGCCACGGACTCCACCCTCAATAATGCTGGGAAGTTCTTGGGGTCAAAGCTGTCTTCTCACGCGTGCGTGTTTCTTACTACCACCAGATGGCCAGCAATCGGAGGCGCCTCAGGCGAATGCCCTCTCAGAACTTGGCGAAGCTTAGCGCTCTCATTCCAAGCCAAGTTCGACTGTGGCAGAATCTCCTCACGAAACTTATTCGCAAACGCGTGCCGCGGTTTACAGCCAAACGCTAGCCCATAGGGCGAGCGATCACTCAACACCTCAAACGGCGTCGCCCGAGCGATCCAGTTTAGGCAGGGGGCCAACTCTACCCATTTAGCATTCTCAGCAAGCTTTACACAAAGACAATTATCCGCAGGCGCAGCTACTACTACCATTCGATCCAGACGAAGCTTGCAAAAATATGAACTCAATCCCAGCAGCCCTTTCCTAACCCGGTGCTTTGATTGAAAAAATAAGACGGCCAGAGGCCACGACGAACGAACACACCAAAACAACAGAACCAGAACAAAACAAGACGTAAAAAAGACCTACGGCCCATGTAGTCCGAGAGCAGGAAGATGCTGCGAAGCTCGGTGCTCGATGACAGAGGTGCCAGGCATGAGGAGAGACATACGCGGGCGCATGCTCACTGAAACATCTCGGCACGAGAGTCACGGCCAAGAACAAAAGGAACAGAAACACTCACGACGGAGGGAGGTAGGTAAGGCGGAAAAGGCAAGGGCAGGCGTGACGGACCGATAGAAGCAGCTACCCGGAGGACCGAGGGGAGAGAAACATGGTCCGAGGGACATACTCGAGATACCGCCACCAACTATATCTCAGCACATACAAAAGAAAAAACTCAGAAACTCCAAGATGAAGCTTTCTCGCTCCTCTGGCGCCAGCAAGTGTCTGACTTAATTGCATACGCCTTATTTTATCCAAGTACGCACTTCAGTTTGTTGCAGTAACCTAAGAGAATCAGAAAAAGCCTCGCTATCCATTCCAGGTCGGGTTAGACGCTGCACTCTGAATACTGCCGGGCCTACAGTGGCCATCTCTTCCACCATGAGGGCAAGAACGAAGGAAACGGAGGCAGCGAACGAGGGAGAGGGGAACACATAGGCACTGCAGACTTACACTCTCCGAAGTGTGCGACTTATCGCGGGGGGACAATATGTCCCACATAGGCTTCCGGGACTTACCGCCACACCCTAGACACCTTCCAACTCTAAACAACCCCACTCAAGCCCTTTGCAGCTGGCAGCTTACAGTCGTACAGATCCTGTGTCAAAAAAACACGCAAAAAACATCATACACCGCCCCAAAACTCGAGAAAAAAATACAAAAAACAGAGAATCCTGGTGAGAGGACCGCCATCCTGTATACTAGCACAAAGGCGCTGAGCCATGAGGAAGCTCGGGCCAACCTACGAGGTTGGGCCCACTTAAGCCCAAATGGTTCTAGTCCTTCCCTGGCTTGTTTTGGTTCAGTCCTTGCGCCATTAATGTTTTTGGATGACTACCCAGTCCCCCAGCCAGTCCTTCATAGAACTCCCCTCAAGTAAGGCCTCTTCTCCTTTCTTGTGGTTGTTACATACTGAAGGGGCAAGATCCACGAGGGACTTAGGCTCGCACTTTTTAGCGATCTGCGCTCTGGGTAAATGCTCGACCAAAGAGCAAGAGTGCCTGACTCTATGGCTTTCAACTATTTCAATACTACTAGCGATCTTGACAGAGATGCCAGGGATGTCTTCTGATATTTGTTGCGTCAGCTTCTTACGTTTACTAGACTGAGCCTCAGACTGAGCGCGCATACGTCTAAGAAGCGAATAAACAGTGTGACTATGGCACTCCTCGCCAGCGGTCACGCAGTCATCCGCTTCCCCCAACTTGAAAGGGCGGGAGCAATTTACCAGCCGCCTCCAGTTCACTCGCACCCTGTAAGGGGCCAGTGTTCACCCCCATACTCTTGCCCATCGTCCTCAAGTCTACCCTCTGCTTTATTTAAGCTTCCCTCTATTCTTTAACGCAGTGGAGCCTGAGTTCTTCGCCTGTTTTAAATCCCTCCAGAGGTCTGCTGCTAAGCCCAACGCAAAGGCACTAGTAAAAAGCCAAATGGACATCAACAGGGGTTACAAATAAAGAGGGGGGGGCTTTTCTAAATCCGGGACGAAGTCACCGCACTGGGAAGGTCGGCGGTAAGTAGTAACATAATAAGAGAAATTTCACTTAGAAAGAGGCCTAAGCACGTAAGTAGTTCAAAGTACATAAGACAGGCGGCAAGAAACCGAAGTAAAAAAGAGGCGGGAAAGAGAAAGAAAAAACAGAAACACAGGCGGCGACATATAAGGAAAAGGAAGACCAGACCGGCAATCATAAAAAAAAATACCGCAAGGAAGGCCCGCCTGGCACCCTCACAGATGCCAGCAGCTCGAGCCTTTTCGCGTCTAACAGACCAAAAGAGGGCTGTCTAAAGTCTCCCAACCTTATCCACCCGGCCTAGATCCTTCCTTCCCTACTCCTAAAGGGTTCCCCCTCAAGTTTCAAGGCGCGACCAATTCTATCCCAAGACAGCCCACTTGGCCAAGCCTTCCACGAACTTCCTGCATCGAATGAATTTGCCTAGATTGCTCGCCTGACCTGCAGAGCGATCGATCTAGTGCCGCGCACTGCTCAACTGCTACCGTTTTGGCGCTTCCCTCCCTAGGAGGTGGGTCCCGCTACCCCGTAGTCCCTGCTATTCCTTAATCCTTATCCAAGCCTACACGAACTAAGCCAAGGACTTTGGGCATCTACTTACTTTGCTCCCTATAAAAAAGTAGAAGCAACCCTGAGGCATTCATCCTCCCAACAGAGTCCGAAGCGGTTACATATACAGCCATACTACGCAAAAAAGTAGCGCACTTTGCTAGAGACACACGCCCGCAATTGACTGAGTGACTGGCTGGCTGACTGGGTGGTCTACGCTTACTAATCGACTGACTGGCTGGCTGACTAACTCACTGACTCACTGCGCCGAGATATTACGCGCGTGCCCTGCATTGACTGACCACGCACGACTATAAGTAGCGCACGCTACCCGCAGGCGCAGCAGGAGTCAGTCTTGCTTGCTTGGTTGCGACGTGATCGATAGAGACTGCCGCAGCCAGTTGCCTACAGTGCACAGGTCCGGGACCCGGCGGTCGCCGGTACCTAGAGGGACTCCCTCGCCGAGGTCCCGGACCCGGCGGCCGCCGAAGCCTACGCACCGGGATCCCAGAGCGAGTCCTGTCCAGGTGCCGGGACCGGCGGCCACCGACCGGCACTAGGCACGACCCCGGCGCCAAGAAGGAGGGGCCTAGGAGCTGAGGCATCTGAGGCGGGCAGTTAATTTCTACGAGAGGGGAAACAAGGGGAAAAACGAGGCAAGTGCGAACATGGCAGGAGGATGGCCACTACAGTCATGTAATGACTGAGGAGGGAAATGGGGCGGGGAGTGAGGTGGGAAGTGAGGTGGGAAGTGAGGTGGGAAGTGAGGTGGGAAATGAGGTGGGAAATGGGGCAAGGAATGGGGTGGGGAATGGGGTGGGGAATGGGGTGGGGAATGGGGTGGGGAATGGGGTGGGGAATGAGGTGAGAAATGGGGTGGGAAATGAGGTTGGTAAGGAATGAGGTAGGAAGTCAACGTCAAGCATCTACGATCTCTCGAAATTACTTCAAGCAATTGGCTCCAGACTAAGCCCCTATAGCTAACGAATGGCACACACATAGAGAAGGCACGTCGGTAGTGCGTGCAATAAGTAGCGAACTGGTTCCCGCCTGAAAAGCGCTTTCTACTTAAAGACTAGCCGAAAAACCCACCCCCGCCCGGTTTCCCACCTGATCCCCCACCTGATTCCAAAATGTATCCCATCAAAAGCCGCCCGCGCTAATCAATTAACAAATTGATTAGCCAGCTTACCAATTTAATTGAATTCAATAGGTTAGGTTAGGTTATGGACCCTACACAACGAGCCCCGCCGGCACCTGCTCGCCTCAGAGGATGATGGGCGACTTGCGTAAAGTCAGCAAACGCCGAGGCTGATGACCTGAGTGAAGTCGTAGCCATATGACCGACGTCCACATGGATCCTCCCACACCTCTCGTGGACAGACGTAGCAACAGCCTTACTTCTTTTCTTTGATTTTCGACGAAAGTGCGACTACACGAAGGCGAGACTACAACTCAACTCGACAAGGCCACCGTCAGCAGACCGCTCCGCGACCACCATCGACGTTGCCACTTAACACAGCACGTGACGAAAGGCCTTAAGATGGATGCACCGACGAGCATCCAGCAGAAGGATTTTTAAAGACGGCGACGCTGATTGTGGTGGCTATGCCAGAGGGGACATGATCACGCATGAGATTGCGCGGCTTAAGGGAACAACTTGCGCGCGCCACTAGCCTCCTTTTCCACAAGTGGCATGGTCCTTGCTACTAGTTTTGTTCTCCGTTTTCTTTCTCTTCTTCTTCTGGTCTTTGCGCTTGACTACAGCCAAGCCCCAGGCTGCAGCATCCGCCGAGATCGCCTTCTGCATACTGTTGACTTCGAACCTGCTGGCGTACGCCTCCAGCGCCTCAGCCTTTTCGGCGCCGTCGATGAGCAATATGCCAGGCACCATAGTAGCAGCTCTCCCCAGTAACTTCTCCTCTTTCGATGCCACCGCCTTGCTCCTGCGGTCTTCATCGCAGCAGACTGGGACGACGCGCGATCGATGCCGGGCATGCCATTGCCCCCACGTCAAATCCGTCAGGCCAGCTTCTTTCAGCATGAACCATCGCCCGCCACCAGCACGGAACATTTCTAACGCCATGGCACTACTCAAACCGGAAGCCTTCCACATCGCCCAACCGTGTGCCGTAATATGTCCCAAATCGCGCGCCTCCTTGCGGAACTGTTGATGCACCTTCATCGAGATCCCGTATGTCTTCAACGATTGCGGAGCGTGCAACCCGGACCCGCCGGGAATCACACGCGATCCGCGACTGCCAGCAGGGTCATCATCGAAGACAAGTGCCCTGGGTGACGCCGTAGGCCCATCATCGGCCTGAATTGCGCTGGTGAAGCAGCCAGCCAACTCTTGACTACACGCCGCCAGCACGCCAGAACCACCATCATCGACAATCTTGGACTGCTCGACAGCCATCACATACCGCCACACACGAAGCCACATGCCCTTTGGCGAGCGCCGCCACCATGGGACACGCAACGGAGATCGCCGCGGAACAGGCGCAGGCGGGCTCCGCTTGGAGTCGTGGTCTGCAGCTCTACGCGGCGTGGTGTACTTATCCGACAGGGTCACGTCATCAGCGACCACAGCAGAAGAATCCTTCCCGAAACAACGCAGCGCATCTACAGCAGCATGCTGACTGCGCTTGGGCCTGTGGAACAGTTTGGGCATCTTCACCCAGGCGCACCATCGGCGTCGAGAAGTTACAGATACTGCGCGATCCAGGTCGACTGATCGCACCACAAATAGGTCGTGCGTTCAGGGCTAAGCACGAGCACGAGCGCACTCTACTCAACGCACATTCGGCCCCTACGCTACACAAGCGCAAAGTCCCCCAGAGTCGTGCTGTCTATTCACTTCAGCGAGGACATCACGAGTGCTACGCTTGCTACTAGAAACTACGGCTGGGGCACGAGCGTAGTAAGTAGTACTTCCCCAGCCTTAGACTTCACGCAACTGATAAAAGGCAAACAAAGCAACACTCTCACCCTGTGGCTAGACTGTGGGGCCAGTTCTGAAGTGTCGCACTCAATGTTCATAGCCTATTCATCAACAAGAACCGGTCGCCGCCAAGCGACCTCACAACACGCCGCGGAAGCCTGGCCGTGCTTGAATTATCATTGACCCTAAACCTAGCACGAACGTGGGGCATTGGCATTACTTGACCATGCTACTGTAGTAGATCCGTAAGCAGGGGATCACTTTGAATTATAATGCTCCTTCGACCTTCACAGATCACCCAGCTCCAGAAACAAGCCATCAGCGCCCGGCTGGGTTCGACACCACGCCAAGCCCCTGCCGCCAACGCTCTTCTATTTTATTTTTTCTCCTTTTATTTTTCATATGTTTCCCGCATGGCCTTAAGCGCTGCCGCATTCTCTGGTAGCTCAAGCTCATTTGTTGGAGGTCCCTCAGCACAACAGTTCGCACTTCTCGCGCCCCTACACCCTAGACCGCTGAAGCCCTCTGACAACAACGACTCGTCCCCGTTGGTAATTTTTACAGCCTTCGGCACTTAAGTGAAAACTTAACATCCTCTATGAAAGTCATCACATGCATGCCAAACTCTGTTATCTAAGCACGTACGTGCTAGCTATTCCAACTCAGTCACAAAGCGCGCGATTAGACTAGGTAGCGACAGCGGGCGAGGCGATGGAAAACTGCTACAACCGTTGGAGACCACCACGCCCGACAATCACCGGCGGCGGAAAATCTTGGCGAAAAGTTGCCGAGGCTCACTCGCGCGGCCCTTGTCCTTGTCTCATTAGATTAAAACGAAGCCAAGAGGAGCTCCGAAAACGAGACCGACACAACCCACACACAGACAAGCCAACCACTGCGCCGAGAGCATCACAAGCCGGCGAACCAGTCCGCGGCGTAGCCTCGCGCCAAATTCTCAAACGAATGCACAACGCCAGAGGCCTACCAAGCCTGGAGAGAAGAACAGAGAAACCACAAAAACCACAGACAACAAGCGCGGAGCCCCATGCGGTTTCGTTGCAAGCTGTTGCGAGTTTGTTCCCGGCGACTCATTTCCATGTCTTCATCAAAAAAACATGGAAGGCGAAAGCTTCAAAATCTTCGCGGAATGTTTGCGGAAAGTTTACAAGTTTTGACAATGTTGGAACTTCATGCGCTTATCTTTTCGGAAAGATTCCGCAAAGATTCTTTTGAAAGATTTCGCAAACTTGTCGCGAAGATTTTTTTTTTTCATATAGAGAAAAAAACGAAGCGCCAACCCAGGCGCCCAAGCGCAGAAAGATGGCCAACGCCGCCCCGCTTTGCCACTGCTTCCCCGCCTGCGTTTCCCCCGTCCTCCGCCCGGGTTCTCTACACCTCGAGGAGCTTGCACAGGCGTGCCGCGGCTGTATTCCAAGCAGCGCCGACGCCAATGACGTGCGGGCGGTCCGCACTCAACTGGCGCCGGGGCTGTCAACAACAGAGGAACACAACACAAAGACAAAGCACCCGAGGCCGCGCCGCCTCCTTTTCCATACTCAAAAAGACAGAGGCAACGAAGACCAACCCGGGCAACTTTTCGCGAAGATCTCGCGGCCATGTTTCGCATCGACGCGGTGGTCTCCAACAACCGCAGACGTAACGGCTAGGCTAACACAAGCAAACAAACGCTATGCACTAGCTACGGCTTCCCATGCGCTACTACAGACGCAACCAACGAACTATGACTCCGACAAGCATGTAACTTGCTGAGCGCGAAGCCACTCCTGTCCTAGTACCAAGCTACACCCTCGCCCACTACTCAGCCCCAGGAAGCCTGGAATGTAGGCCGATATCTAAGTCCTGGCTCAGAGATAGGCGGGGCCTTCGATAGTCGATACGATATACGTGCTACATGTTCTGGAACAGGTATCCACTTATTAGACCAGGCCATCAATGAGCGAATTTGCACGAGCTTCGCTCTGAGCCAGCACCATGAGCACAACAGACAGGCACGTAAGCTATGTCGCGCCTGCCTTTGCTCTCCGCGTGCAAATATTGCATGTCCGACAGGACCAAAGCTGCTCATGCTCAAGGCACCCCAGCGCTCACGAGCCTGCCGCAGTTCTTTTTCGTTGCTTTTTTTCTCGAGGTCTAGCAGCGTATACATTTTTTTTACATTTTTTTTTTGATTGTTTTCGCCTCTGTTTTCAACAGTGGCAGGCCCCGTTTTTCTTTTTGTCTTTCGTTCTTTGTCTCTTTTGTTGGGCAGTGGGTGCCTAATCTTGCAGCAGCATACTCTCGCCAGGGTCTGGCGATCATTGAATCACCCGAGGCCGAGCACTTATATTACTGCCTCCACTCTATTTCTTTTTTTTTTTTTTTTCATCCTCACTTTCGTGCGTCTCTCTTTTATGCACCCTCCACGCATACCGCAGGGCGATGCTGTCTAACTTTTCTAGCTCCTCGCTGACATCACGACGAGCATCGTCAATCTCCCTACACTTGTCGGCCACAGTTAACCTACCCCCTAAGGCTTCGCGCGCCGCGTCGTCAAGATTACCCATGACTTTGACAGCCTTGGCAATGCCAGCTGTCGCTGCCTGATCGTCACTACTGGCACGGTCACGAGTCGCCTCATCCTTCACGATGTATTGCGCCGCATCGTACTGACTGAGCACCATGACGCTCGCCAATCCGGCGCATTTTCCTCGCTGTAGCAGCTTCGTCAGCTCTGCAGACGTCGTGATCTGCGCTCTCGCGAGAACCACCACCAGCCGCGCGGCGGTGACAGCGGTGCAGCATTTGCCCATAGTTTGAACTTGCTGGCCACAAGTCATCACTAACGAACTATAGCAATACGAAAAGCAGTGGGCTACTAACTATAGAGCAGTCTTATCCTGAAGCGACTTAGTAACACGCGACGAATACAAAGCAAGGAACGTTCGTGCCAAATGCCCCAACAGCTTTACTCTAAACGAAAAAAAAACAGACTTCCACAAGCGCTGGATTGATGGAGGGCGCAAGGATCAACGAGATACTACTGACGGCGATCCTACACAAACCAAACTTTCAAAGCAACCTGACGCGCAGAAACTCCACTCGCCTCGTGCAATTTACTGAGGAAGGCAGCATGGCATTTGACTCACACGCCAGCGCCACCCTCTAGCGCGCTACTCACTGCACGGAAAACTCACGCGGGGCTCGCCAGTGAGACACGCGAGACGCATGCGCGTTCTAATGATTCACAAACTAACTACAACGACCGCGCGACTAAGGCTCTGAGAATCAGGCAACTGCGATTCAATGAACTTACACCGAGCACTCACAACACTCCGGCCTTCCTACTCTATGGCCATGCATCATATATAGCCCCGCTTTCGGTACGACTCTGGAAGTAGCCCCTATCTTCTATTAGTCTCAACTTTCGCAACCCATCGGCGGCAACTCTTCCTGCTCTGGAGCCTACCCACCCCGAGATAGGTCGTCACCGGCCACCCGAGTCGGATCGCTCTGCATTATGCCTGGAGTCCTGGGATCGGCGCCGACGACGTTCATGCGATTCGTGTCGGTTCCTTTCCCGGACGAGCTTGGCACTACCATCACGCTGAACATGGTCGCCGCGCGTGGGCGAGGTATTGGAACTGCTTATCATGTGCGCAGTGCCGAGCCCGTCACGGTCCGTCGCAGACTGCAGTGGTGCCGGCGGCGGAAAGACAGACTGTGACGTCGCGCCCGCCTTTCACGAACGGCGCGACTGACGCACAGCCTCGCGGCCCATCCGCGCTTGGATATCTTCGCCCGAATCGGGCCAGATGATGTCGCCATCGCCACGGTGTCGACGTTCGCGCACCTGCTGCGCATCACCTTCGCTTCTAAACGACGGGGCACGCACAGCCCCCGTCGACTGCGCTGCCGTACATGCCGGCCATGATTATTATTACATGCCGCAGACTGAGGCGCGCCATGTTCCTCTTCGCCTGTATGCTTGGAACGCCGGCCGCTGTTGCCGCGACGGTCTCTTGAGCGACGCCGGGAGTCACGTCGAGACTTACTGTTTTTGCGCAATTTCTTGCCCCTGTCATGACCGATGCCACGCTGGTCTTGGTCAACGCTGTGACGCAATTTGCGTTGCGCCGGTGACTCGACTGCTCCAGACGAAGCCTGGGGGTCCTGCGTAACACCCTGCAGCAGATGGTAGGGGTGTGCGACTTGCCCACGCGCAAACGTGCCTGCTGCCGGCATGGACTGAAACTGCGTGACCGGGTGCACGGGGTACAGGGCATTCCCTGGCGCCAGAGCGGATGGCGAACAACTAGCACTGAGCGCACCGAATCGAGCACCAAGTAGGTCCATCCCAACGGCCGGAGCTGGCAACGGCTCGCTCACCCATTTAGCGTCGTCTCCGTCGCCAATGACTACGCACTCGTGGCCTGGAGGAACATCCAGACACCCCGAACGAGCTGCCGCACTGTCCCAGATAGGCTACAGCGTCTGTCCTGACACCGTATGACTCTGCGCGACGCCCACCATCGCGGGAAGCGGTGTCGCATCGTGAAACTCCACTTCGACGTCTTCGGCAGCTCTCTCCCAGTCAGTAACAGCACGAAACAGCGCGTCATGCCCAGTCATCTTCTCTCGCTCACCGGGCAGCTGGTGACGTGACGGCAGAGCTGCTCCATCACACGAGACAAGTGCTCTCCATGGTCGGCTTGAATCTGTACGCGTCCGGTCTCCAGGTACAAGATGATCGCGCGGACCGCGGCACCGCCAGGAGTGCCTGCAGGCTCAAGCCTCCATCTGACTTCGGTCCCGCCGTTCCATACCCGCACCGGGATCGCTCTGCAGCCATGCAGCCGGCAGATAGTCGAGAGAGGCTCGCTTATCGAACGAACTGACCCACCAGAAAAGATGTCGCGAAGCGGGGTGATCGCTAAGGTGGCAGCTTGCTCGCGTGCCACGCCGCGGTCGCGGCGGCCATGTCTTGGCGGCACGGTTGAATTGTTGATGGGGCCGCTCCCAAACTAGCAAGCGCGCGGCTGTATCAAAGTGCAGCGCGGAGCGCAGGCGCGCCATCTTTCCGCGGGAGGAATCACACTCGATGAGTCAACTACTCGCACAAAGTTACGGCGGCTACTACTCGAACCGCATGCCGAGTATGATCAGCAGTAGGCTCTGTATCACGTTGCAACAAGTTAGGAGGAAGAGACGAATAGCATAGACCCCAGCGCTATCCTTCCTGTGGCGCAATAGAGGACAGCCTTGGAAGCTGATGCTCTATCTTCAAGGCCTTTAAATCCCATTACCAAACGCCATCCGCTACCGAATGCCAGACTACTTGGAGATGAACAACTCGACTCACAAGGGATCTCCTTGAAGAGGATGCACTTGATACGATCCGGCATCTGCGACTTACTATTATTATTGTGCATGGCGTGAGGTCTTATCTCAACAGTCGACGCGATGACTGTCGCGGAACTTGTGGGGCTTGCGCTTCGAGACTGTGCAGCGTGGGCCTTCACATTATTCACGCGACCGCATAGCCCACGACCAACTTGATTGAGTTCACCGCTATGAACGGGGCACCACAGTCCAACGATCAGCAAGACTAGCGCTGCTACGTGGGTCCGTCCACGTCATCGCGCTCACTACATGGCGACGATATACTTACAAGACACGACGCAAGCATGTTATATGCTGAAGCTTGCCAACATACATACCCCTCCAGCAATCTTGATCAGATTGCGCCCGCGTTGGCCTACATGTTCCGCGCCTTCAACTATGATGCACAGTCTGCAGATAAGCACGCTCACCCTACACGCAACCCCGCAGATTATCTACACCTACTGACCCCCTGTGGCCCTTTGTGGAGGTCTCTGCCACCCGTGACATTGCCGAACGCTTAATGATGCCGCGCCGCGAGCCTCTATGTGTTTGCCGTCGCCACAGAATTCGCTTCGCCTGCTGGGTCGAGCGCGGGCCTTAACATTGGCGGCTGCGCCTAAGCTCAGCACGGGCCTTAATTCTCGACTATGCCCTTAAGTGACGCACCAGCCGAATGATCGGCGCAAACTGGTCCACGATGCCAATGATCACTGTTGTTGTGCGGTTTCTGAGCGTATGCCTCGGGGCTACCGATATAGTGCCCCAGGCCTTAGTCATGCTTGCGCAGTACCCGCCTGCACAGCAGTAACCTTGAAGCGCAAAATCTGCTCCACAGCCTCTGCAATTTCGGTTAAATTTTTCCCTTTTTTCAGCTCCGAGAGTCGCACTGGGACAGCTCTCGGAGGGTGCCACTTCTCCTCGTCTGCTTTGCTACGTGCCAGCAGCTGAACATCATACACATCGATCTGCTCCACCTTACACGTCACGGCCGGCTTCCATACGTCGCGCCGCAGGTCTTGCGCCAACCGCGCCTGGCGCAGCCTCATCTCTGCGCCCCGGGCCTCAGTTGAGTGCTTGATCCGCCAAAAGCGTCCATGCGCCATGGTGCCGTAGATCGGGCCTCCTCTCCAGCCGTATACCAGGACCAGCGCCCCCTTCAGGCAGCATGCGTACGAGGAGCAGTCGACTTGTGCGAGCAGGTCCTCGATGGCGTTGGCGACTGCCATGGCGGTTGTGTGCTGGACCGTACGGCTGACGCTGCCGCAGTATCCCTTCGGGGCCTTAAACTGATGTCGCGCCGCGTGTGGCGTGCCGTTCCAATATGCGTACGCACCAGCCGTCGCCACTTCAACAATACAGGTAGCGACGTCGCGAGGCGCGGCAACGTAGTCCGGCTGCTCAGCTGGGGCAGCTTGCAGCGGGGGGCTAGTGCTGCTTCTTCTGAGTCTATGAGGCGCCTCTCTGGCAAACCATGGCGGAGCAATACGGAGAGACCACCGCGCCAAGGACTAGGAAGTCCTGTGCTTCATTGCCATTAATCACTCCCGTAACTACATCTGCCGGCGCCGGATCGCCTGTCGCAGCAAACCCCACCCCTTGCGCGCAGAGTTGCCCACGAGTCTACGCGCAGCCGAGCTGAAGCCGTTGGCCCCTGTAATTGGTGAGAAGAAGACTGCGGCGGCACTACTGAACTGAAAATGCTCGATGGGCATACTTGCAGCTTCGTCAGAAATCCCAACCAGTGGAAGGAAACTTTCTGCGCGCTTTCTCTCGAGATTGTCGAATCGCTCTGGCGTGAGACGTTGCAACGCAGCCGGCAGCAGATGCGTCACCGGTTCGCAAACAGCAAACCTCGCAAGTTGAATAAGCATGGGGCCGCTGATCTTGTGCCCCATCGATCGCGCGACAGATCGCGCCAGATAAACCGCGCATGAGAGGCGTCGCCCGAGCTCCCCTCCAAGTGTCTCTAGGATCGGCGAGGACAATGCGTAGCCGAGTAGCTTGCCCGACGTCTTGACTTCCGGCTTCACGTCCAAGATTCGCACTACATCAGCCACTTTGCTCCCAAGATTTTCTCGCTCCTTCTTGGTGTGGTGCTCCGAAAGTACCGCCATCCAGAGCTTGCGCGGCGCGAGAAACAACCTGTTATCGAGGAGCAGCATCCCAAAGCCAGTCGCCATCTCTCGAAGCTGCTCGACTAATGCTGGGCATCGGTTGCGTGTCTGTTCCTCTGTGGCGTCGATCATCACTGAGGTGTCGTCTACGCATGGCCGTGCAGTGAGTGACTCCACCGATAAGGTCATCAACGCTAGACCCAGCAGCGATCTCGTGGGCCCTCTGCCGCGCCGTGCCGTGCCGTCCGCGTATACCTTTGCCGGCATTACAGGCGTGCCTCGGATCCACGTCAACTGGGGGGCAGAGCGGTAGCCACTGTGTGAGCAGCGCTCGCGCGCGGGCCAACTCCGCATCCGCCTCGATCATTGAGGCATACCCAGGCGGCGGCTTCACGCCTTTACGTCTGCTCCTGATGGCTCTGCCGATAGCCGCCACGAACGGCTGCACGATGATAATCGCGCACGCCATCGCGCCCGGCGTCCCGATGGATTGCGACGTCTCTGCGCATGGAGAAAATCGAAGCTACGTCTCTACTTTCACTTACTATCGTTTTGTTGCGGACATAACTCCAAAATAGCCGGGCACGCACCGGGCTGCACCTCGCCAACCTGAGAGCCTCTACCATGAGTGACACCTTCCAGAAGGGTGCTGAGCATGTTAGCTGCGTCCACGACAGACAGTAACTGCGGCCTTCGTTCTGCCGGCGGTAGGTTAAGTGCTTCGAGGTCGCGCAGACTGCCTCTCGCCTGAATATCCCAACGCTGCCCCGCGATGTCGAGCCCAACGCACTGCCGTCCCCCAGCAGTTTCCTCCCCGAGATAATGACTGGCGTGCAAGAGCGTCATAATCTCAGCGACCGCCATGCTGGCCAGCATCCTGAATAAGATATCCTCCGTGACAATGAGCCTCAACGATGAAGCCGCGGCTTTCCCTGCATTTTTCTGCAGAAACATACAGACCCGCAGTCTTGCACGCGGTGGGAACTGATTGAGCGCCTCGCTCGGGTCGGCTCCGGCCAGTATGTCTGCTTGTGCGCTCAAGCAAGTGAGCAGTAACTGCGCAAGAAAATCGTCCACCAGCATTGCCATAAGGACAATGCTGCGCATACCGTTAGGGGATTTGAGCTCTTTGCTGGCCTGCGCGAAATGTTCTCTGAGCTGCTGCATACTAAGCCTATAGCTGTGGTTCTCAGGCGTGCAGCGCTCAAGCTCCGCCACCGCCAGCCAGAAGCCGAAGCGCGCATCCGGCTTGTCGTCGATCCCTACTGTGCTTTCGTGAAATCTCCGCGCTTTCATGAGGTGCTCTAGCGGGGCAAGCGTCGCGGCTTGCGCTGCAGTGGTGGCCACTTCGCGCCCGCACAATAACGCAGCCAATTTGTCCGCCGGCTCGCCGCGTCTTGGTCCATGTAGGGCCTTCGTTTTGGAGTCTATCACTTTATATAGAGCACCTTTCTTAGGTGTGGCTCCAGAGGGCTACTTCGGCGCGTGGTGCCGCAACAAAGCACGGACTTGCTCGGACGGCATGTCTTTTGGCGCCTCAGCATCGTCCTCCTGCGGGTAACCATCGGGCGCGTCCGTGACGCGACTGCTGTGCGGCAGGGATACTACTGCCACACGGCTCTCCTTCGACCATACCGGACTCGACCAAGAAGTACGACGACGACCGCTCCAAGGACACCAAATCACGCGGCCACCGACAACGGCCACTGGGGAGCGGGGTTTTGGGCGTCTCCTCGTTCGTTATCAGCCATGTGCGATACCTCCTGGCGAGGTTGGTCCTGTCGAACTTTTGCCCGCGCAGCATTCTCATGGTGTACGTGTGTCCTGCCGTCTTCGCTTTGGTGGTGCATAGACGCGCGCCCGCTTGTCTTGCATCGTCCCAAGATGGGCATCGGAAGTCGTCGTAGCTTGTGGCGATCTTTCGGCTACGCGTGCACTTCCTCGCAGCTTGATCATACATTTGCGCACTGCTGCGGCGTAACTAAGCCGTGGACCACCTAGCCGCGTGCCTCCATCTGGGCCGAAGTCGAATAGCAGACGCACTAAGATCGCTGCGCGGTCGCTCGGGCCCAAACTGGGGTCGGCAATTTCTTGTGGGCGACCGGCCTCCAGATTCCACAAGGTCACGTCGCTCGCCGACCGCGACAAGCCGGCGCGCACGGCGTCGGTCTCCGTTGGCGGGGTCGCGCGAAAGCACGCGCCGCCAGGTAGGGGGGCCTTGCCTCTAGCATGCCTAAAGATCCAGCCATATAGCACTTCCTTGACGTTCTTGGTGACATTCTTCGCCTTGACGCTTACGCGCCCACTTCTCGTCGTTTGCGCGTTGAAGTCACCGCACACGAGCAGGCAAGCGCTGTTGTCGCGGAGGACTCGGGTGGCCGCGTCGTCTATCTCTACAGCTTGCCCCTCAAGATGCTGCATGTCAGTACCGCTCTCGGGTCGCGTGTGATCGAGGTAAACAGAGACGACGAGTAACCTGTCGTAGAGCGCGCACGCCAAGTGCGCCATGATCTCTCCTGTGTCGCGTGGTTCCGGGATCCCTTGTGAGTTCTGCGCTGTAAACAGCAGAGCACTGGCCTAGAGCTCGCGACGCAGAACTTCCCGCACCATTGGGGATGCGGCGCGCCTGCGTCATGCGCCACCAGTCGCAAGATGGCGACCCCACCTGAATTATGCGGCCCGAGGTATGGTTGCGAATCCGTACAACTGTCGACAACATAGACTGCTTCGCTGCTGTTGTAGTCTCCGAGCCCGACTACTGCGCCCTCAGCGTGCCAGTATCTTCTCTCTAATTCCTGTACTGCGACGAGCTGTGGGCGAAATTCCTTCAACAGTGGAGCAAGCCTGTGCAGGTTGCTGACGGAATTCATGCTCCAACAGCATAGACCTGTGCGTGGTAGAGATGCGCCTTCCTCAGAGTCAGAACTATCTTCAGTAGACAGGCCTTCGAGTGCCCAAAAGACAGGCGACGACGCTTCTGGCGCCGGACGCTCTTGCTTCGCCGAAGCCCGAGGGCACGCGCTAAACCTTCAGAACCTCGAAGGGCAAGCGGGTGACAGGTGGGCGCCTTTTCTGCTTGCTCGTTCTCGTTTTTTTGGCGAGTGTGTGGCGGGGTCGGTGGAGGGGGGCGGCGGACCACCTCCGGCCCGGCTAGAGGACCAGAGCGGCCACAGCAGGAAGGGGGCGCCGAGTCGCTAGAGGTTGGAGAAGGTGGGGCGCCAGAGGTGGCGGAGCCAGCGGCCGCAGGCAGCAGGGCTGCGGGTCATCCCCTGGCGCTCGGGCCCCAGATTCACGAGGGGACAAGGGAACAAGCCACACGCATGCGCGTCTGCCTTTGCTGGAAGCGCCTCCCGGAGAGCGCAGCACCACCTGCTTTGTTCTCTTCTCCGAGTCATCCACGGGAAGCGCAGCCCACCCACAGACGCGCCAAGAAGAAGCGGCGAATGCTGGCGCCCCTCCATTCTTGTTATGCCCACGCGCACAGCGTCCCGCCAATGCTTGGAATTTGTTGCCCCAATCTGAAAAAATCAAAACGGCGCGAATGATAAAGCTTTTTCCTGCGATGTCTCCGCCTCCTCTCTCATACCCTCCAAATCGCTCTGACACATACGGAGGGTTTGAGTTGAGAAAAAAGAACAACAACAACAACAAAAGACAACAACGGGGGCAACCCCGCAGCAGACCTCGCTAGGGCAGCGCCGTCCCTAGCTATGTCCGCTGGGCGTCCCTCTGAGACAATACACCACAAAACAGCCAGCCCGGGCGGATCCTCATGAAGCAGCCGGACTAAGTCATTTGCAAAGCAGTCACCTCGCTGTCCTTCGATTTTGACGCCCCTGCGAAGGCAGAGGGAAGCGAAAGTAAGAAACTAAGATGAAGAAGGCAGGGCCTCGCGCAGATTGACGCCAGGGGCCAGGCTGTCAGCGTGTTGGGCTCTAGTCCTAGGGCAGACGCAGCCCGGCAGATCGAAAAAGTTTACCAAAGAACCCGCACAAACACGCACAGGGACCCAAGTAGCCGCCCCCACGGGTCTACAGGCTCCCCTCGAACCACTTGAGCCACTGATCTCAGACCCCTCAGCCTCTTGCAATTCAAGACCTTCAAGGAGCTTCGTCCATCGTCCTTAACGGTGACAAGCCTTCTCCGTTCATCTGCGCAGACCAACAGAAACCGAACTTGTTCAGAGACACGCGCTCTATGAGTGGACAAATTACCAAAGTAGACAGCAGTCGAAATCGACAGAGTCGACAGACCCCAGCGATTCTGTCGAAGGCTGGCCGTCCGACTTTATCGGAGGAGCGCCAGCCGCTTTCTACTTAAAATTAGAACTAGATGGCTTCCAAGTTGAAGCCCTTCCTTAATCGAAATGAAAACGCGGAAGATCCGGCCGCAGCCTGCAGGTAGAGCCATGATCACCACCGCAAATAATTTCGACGCAGTAGCAATAATTTCCCCTAAGCACAGTGGTAACTCCTCTCGGGTAGAGTTGCGATTTAGTTTAGAACTAGCGCCCTCCTTGATCTGGGCCCTGATCTTTAGCTTACCGAGGCCTTTTCTCTGTGCGCCAAGATGAACGCCTCTCCTCTCGTGATCTTGGTTCTTTCTCTCTCGCGGGTCCTTCTTGCCTTCGTGGTCTTGGTTTCTTCTCTCTCGCGGATCCTTCTCTCCTTTCTTCTCAAACGAACCACCACTAGACAAGGAGCTAACTCGCGTACATAGTTGTGGTTTAAACGGAAACCCCAGCGCTTCAGCCATGGCGTGGGGCTTCAGAAGCGCCTGGCGCTGTTTTTGCCGCCGACTGATGATAGGAGTGCTACTGCTTTACCGCGTTGGCTTTGCGTGCGAGCTTAGAAGAGGAGGCAGGGCCGCAGGTGCTGCATTTGATTGGTCGCTCCTAGAATGAGTCTACTTCCATGCTTAAGCTAGTTGGGTGCGCCGTTCTTGTCTAATGTTGTAGCGTGAAGAGCTCGCAGGCTTGCCTGTGTCGCATAAATTTCTGGAATAGAGTCTAAACCTTTAGGCAGATCCTAGCGAAGTAGATGCAGGCAAGCACTGTCCTCCGGAGTCTTGGTCTTCTAGCTATCCCCTCCCTCGCCAATCTTGGCCCTCTTTCATCGACGTCGGATCTCCATGGGGGGCAAAACTTTTAAACTTTCAGGGGATGCTTCCGCTTTCATGCTGCAGGAACGATCTGCGGGGGATATCTCTCCCCATTGGTCTCCGCTGATTGCGTCGCCCGGCTGCGCGATTGGGTCTCCGGATGGGCCGAGGAGGCTGCATTTTTAGAATTTGCTAAGGATGCTTTTGCTTATGCTATTCCCGAAAGGAGTTGAAGTAGGGGACGCATCATAAGACGCAAGAAGCTTAGCACTAAAGACGACGAAGAAGCACAGACTGCGCACGCTGCGATCGGTGATCGAAGCAAGACGCAAGAGGCAGAGCAGCTATCTACTTGCACTCGCTTCCTGAGGGGTGCACCTGAGTGCAGTCGTGTCTTCTGCGTCTGCAGTCATAGCAGATAGCAGGCTGCGCGTTTCTTTTCAGTGTGGCAGTCGTCTACTTCTTGAGACGAGAAGCAGGGCAACAGCATTAGCAGAGAGAACTGCGCGCGCCCCTGATGCTAGAGGCAAATAATGATAGTCAGAAACTTCAAGGCGTGGACATCGCTACGCGGTCGCAACTCGCTCGGTCGCCGCATTGGTCGGCCTTGAATTCAGCTCGTGAGTATCGGCGCGCCGCATCCCCCGACAGTCGTCGACGTAGAGGACTGCCGTCTTCTATTAGAGAGAGAGAGAGCGCGCTGACTTTGTTTGGCTGTCTGTCCTGCGCGTCTTTCTAGGTGGCAAGAGAATCTCTGTCAGCTTGAAGAATATGACTCAGAAACTTCGCCCCAAGCCATGACAGAGGAAGTTTTGGCGAGATCCCTCGCCGGGGGTGTCTGCGCTGCTAAACCCCTGGCCCTCACCTGCCCAGTGAAGGCGGGACGAATGGCAGAAAACAAGAAAGCACCACAGTCGATAAGGTGGACGCGGGCGGCTCCCCCAGCACCTGGGGCCACTTTGTGGAAGTCGCCCCAGAGTCACCACGTGGGCAATGCTGACGCGCGCGGGGCCTGTGTGTAGGGGTCACGCAGTCCTCAAGCCATGGCGCCGCGGGTGGGCATGTGGTGAGACAGCGAGCCGACTGGTCAAGCCAAATCCAGGTGGCAGCTCGGGCCCACCGTCATGGTCGTGGTCAGGTGGCTTGTCATGCGCCACACCGGGCTGCGACGGCTTTCGCCGGCGGTGGCTTGTCAGGGTCACTGTCACACCTGTACAACACACGCGCGCCCTCTGTGGGTGGGTCATGCTGGTGGCCACCAGGTGGGGGGACCCGTGGAACCGGTCTGCCAGCGTCAGTCGCACCAAGAGCCAGGCAACACGCCGAGCATAGGCGTGAGGGTGTGTGGCTCTATGGGTCTGTCCCTGGGGCTGGTGTGGGGTTGTCGCGAACTGAGGCCGCCGGCTTGCTGTGAAATCCCAGGCCTGGCGGATGGTGCTCGCAGCGGCCGACGATACTCGCTAGCCGCGGCGACGCTCTTCGTAGTAACAGCTGTCGCGCCAAAAATTCGCTTGTCAGGCATTGGGCCGAAGTTTCTCAATCATAAAGAAGACTAGAGGAGGGCGAGAGACATACACACAAGAAGGAGACACCGCGAACCTTTTCTCCTGGTATGTCCCTTGTCATTTTCGCACTCGCCTCGACCTCGAAAGAACAAACTAAACAGAGCCGCTCTATTTTGTAACTTCAATTATTCTGGAAGAAAAACGCTCACGCTGGAGCCCAAGCTGTACCAGAAGCAAATAAAAGTAAGACCCGACGAAGAAGCTGTGACTGAAATTGAACACAAAGAAAAAAGGAAAAAGACGAGGCAAGCTGCTGCATAGTATGACCGCAAAGGAAATCCCAAAGATTTAAGGCCTGACATAACTGACGGCGCAGCGAGGACGTAGCTTCGACGCCGACGCCTGAGGAGACTACTAAAGTAGAAGCACACACTTCAACAAATAAAGGGGCCCGAACTGACCAGCGGGCTGCAGCTGCGCAGTGCAGTTGTCAGTTGCAATTGGCGCAGAAATTCATAAGAATCGTCGCCGTTGCAGTTGCTGCCGCAGCTTGTCGCTCATGAGCTAGCGCGGCTTTTGGAGGTCAGCAGCTGCCAGCTGGTGCAAAGAGCTGCGAGGCGCGGCATGTGATCACTGAGTCGCCTGCCAGCTGCAACCCTCGACGCGTCTTCTTGTGGCTTTGGTTGTGCTGTGCGGAAGTATAGTAGTTGCTGGCCACGTCGTCGTCGTGGTGGTCGTCCTCGCCCACGCGAAAGCCTCCCCTTTCACTGAGACGCCGCAACGGCCAGTCCGTCTCAGACTAGACGACGCCACTCCCGAGTGTTCTTGACATCGCAGCACCACGCCCAAGACCACAGGGCAGCGGCATGATCTCAGCGCCGGGCATGCTTCTAACCTGTGCGCGTGCACCTGCAGCCGTTAGCGTTGGAGGATAGGCCGAGAGCTGCCCACCCTTGGCGTTTCAGTGTCCACGTCGTGTCGCATTGGACTCAACTAGAGTAATTGCGTGAGACAGCTCAGCACGCGCGACGCGGTGCAGTCAGTCTGGTAGCTAGATACTAGCACGGTGGCTAGAAGCTAGCGCGTTGCTCTTGAAGTCTTTCAGTCATGACTTCGAAGATTCTTCCTACGTGGAAGCCTTTCCGAGTGATGTGGCTGGGCATCTCAATCAGTATCGCCCGAAATCAGGTCGGTTCGTAATATGGTCAGTCTTGTCGTCAGGCTCGGAACTCGGACACAAACACGGCGCACCTTAATGCCCGCTCTCCTCTATGGCGCTCACCGTAGAAGGCTCGACTATTTCCCATTACGAACCTGGGCGCTAGATGAGACAGAAAGCGAAGCAGCCCTGACGTTATAAGGGTCTCACCCAGTCGCCGTAACTGCTTGAGACGCCCAGCGATGAAGGTGTAGGATCATTCTCAAGAGATGCAAAGGAAGTCGCCACCTATTTCCGTGATCGCTGGATGAGATTCAGCCCGATACTGAAAGATAAGAAGTGAGTTAGAACCAGCGCCAGCGTCTTTATCTATAGCGCCCACAGACGAAGTGGAGACACCGAGTAAGAGTATGGTCAGTCCTCTAGTAGAGCGAGCGCAGATCTTGACCCAAATCGCAGGCAAGCCTTGAGCTACTTCGAAACTGGTGAAGAAATAAAAACGCCGGGCCATAACATTCGTAGGCCGCCACTCTCTCACGTCGCCTGCTTCTGTAATTTCGAGCCTCACACTCGTGCCCATGCTCGAGACTTTGGGCGATAGAGATACGATCCAGCTCGAGACGTTGCGAGCGTCTCTCTCGGATGAGTCGACCTACGAAGGCCGAGGAGCGCGATCCAAGTCTTGACTTTGTTTGCTAAGCCACAGGAGTCGCGTCGCGTTCTTGCACCTAGATGCACAGCTTCGCGCGCTTGTCTTCCTTGAAATATAATCGCCGGGCTTAACAATCACAACAACACTGGCCCGAGCTCGTTCTCGACGCATCCGATCCTCAGAGATGGCGGGCACGGCTCGGCACTAGTGGAGTAGTGCTCTCATAAATATAGCGCGGGCGTCCATCTCTTTCGAGAATGCGCAAGACTGCCACCTCCAGCATAGCTGTGCCCGATACTTCGTCTCCCAATGCTGGCGCCATGTCTTTTAGGCGGCCTTCGTTCGAATTGGTCCTCGCTTTAGATATGGACCCACGTGACGTCCGAAGTTTCTCGCAGTCCATTGCAGCTCGTGCCCCTTGCTTGTTGTCATTGATTCAAATTGGAGAAGCCCCGGCTCTGGAGTAGCATCCTCCCGCCGAAGCCAGTAGAAGCTTTTAGCGTAAGGGGAGTCGCAATCTATGGCCGGAGTAGTGGCGGCATCGTGGCGGCAATCGTATCGCACTCCAAAGGGATTACTAGTAGCACTGCTGGCGCATGTGCAGCGCGTAGGGGTAGGGCAGTGGTAGTGGTAGGCGCGTGCGTGTAGGTGTAGAAAGTAAGGCGGTGACGCTGGTAAGGAAGACAAACGCACGAGCAGCCACCTACATCAATACCAATCCAACGCCAGCGCGAACGCCTCCGCATAAATCTGCAAGGCCTTGCTTAGTCAACACATGGGGCCAAAGACTGCGGGGATACCAGTCAGGCAATAGGGACGAAGAAACGGCGCGCGGCCTTGTCGGGAAGTAGCAGAAGACCCGGAGCTCTGGGCGCTGCCTCTCTTCTTCAAGCCTCTCTATGAGAGAAGCCGGCACTCCGCTGCGCTTCCTTTATCTCTATCTGTAACGGTCGCCAGAGTTGCAGCATGCTGCAAAGCCAAAGGTCTTGCGCTTTAGAATACTTCACAACACAACAGCCGTAGCTAGCAAGACAAAAAAAAAACTGAGCACGAGCCTGAGCATGAGCGAGAGACTGGCCCTAAGCTATAAAAGACGCGCACCAGCGCCAGCAGTGAGTCTACTGTGTGTGTTTGCTCATCCTTTTCATCGTCGTGATTATCTAGCTGGTGGCGTAGACGCTCTTACTTGCTGCGTTATTGATTATGCTCGACTTCATCTCTGCCCAGTCATGGACCTCCGCGGCGCCCTTTGCTTTCTGGTGCTCGCTATGTCTGGGCCTACATCTTCCCTCGCACTGGCTGAGCAACTCAAATTGATTAAGCCAATTCACTACCCAACTAGGCTCGGAACCAGAAGCACTTAGGAGATGAAGACCCTGGGGGACGCGCGTAAGGTGGAGCGAGATGCCAGCCACAAGATGCGAAACTTCTTGCGTTGAATGCCTTGCAGTTGTAACGGCTAGACCCAAGGGAGTGGCTGGGCGGTTGGTCTTCCTGACGCTGCATGTCGTGGGTGCACTCGCTGCACGAGCAGGGAGGAAGCAGCACGCGCGAGGTTTTGTGGGAGTGGTATCATCTGCGTCATGGCTGAGGCTGAACAATCGCAGGGAGCTACTTCGGGCATAACGTAGAAACTTCTGCAGCGCCACGACACGAACAGCCTTGCGACCTTGTCCTTCCGCTTATCGTCTCGGCCTTTCATGCGCCGCGCTTGCAAGTGCTGGCTCGGTGAAAGGCTTGCGCGCTAGTGCTCTACGAGATAGAGTGCGTTGAGCCGTCTCCTGCGAAAAGTCACGGACAGCGTTTCGCGTCAGAAAAAGCGAAGTGAGGCGCGCGGATGACAGCATGTGGAAGTATGGAAGAGACACGAGAAAAGGCGAAAGGTTCAAGCTGCGGCTTCCGTTTAAGAAAGCCACAACTGTACAAATTGGCTCCCTGTCTAGTGGTGGCTCGTTTGAGAAGAAAGGAAAGGAGGACCTGCGAGAGAGAAAAAACCAAGGGCACGAAGGACGGAAGGATCTGCGAGAGAGAAAAAGCCTACCAAGATCACGAGAGGGAAAACATCCTGGCGCACAGAGAAAAGGCCACGGTAAAGATCAAAGTCCAGACCAAGGGAGGCGCTAGCTCCAAACTAAGTCGCAACTCTACCCGGCGGGGGTTACCGTTGTGCCTGAGGGAAATTGCTACTGCGTCGAAGTTATCAAGTCTTTACCTGCAGGCTGCGGCCGGATCCTCCGCGTTTTCGTTTCGATTAAGGAAGGGCCTCAACTTGGAAGCCCTCTAATTTTAAGTAGAAAGAAGCTGAAACTCCTCCGATAAAGTCGGACGGTCTTCGACGGAATCGCTGGGATCTGTCGACTCTGTCGATTTCGACTGCTGTCCACTTTGGTAATTTGTCCATTCATAAGAGTGTCGCGCTCTTCTATTACCTTGTGACGACTGTACTGAAAAATGCCACGCGTGCTTTTCAAACCGGCACAGGAAGCAGCAAACGGGTTAATTCGTAAACGAGGGAGCTCGCACATAGCGGTGTACAATTTTTCGCCCTCTGTGTCAGCGTCTTGATTGCAGATCTTCGGTCTCAACATGTTGAATTTGATCGCATCCTCCACAGCGGCCCTCCAATTGCGAGCAAACTGATGATCCAGGTCCAGCAGTTGCGAACTAGTATCGGCCGCCTATTAAGAAAAGAGTCGAATATCAGGTCTACACAGAAAACCAATTTCAATTTCTCTTCTGAGTGAAAGTATGAAACCAATATCATTACTAATACCTTCAGAAAGATAAAGATTGATGATAGCATCCTCCAGCACCAGTCAGATTCGATTTTATGACATAAAGCATATAATTACGGTCATCGAAGGCTCCAGCAAGCCGCATTTGTGTAGCTCGTCTTCGCCTCCCTTTTTGTAAAAATTGGATAAAGCTGCTTTCTGATCGTTGGTTAGAAACGCCCATCCGTCGAGCTCCAGGTGATTCTGCATCATATCATGTTAGAGCCCAAAACATTTTCATTTCTTGGTTTGAGGAGCCATTTCGTAGGCTCTTCAAAAGTATGGGCGTGGGCGAGATTCCTTAATCTAGTATCTCTCAGACGTCGCCGCACGTAGCTCAGGAGAAGTCATCAGCTAAATTCAAAATTGCCAACCGCAGCTCTTAAGTCTTAACAAGGCACAAGTGATTATTAAGGCTAGCCAAACTACTCAGTTGTGTAATATGAGGTGTCACATGGAGGAAACTAAGTAAGAAAACGTAAAAAAACAAATACAAATGAGATGGGGAAAACCAATCAACATCCTCAGCCTTAGACCTGCACTAAATCTTGCGCTGGTTGGGCCGGCTTTTGCCGGTCCTGGGACTGCTTGTTCCATACGCGATCCACAAATTCGACCGCCATGCTGTCTACATCCCCAGCTGATAGTTCGTCGGGCGTTATAGTCTCGTCACTCAGCGCCTCCTTCAGTTTTAACGTTTCTTCGTTCCGTGTTTGCTGCGAAAGGCTCTCAATCATTTCCCACCCAACCTTGATGGCGTGGTAAAGTCGCCCCGCATACGCAATATCGGGAGCATGAGAGTGAGAGGCGTAGAACTAGAAGAACTTTACGCTAATATTAGAAGTTGGGAAAATATTTTGAAGCTCAAGTGATTATCAAGGGTAGCCAAACTTCTCAGTCGTGTAATAAATGAGGTGCCACATGGAGGGAACCAAGAAAACGTAAAAAAATGAAAACAAATGAGATAGGATATCAATTATGCTCAGCCTTAGACCTGCGTTGCAGTTTCTTCGCCTTGCGTTCCCTGCGCAATCGCCCTAAACTTCTCCCCTACTATGGCGTCGTAAAGGTTCCGCGCATGCGCAATATTGGTTTGTGTAGTGGCAAGCGCTACCTTGACCTCCTCCTTCGTCTGAAGACGTTTTTCAAGTATACGCTGAGTAACCTGAAAGTGAGAGGCGTAGAAGAACTTTACACTAATATTAATAGTGGGGAGAATACTTTGAAGCTCAAGTGATTACTAAGGCTAGCCAAACTACTCAGTTGTGTAATATGAGGTGTCACATGAAGGAAACTAAGTAAGAAAACGTAAAAAACAAATACAAATGAGATGGGGGAAATCAATCATCCTCAGACTTAGACCTGCACTATATCTTCCTCTTGCGCTGGTTGGTCCGGATCTTTCACCTCCTGGGAATGCTTCCATACGCCCTCCACAAATTCGTTCACAAGTCTGTCCACCTCCACCAGTACTGCTTGTTGTTGTTGTCGACCGGACGTTAAAATTTTTTCCAGAATCGGCTTCAGCTTTGCCTTTTCGTTTTCTCGCTTTTCCTGCCAAAGCGCCTCAAACTCGTCCCGTGCCACCTCGAAGGCGTTGTAATATGCTCGCGCATTCGCGATAATGGTTTGTGTAGCTTCAAGTGCTGTATTGACTTTGACATGATTGGCCGTCAGGTCGTGTCCATATAGTCTTTCTACGCGAGCCTGAGAGTGAGAGGCGTAGAAGAACTTTACACTATATTATTAGAAGTGGGGAGAATACTTTGAAGAATCATGGTAACAAGCAGCAAGTCTCTACACAAACTATTCCAATCTGGGAAAAACTATTCTTCCATATGCGGAATCTTTAAATGCTAGGGTATCTTCCTAGCACCTTGGCCTCGGCATTGAACGGTTCCGGTGCTGTTTCAGCCAAGATGCGTTTCGTGTGTTGATGTCCAACCCGCTTCTCAACCTCCAAGAAGGCATTCGCCACGTCGATGACGTCTTCCCGAGACGATTGGATGGGTCGCTGATTGCCTAAGCCTTTTGAGCGTCGAAGCTTCTGTGGCCGCGGTGCCGCTCCATCAGCCTCAGCCTGCATTGCACTGACTCGCTCGGCCTCGGCTAACGAGCCCGCGAGGACGAGTGCACGAAATTTGCGGTTATTGACCATCTTTTTTGTATGAAATGAAGCTGCAGTACTAGAAGTCCTAGACCTAGTTCTGCTTGTGCCTGCCCCTGTTCTGCTTTACTAATACTGTTTGTCCTTCGAGTAGTGAGAAACTCAGGTGCTAGAGGTAGTGCCGCTATGAGTGCTAGCTTCTTCTTTTGCTGGAGGCAGTAGAAACCTGCAGACTGTCGTGGATTTTGCCTATAGATAAATGAGGTAGAGGCCATTCACTCTTCTCCCTATTCTTCGCTGGTCTCGGAAGCAGATAGCAGTACTCCAGTTTCCAATTCCATCCTCTGCGCTGTCCATCTGCGTAGAATAGATGCTCTACCTTTCACAGGCGAACACTATGCTACTTGTACTTACAAGGAAGCTTTGAGGATGGATCAGCGGAACAATCCGTAAGAGTGTGAGTGGTATCGAATGAGTCTTTTTGAGTATCGTCTCGCTTGCCAGCAGCTCAAAGGAGCTTTTAAGCCGCATTCTTCTTCGACAATCCTTGTGAGAGCACCACTGCTCGACCAAGCAATCGTGTAAGACCGTTGCGCTCCAAGCATCGACCTCTCAGATTTAGTATTCTCAGAGTATGGTCCCAATTTGTTGATCGTTTTCAATATCAGTTGATCATATCTTGATCCCTTTCTTCTTGAAGATCCTAGAAGACCCTAAATCCAACTCAGGAAGGAATACAAACCGACCTGTTGCGTCAAGGACCGACCAATTTAGATTTCGGAATGGTGAGTTTTCACACCTTGTCTCTACCAGCCATGTACATGACTCGGCGAGCGCTCAGTTCTGGCTACCCCTGGCGCGAGCGGACTGCTCGTTCTGCTTTGCCAGCTTTGCGTTTACTGGTTGTGGTCGTATATTCTTTGTTCATGTTCCTCCTGAGAGATCTGCAACTGAGTAATATTTTTAAAGCTCCTGCGTCAGCAATCGCCATCATCTGATAATGATATTAATTGTGGTTATAATTGTCCTCGGAGGGTAAGATCACCGCGGGACTCAATAAAACCAAGTCTCCACTACTACCAGCTTTACGTCTAACTAGTACTTTTTCTAGGTAGCGGTAATACGTATGTCACCCATAAAAACCGTTACTAAGAGAAATGAATGCGAAAATCACTGGACGTAAAACTTGAGAAGACCATAATCTAAAAAATCTAAATTATCTAAATCTAGTAAGAGTTCTTGACGTGGAATCCGAAATGATAAGAACCTAAAAAAATAGTCCATTGAACCGTTCGAACTACTAGTACTCTTACTCTCGTGCTCGTCCCTGCTAAGGAGAAATCTAAATAATCTAAATTAATGCATCGACGCAAAAGCAAATGCTACTCTCCTACCCTCCATACGTGAGACATCTAGACAAGTGCTAGAGCGTGGCTCTGAATGTGAGTCCAGCTCCAGATGTAAATCAATATCACTTGATCATATGTTGTTGATCGGTTTTTTCTTGATGATCCTAGACTCTCAATCCAACTCAAGAAGGAATACAAACCGACCCGTTGTGTCAATAACCGACCAATTTAGATGTCAGAATGCTGAGTCTTCATGTCCATGTCCATCACCCGGCGTTCAAGTATTCATGTTCCTGTCTTCTACGTATAGATCTGCAACTGGGTGATATTCAAACTTCCGCGTCAGCAATCGCCATCGTCTGGATCTGATATTGCTGGTGGTTATTGTCCTAGGAGGGTAAGTTCATCGCGGGACACAATAAAGGCAAATCTCCACTGTGACTTTAGTACTATTTCTACTCAGGTAGCTAGACGTAAAACTTGAGAAGTCCTGGCCCTCATCATTATTTTGTAAATAATCTAAATCTAGTAAGAAGTATTGCTATTTTTGGAGTGAAATCCGAAATCAGGAATCTAAATAATCCATTGAACAGTACTCCTGGTCCTGCTCTCTCTAAATAATCTAAAAAATCTGAATCAATTCATTGACTCGAGTGCTACATTCTACTAAGCAGAGCCAGACCAACCCCTCCATACGTGAGACATCTAATCAAGAGCAAGACCGTGGCTCTGAATGTGAGTTCAGCTCCAGATATAAATCTGGAGCCAGTAATAGTAGCATCTTTCTTATCCCTTCAATCTGAGGAGTGTAACCATGACAGCGATACTGCGCAGCTGGGGAATTGAATGATTGATAATCGAGTGGCATTAGTGGAACTAGAATTAGAAATCTGCTAAGACTAAGAGAGAGTCAATACCTACCTCTTCTTGCATAATGAACATTTAGAACCTACTTTCTTTCCCTGCTCTCCGCATCCTTCGCCGTTCGCTTCGTGTGCAAAGCTGATCTTCATCCTTCGTGCTCGTGCTACTACCATGTGTTCCCCAACAGTGTTCTTTTTCCTTGATATATTGCGCTTTTTCTTCTCCATCTGATCTTGCGTGCTCCTTTGACGACAACGACTACGACCCTTGTTCTTCTAATAATTTTGATGTTCTATCTTCTTTTATGCGGGCTCAATGATCCCAGCTTCGGAGGCGACGCGTACCCTTGTTTCCGCGTTTTCACCACGCCGCCGCATCTTAGACCATCTTGAAAACTAAGTAAAAGCATCTTTGAGTTCTTGAAGTAACTGATCTCGCTGACGTCAACTTTGTTTTCGTTTTCCCTTGTTAAAAGAATGCCTATGAGAGCAAGAATAGCAATAGGCCCCTAGCTCTAGCTCTAGTGGGTGTATGTGGGGTGACTGTAACTCATAAAACAACCCGATGAGAAGTCGATAAAGTCATCTGCCTTCAGCGATAATTCCTACTCAATGGCCATGAATTCACGGAAGACTTAACTTCAACTTCGGAGAGGCGATGCTGCTGTTTCCCAAAACCGATGTGCTTCCTGGAGTTGCGCTAGCATTCAAAAGGTTATGCGGTCCAGGCGTATGCTGATGCGATCCAGGCGTATGCTGATGCGACGTCGTGAGCGATGTTGAGCTGTAATTGTTAGCGGTACATATCGGCACAACTAGTCGAGCAGGTGTAGAGGTATTTGTCCTAGCAGTAGTTATCCATCATGATAGAGGCTAGGAAGAATCTCAAGTTGAAATGTTCATATCCTCTTCAATCATTCTGGGCGCGTGGTGGGGACGGGCATCAAGAGGATACTTCCATTGAAAAATCCATAAAATCCATATAGCCTTCTCCTAGGACAGACATCACCTTAAGCTTAATACAACTCACACACTTTTCTGTACGTAGGATCGATTCTCTCTCTCATCCAGCCTTAATATTATTGGTCCCTTGATAATGACCGCCAACACTTTTCTGTTGCCGCACGAAAACGGGATCTACCTTGTTAGAGCTCAGAAGTGCCACAACCAGCATACTTTTCCATAATTGTTCCGTTTCCGGGATTGAATGAAATAATCTCAGGACGAGGATTCACCCCGCATTGAAATTAATGATCATACAAGAACGCAATATCTCTAGTATTTTTATGCAGAAGCACATGCTTCAAGGATCCACCCTACATCTATCGCGTTCGCAATAGTGTATATCCTTCTTGAAGAGTACGTCACCCCACATCTCTAACGAAGATATACCAATCAATCCGGCGACGCACTGAGGCAAAAGACATACTTAGTATTGGTGTCCCTAGCCATAACATAAGGCTGCGCTTCTTCCTGCTCTCCTCCAAAAGGTCCTTGAGGTGTGGGCATCAATTTGTGGTCTAACAGGCGATCCATCAATAACCGTGTGTCTTTCGGTGTCTGCTCTACTATGAAGGAGGTGGAGAAACAGGAGTTTTCTGCATCGTCTGCACATCTTGTTGTACCACGTTGATGATCAACAATCTTCAAACTATGTATACATAAGTGCTTTAGGTTCATAAGTCTAGAATGACTTAGGCCAATAAGAACCCTACTTCTACGATAACACGAATACAACATAAACATTATTCTTGTTCTATGTTTACGTATATGCACTATTCTTGTTGCTTTTCGGAAAGATGTTCAAACTGTATTGTAAGTCTAAGTGCTCCATCTGTGACCATATTCAACAATGCTGCGGGCCCTCCGCCCGACACTGCCGCACCGGCTCCGGCTGAAATCATTGTCGTGGGCTGGGGTAATGGCGTGAAAGCTGTATCAGCACCACTGCCAGTGCTAGAAGAAGCGACCTGCTGGTGGACAGATGTAGAAACCGTTGCCATTTTTTCTGCTCTCTGTTCCACTACTTGTTGTATCAGTTTTCCTTTTGTCTCCTGCATCGCCAAACTTGCTGCACTTGTGTTAGATCAGACATCACTATAACTAATCTCAGATCACTCTTATGTAGTACTAGTAGAAGCAATAGTATCTAAATCTATCTGTCTCTGATTATATTTAGTAGAGTGAGTCCCCTTTTATATTTCCACCAGAGGTACTGGCACTTGTTAAAGAACTCAAAGTCAGACTCAGAGTCACGACCCTTACCTCTTATTAGGAGAGGAAAGAAAGGAGGAATCTACGACAACTTCATCTCAGCATAGTGTTTGCCCACGATGTTGATGACCTGGTCGACTATTCGGATTGATAGACCTGCCACTACTAGTGCGACCACTGACTTCGCTACAAACATGACGCGAGGGAGTGTGACAATAATGAAGTAGAAATGAATATTGCCCCTAATTGTTACTCCCTGAGCCAGCATTGCCAGATCTAAGAACTGCTCCTTTGTTAATGGTGAGGCAGTTAGTAATCCTACTCCCGCGATCCCACCTCCTAAAGGCCCTCCTAAAGGCGTAGAGACTGTTGCATCTGCTCCAGCTCCCGCGCCAGCGCTTGTTGCACCTTTATAATTAGAGAAAGAGACAGAAATCTAGGTCACCATATTAGATAATTGCAATTCTTGCTTCACCTCGTATGTTCATCTTCTATCCCAAATAAATTTCTACTAACTTGAATAAAAGCGAAATCTAAAAGCAAACGTTGTAGAAATGATGTGGACGACGACGATAGACTCTGTAGAAGCTTTTCAGGTAGATCTTGTAGTAAGGGAACTTCCTTTCTAATATACCACATCATGGCGTTAAGCCTTAAGATAAGAACCTCCGCCACGCTGACTATTCTCTCGTCTTTGGATTTCCGTCGCTGCTAGTTTGAGGACGTTCGAGTGCTGCTTTCCGTTGTCCTTGAGGGAATAGCCTAACCTATCCTCCTGTGTCACACGCTTTCCGTCGATCAAGAGCACATGCGGCAAGTTCTGGCAAAGCCCAAAGCGATAGAACGGTTTACGCGCTATTCTTAGATGATCTAAGAGAAATCCATCTCCAGAAGGAGGGAGGGCGTCCCATCTTCTATTCCGTTTAAACATACAAGGTTTAGGTTGAGGTTTGGAATTGCATAGGGATGTCCACTTTAAAAAAAATAGAAAGCAACACCAAGACGGTAGGCTAGTAAGTTCTTCGGCAGTTACAGACAGCCACAATGGATTTTTTGTACTACTTAGCCTTAATATTGGATTTCGTGCCAATGAAATAGTATGTATCTCACTTTCCAGAAACTCTTCGATGTCGACCTTCCGCTTTCTTCTGCTCGTAAGCGTTTCTTTGTTCTGCACCCCGACTTTCCTTCTTGGGACTAGTGCAGGAATCGCTTCCAAAGCAGCTACGCGATTGAAGTCGAGTCTCAACACTTTCAATTTGATGCAACTGCCAAAGGGGTCAAGCATTTGAATGCGGTTATGCGTCAAATGCAACTCTTGCAGCTCCTCTGGACCGACGAAACGAGGATTAGAGGCGGTAACTTGACTTAGCAACTTATCTTGATCAAAAAGAAGTTTATCGTCATCTATGACTTGACTATGGCGTAACTTATCTGTATATCTTTCAGGAACATGAACAAAAAGTTGACCACTTAGTCATACTTACTAGATCGGCGTAAATAATAGCTCAGTTCACAAATTGCAACTGCTCTTAATGTACGCATCAGTGTGCCGGATTTTGTTGTGGTCCAAGACGAGCGCCTTCAGCTTTTTCAGGTGTCGAAATGGCGCTCGGTCCTTCTCGGCATCGCCAGTCTGCTGTAGCCACGCGCCATAGTCTCTATTAGAGGCAGTTCTTCACTATCCTTGATTGAGTGGCTTTCACCCTTTCTTCTCCTCTAAATGTAAGTGAAAAATCCTCGTGAAAAAATATGGCTGAATCGGAATTCTTCGCCTTCAAAATATCATTTTTCCCTTTCAAAATATAAATATCAGGGTAAACCGGAATGGATGCTGCCCATCAAAAAACAACTTGAAATAAGAGGGAACTGGAGCTGCAAGACAGTCAGCATATTAATACTAGTCCACAGACACGCTCACAGAAACGGAATACATAGTCGTGAATGTCTTAACTTTAGCCGCTTCGATAGACGACGTGACGAACTCATCTAAGCCACGAGGTCGAACCGTTGACGCTGCAGTTCCTACACGTGAACAGAGACCATCTCCAGGCACGTTCAGCTGGGAAATCCACGGCGAGTGCTCTCCAGGTCCGCTAAAGGGGAGAGCAGGCGAATCTCCAAAACTGCTGCCTGACTGTGCTATGGGAAAAATTAGATGAAAGAATGCGATCAATCTATGGGAAAGCTAAACCTACAGTCTCAGTCAAACAACTAAGAAGCATTAGAGTTGTGGCGGCAGTTCGTGTAGCTAAGTACTCGCTCGTCCTCATCTTCTTGTTCATGATCGTGCTGTTATAGTGATTTCGCACAACATAGTCATGTAGTCACGAGTGAAACGCTCATGTAAAGGCTCACGATGATTGCAGTTGTAGTTTTAAGGCTGTGGCAGTACTAGTAGCTGCACATGCCCCAAGCATAAGAATTGGTCCGCCAGAAGTGAACCACCTTGGCAACTGACAGCACTGCTAGAACTCGCAGGTCGACTAGCACGTAGTGCATTACTAACTGCCGTGTTCACAAACGTAGCAGAAGCCGTCCCAGGCTTACTGAGACATCCTCGAAAGTTATTCCGCGATGCGTGAAATTCCTGCAGCTCGTCAGTGCTTTCTAGGGTTAGATGTTAAACCTAAAAAGAATAAGAAGCACGAAGAGGAGGATGTAAGTTATTAAGAAGCAGCGAGATGAATAGCTGGTGTCGTAAGCACTTCATCCACGACGGCATGTGGAAAGGCTTACCCAGATTTTTTAGTGGAAGAGAGCGACGATTCACGGGCAAGATAGTCCCAGTCAAGAAGTATTGTTCTACGTACTTCTACCACTAATGTTAGTGAGAATGAGAAAAGCTTGACCATAACAGCGCGCCGTTTTCTCCTGGTAGGATTATTTGACCTCGCGGGTCTCCCATGTTCCATCGAGCAGGTGACAGAGAACATATTTGGTTGTGTGCCAACACCAACACGCGCAAGTTCGGGAAGACACGCCGCGATAATTCCAATAGTGGCGTCAGAGAACGGATGTTGTTCGAAGAGAGTTCTAGGTGCTGTAGACCGGGCAAAGGATGAATAAGAATGCTGTGCTTCGACGAGGAGCTTCCACCAACATTTTGACTCTTGGCCGCATGCGAAGTGGACCGAGCCAAGGGCTTGTAACCGCTAGTAGTATTGGTACTGGAAGAAGTTGTACTGGCATTGGAGGAGGAAGACATTGAGACTGAGTTGGAACCGCCTCCATTTGCCACAGTGACAGTTGAGCCTGCTCCACCTCCTGAAGCAACAAGACTCTGCTGTGCTCCTTCAGTGGTACTAGAGTCCTGGATTGCTAATCGCTTCAATTCTCCCAGGTTCATTCGGTTCATTTTCAAGGTCTTGAGTTTACCCAGAGGTCCTATCTCGCCTCGCCGCAAGAGGTTTTGGTCTAGACACAATATCCACATTAGAAGTGATGGGCTCCAACATTCAACTTCATTTAGTGGCTTCATTTCATCATCGAAACATGATCAAGCTGAAGTTGAACTTGAGCATGAACTTGAACATTCGTTGTACTGTTTCGTTCCTCCTTCTTCTTCTAGTACTAGTTACTCTTACATTAGCTTTAGTAGAATCAGATACAAATCAGGATCAGTCGGGAACCTGAGCGTGATCTTTCACTTTTTACTTCATGATCTCCCTTCACAACTGTGGTGCTACACGTCGTGATTCTGATCAATCACTAAATACTACCCTTAACCTCAACACTGGAAAATATCTGTCGCTGAGAATCGCCCTTCCCAGACTGGTCAACTTCGAGTTTCGTAGATCGACTTTCTGTAGAGAACGTAGAGAAGTGTGGAAAGCGGCAAATTTTCGCTGCAGGAAGTCTGGGGTCAGCGTTCCTCGAAACAAACGCCAAGCACTGTACACGTCCTCTTATTTAGCAGCGTCCCTCTCCAGAAGTTCAAGAACTACAATTTTTTGGGCGCACCCACTTTCTTCTTTTGGGCTTGGAGTTGTCAAGAAAGATGCGAAGCCTATACCTAAACGACATCCAGGTATCAAGTAGACAAAATTAAGCGAAGGAAAAAAACCGAGGAAGCGAAGACATCATGACGTTTTGAAGAAGAATGCTCACCTAAAAAAGAATCAAGATCAAAGCCTGAGATGGAGCATAACGTTCGAGACGGCCATTCCGTCCAAGTACTGTAGTCGGTCACGCATCAAATACACAGCGTAGAGACGCAGCACTCGTGCTAAATGTACGTGCCTTGCACCTTGAGCCGGATCTAGTGTTCCATCTGGTCTTGTCGTTGAACTACTAGTACTAGATGTCCACGAAGTACTATAACAGCTACTTCTATTCACAGCCGACGTTGACCAAGCATCTTGATGTGGTAGTTGCTGCGGTAGTTGCCGTTGTGATCCGACTAGTGTGTGGAATTCTTGATTGCTCCTTCCAGCAGCATTAAAACAGCTGGCATTACTCGACCCGTTACCTGGACACGTCGCGGGGAAATATGTCGACTGACTCTGTTCGGCAAGAAGTATGCGGACTTCTGCACCACCAGACGCCGCAGCTCCGGCCGAGGAGGACACATTATCACCTTGACTTCTTCTATGTTGATCTGTGCCTGTAGTTCTTGTGCCACTTCTTCTAGTAGCAGCACTACTGTTATCTTGTTCAGAAGACTTGGCGATGTCCTGAGGATCGAACATAGTGCTACTAGTACTTCTCCAACCAGCTCCATCACCATCTGCACCAGATGAGTCAGATACTAGAGCCTTTCTATCATCCCCCATTGATGTTCCGCCACTCCGTCCCGTAGTACTATTGTAGTCAAAACCCTTCCCAATCTTTGAGACAACATCCGCGCGACCAGTATTAGAGATTACGGAATTAAGTTCCTCAGAAGATCCCTGGTGCTGGCTTCTTTTCTACTAGGAAAAGAGCCTACGACGATAGTGAGGGAAAAGGGATGTAATAATTGAGGGGTATTTTACTCAGCGGAGTCCACACTCATAGGATCATACTGAAGACCTAGCCTTAACAATAGGTTTGACACAGGCAGCGGTTACTTTTCTCAACTCTGCCATCTGCTCGTCAGTGTGCTTGGCTCGCGTATCGAGTCTCGCCTTGCGCTTGGTGTTAGAGTGGAGATACTCACGTGCGTGGTCGAGCAGTCCGTGTTCTTTGCTTTCTCCACGTGAAAAAGAAAGAGAAACTTCCAACAACAAGTAAAAACTGAAACAGAAACAAGAATTGAGGATATAAGTGAAGCGGGACGAGAGGGAGTAGAGAAGAGAACATCAATACTCAGAAAGTACACAAATCTTCTTTTTCTTGAAAGATTATACTTATAGGATTCCGTGAAGTTCAATCAAGAAACGAGGAGCTCGCGCCTTACTTATTCTGGTTTTCTTTTTGTTCTCCTCGTCTCCTGCTCTTCCTTCTTGTCTTGCGCCAGCCTCATCATCTTCGCCCTCAGTCTCAGAACTGAAAGTATCGTAGCCCTCTACTACCTGAGCATCTTCATCCGCATCTTCTCGCTCACCTTCTGAGTCCTGGTAGAAAGTCTCATCTCGGTCTCGTCCTCGTGGTCTGGACGCCGACAAGGACAACGAAGAATTTGAGTTCTCGATGAATTCCAGTCGCGTTAGAGCTCACCCTAATCTTCCATCTTGACATGGTACATCCTGGAGATGGGTGCTTTTCCCCTTGAAAAACAGACTCTCTCCTTCCTAGGGCTAGGATGACTTCTCTGAAGATGGACCATTATTTACGGGAGACTCTTCAGGATCGATGTCTTTGACCAGAAAGATGGACCATTAGGGGCAGAAGCCTTAATCTTGCGCAGAGTTCTGACACCGGGAAAGCAACGTCGAGACAGTCCCTTGCGTAGTCGCTGTTAACGGCCATTGGGTTGCCGCGTAGCTCTAAAATAGCTAGCCGCGGACACCTGGCTTGCAACACGTACAATCCGCGAAGGTCAGTCAACAAGTTTCCACCAAGGTAGAGGGCACGAAGACAGGTCCCAAGGTTACCCACATTGGGCACTTGCTGGCACGAGGATGAACTGGATGAAGAAGTTGTAGAAAAACTTGTAGCTCCAGTGCCACTGATGGAAGAAGATGAAGTACTAGCTTTCGTGCTGTCATGATGAGCATGCTGGAGGTGGTCTCCTGAAGAAACGACAAATGGAGGTGGGGACAGAGCAGAGGCTGAAAGCGCACCAGAGGCCGCTGACGAATTGTTTGGTAGAAGCTGTAAAGCGGAAGACGTACTGTTCCGACGTAAAACCGGAGAAAGGCCTTGCTGCTGTTGCGCACTATTATTAGCTGTCGTATCAGAAGCGCCCTCTTGTTCTCTATCTGAGCCATGTGGGGAGGAGCTTGGTGCAAAAGGTTGGCCTGCTTGATGGTGTTGGCGACCAGCACCGTGAAGACCGTGGCTAGTCACATTGTGGTAGTTGTTCGTCCCTTCCACACGACCAGCACCATGCTCTGCACATGTTGGCGCAACAATCCGATAGGGTGGCGGCGTCACTAATTTCGAGTTTAGCCATTCTAAGTGATCTACTCGGTTGTCTGACAAAACTAGGACTTCTAGACTCGCACAGGCCGTCACGTGATGAGGATCCACGACGAAATTCGACGCCGCGTCTAGTCGCTTCAGGTTCGGAAATGCTTCTACCCCTGCAAACGAGGTAAGGGCATTGCGCGACACATCTAGAATTTCCAGCAGGTGGGGTGCAGCGAGTTGCCCAAGCGTTTTCAGACTTGTTAATAGCAATGCCGAACTGGAACCACTGTCACTATTGCTTGTGCTTGTTCCATACCTTCCACCGCCTAATCCGCTAAGACCTGCTAACGAGAGTTCTCGTAGACCGAGAAAGAAATAAGCATGCGGCCTCTTCAAAAGAGAGTCGATGGAAGGTGGTGGGTTTGACGCAGAAGTAAGGGTTTGCTTGTTTCCATTATGATCCGAAAATCCAGAGCCTGTGCTTCCTGCTTCGTGCGCCTCTACGCATGCGTTTATTAGATGAGGTATAGGGAATGCATCACACAAATGATCTGGGTCCCTTTTCCTTCTTATTTTCTTCGTCCACATGACTTTGGAGATGCATTTCCTACACTCATAAGTTTAGAGCCTCTCCTAGAGCTGCAGTTGCGCAACTAGTGGACACTGAGGCGATAGTTTGCTGCGAAGTCACGAGGGCTGCTAGACTAGAAGTAGACTGATTCACTCCGCTTGTACAACTGTGGTGCATCTTGTTCGGAGAACGTCGTCCCTTCGTTAGCGGAGACGAAGAACTCGAAGAAGTAGACCCTCCGACGCCACTTCCAGTCGCCCCAGCTCCTGTTGTACCAGTACCGGAACCGGCGTAGCTACCCACTATGCCTCCAGGTCCAGTAGTCCCACCAGCGCCACCAAGCCCACTAGCTGCGCCTCCTGAAATCGAATCCATAGCAATACTTCGCATAATCGTGGTGCTCATACTGCTACTAGGGACACTACCGGGACCGAACAAGAGCCAGTCGAGGTAGACCTGCAGAGCCGCAGTCGTCGTCGCGTCTTCCTCACCATCATCCAGCGAAGCGTTTGGGGTTGCGTTTTGATTTATTAGTGGTCCTCCAGTACTTGGTCCTCCTGTCGATGCACTTGAAAAATTTTCAGTCGCACAACTCCCATTTGTCCCAGAAGAAAAAGATGTACTCGACGTCGATAAGAAGACTCCAGTAATGTCCAGTTTGCTGGTTGTTGTGTCAACTGTTATCCTGCTGTCGTTCAAGGAGCGTTCAACATCGGCAAGGTTTTTTTCAGGCGATTTCCTTCGTAGAGGGCTGGAGCAAGCACTTCCGGGAGCCAAAATAGACCCTGAAACTCCAGTGGTTGGCGTCCGTGCTACAGCAGCGATCGTCGGCGTAGTTGCGAGCTTGCTCATCGTTCCAGCAGCGCTACCCAACACCTCGATATCCAACTCGTCTTGGCTCTTCCCTTCTTGTTCCGCTAGTAGCTTTAGCGCGTCCATTCGCGTTCTCAGAGCGTCCAGAACATCAGGATCCGACTCTAAGCGTGAGTACCCGTTCACTGCTCTCACTCTAGGGAAAAGCGCAAAAAAACGCGCTACCTCTAGAGGTCGCAGATGTGGAGTGTTTTGCTCTTCTTCCAGGGAGTCTGTTGTCGCTTTATGACTCGATATCTTGTTGTTCAACATCCTTGTACTGGTTGTTGATCTAGTGCCAGTTGATGTAGTACTGTAGTTTCTTCGCTGCATTGCTCCAGCTGTTGTTGTAGAAGTACTGATGTAAGAAGATGATGTTGCTGTCGTTGTTGTTCTTCCACCAGGTGGTCCTACAAATGCCGCGGAAGAAATGTCGATGACAACCTGTCGCACCGTAGATCCTATGCTGCCACGACTGTTATTACAGAGATCCGTCAGAGAAAACTCTGTATTGCCTGCCAAATCTAACCGCACACAACTCGGAAACAGCTCTGCCAACACTGCCGGAGCACCAGCTGTGCGGTCGACGCCGCGGTTTCTACCTCCTGACCCTAACCTTGAGGGACCTGCATCCGAAGACTTGGACGACGATTCTACTCCTGTTATCAAACTGAGCTGTCGAGAGGATGATGTAGTGTCGTTTCCAATCCCAGGTACCGAAAACGCCCGCTTCTTTAGCAGATTGAAGCTCAAATCTAGGTTTTCGACGCTCGCACAGCCTGCCAAGTCGCCCTCATGCTGGAACTGGTTCCTTGCCAGAATCAAGGTCTTGAGATTGGTCAAATTTACAAAGCAATCCGGACTCAGAACTTTCAAACCGGATTGATACAGGTTCACGATGGTCAGGCTCTTGAGGTCTGGATGAGGTTCCACGCGACCATGCAAGAGCGCTTGCTTCTGCCGTTCTCTGCAGATGCCACGCTCTAAGGTTAGACACATCCCTGAGCACGTGTTTAGTGTAGTTCTTCGAATGTGGATTGGAAAAAAAAAATCAATGTCGTACACGGACAATAATGAGTCCGTTCCACCATGAAGATGAAGACACAAGCACGACCCTTGATGGCGCGTGTATTCGACAAACCGAAATTATCGAGTAATTATTGAAAATAAGGGAGATACCGAAAGAAGAGGAGCGTACTAGTCAAGGCCCTCTTATTTCAGTCAGTAACTTGCTTATTTTGAGTTTTCGAATAAGTGGAAGCAAACAACGACAAGCATCAACATAACAATGCTTCCCGTTTGGTGACACGCGGTGGATCCCTCGAAGCAATCATCGTGTCAAGCGACAGAGACGAGGCTTCGGACATTACTAAAGAGCTGCCCTTTCCTTTGGCTTTCTTTGCATCCCCAGATAGCACGTATTTTTCCCTTACGCGCTGGAGGAAGGCAGCTGTGCTCAACGTCGTGGAGCTGTCGACTGCAGTGCCAGAGAAGAGACAGGAAGAGGAGGCATCGAGTACTAGCGAAGTCGAAGATCTACTTCCTGCTTGTTCCTCCACTTCTCCTACTGCTCCACTACCAGCTGCATTCAGCAGTCTAGCTTTTCTTGCAGCTGTCCTAGCTTTGGCCCAATCTTCTAGAGAAGACGAAGATGTTGATGGAGTAGCCGAAGCAGCACCTGCAGAATTATGAGCTAAATAAGCAAATTCTCTAATGCCATTCCAGAAAGGTCCAAAATCCTTTGATATCAGTCCTCGTCTGTCCTCACTAATCTCCGCAGGTGCTGTGCACATTGCCTGAATACAGGACTCTGACGAAGTAGACGACCCGATAATGTTATTGCTTGATGTTCCCGTGATTTTTGAAGGACTCGGCTCCACTCCCCCAGACATCATTGCAATAGCCATTTCTCCCGCAGAAGATGAGCGATGTGTAGCACTACTCGAGCCAGGCCGTGATCTTCTACCACCCTGTTGCACAGCCAATAGAGCTTGTTGTGCTGTAGCAAATGCTGAAGATGGTGGTGGAACTGGAGCAGGAGCTACTTGAGTACGACCCTGAGGGTCACCAGAAGTTGTGGTCGAAGATTGATTCGGCAAGTTTTGCTCGGATTCAGAACTAGTGCTAGAGCTAAAGGACGTCGATGCCTCTTGTTGTATTAGTCCTCCTGAAAGTGAAACATCACCTCCGGGAGCGCCAATCCTCGTTTCTTTCTTCAGTTGCATCCATCGCTTTTCGATTTCAGAAACTACTTGTCTTGACGATGAAGACATCTTCAGAGCAGCTCCTTCACTCTGTGCTTCATTCTGTGTCACGGACCCGTTTTTCACTCCAGCCAAATTGCATTCGATTTTCCCATTATTGTAGACAAATTCGATGTCAAGGAGAAAAGCAGGCACGCAACGGTGTGGATCCCGGAATCTCCATATCTTCTGTCTTGCGTCTCCTTCCATTGTTCGATATCGAGCACTGACACTATCAAACCCTGGACTAGAGAGGTAGTCCTCCCAATTTTTGGAGCCGGCAAATGCGGCAAAACTGCGTAGTTGTGATGTCTTCTCTTGCTGACCAGGAGCTTTTGTTCGCGACGACGTACGCGTAGTCGTAGTAGATGCTGTCGTGATATTA